AGCGAACTCGCAGGAAATTAAATGAAAACTCAGTAAAATACAAAAAAAAAAAAAAAAAAAAAAAAAAATATGAAAGATAAGAGAATAAGAATATATGATCAACTTGATGAAATCTTATTTGCGAAATATTGATATAGGAATATAAGGTGTAACTCGTGATACACCTTTATCATTGTCTGATTTGATATTTTGTAAGTCTGGACCACAGTTGTTAGGTTCTTATTAATCCCATAGCGACTTCTTATGGCGTATTTTCTCTGTATATTGTCAATGTTTATTATTAAATATTTTTCAAATAAATCTCACCGTCTTTTTAGTTTTTTTACCTATCGTTTCTCATCACACAGCGACTGAAGAAAATATCTCGATATGTAATAGTACCGCAAGTGTTTTCATATTTTTATTTTTTTCAATTTGGGTGTAAACTGTTTTTAAAGTTTTTAAAGCCTCTTAAAATGTCAAAGTTTTGATTTACACAAATTTTTTTAAGTTCATTAGTTTTTATATTAGGATCAAGAACTTTAGAGTCTTTGAATTCTCTGACTCTACTGGTATTTGACGTTCAATATCTTACTTCCGCGATATCGAGATAGTTTCGGTAGTTACTTCTCATTTCTAACGAAGATCAAGAATTTAGATTAAGAGTAGAGATGTGAAAGAAGGCATTATGTGTGTATGTTTGAAATTTACTTTAAAAACAGTTTTGTGTAACAATGCGCACATTGACATAAGACAAAACAGACGATAATTACTTTATAGAAATTAATGTGTGTAAAGTTTGATAAATAACATTAAGAAATATGTGACAAGGGACAAGAAACGCATAAATAACGAACTAGTTAACGCGGAATACATGTTCTATTAAGGAGATCACACGGAATGTGCTGCGAAGATGCTTACCCAGGCAATAAACTGGTTATATTTCTTAGTTAATATATATCTTTTTGGAGAGAACATGGTAAAGGCGGTCGATAATTCTTATTATATCTAACGCGCGTCAAGGAAGCGCAATTTGTTGTGCGAGCGTCGGAACAGAAAATTACCATTTGGTAATTAATTATCCGACAGATAAGGAAATAAATCGTAGTCGAGAATCTCGAAACGTAATGTGCGAACAAAACCCGTCTGTCAGTATTAAATTCCGTTGCTATTTCGATAAAGACCGGGACGCGCAAAACGTTTTGCTTTTCTGAGAAGAGACGAGGAAACGTCAAATAATACAGACGTAAACAGAAGCCATCGCCTGTAAAATTAAGCCGTGACTAACACAATTTGCGACGACCGCGTTCATTAATAGGGGCTTAAACTATCGGATGCTTCTCTTCTTCTGTTATATAGTCGTTCTCGTTGTAAGAAAACTAAACAATCATCGCGCCAAGTGATGTTCTGAAAGACGCGCGCGTTGATGTCATCGGCGACGATGCGCGGTTGTAACTGTTGTGACTCCTCGCTGTGGTTTTGTACTTAGACATTTTAATTCCGAGCGATGATAGCGAAGTGATATCGCGCGTGATAAAATTTGCATTTACCGCCGCAAGCATAGGAATCGTTCTGTTTTAAGTGGCTTAGCGTACAAGCGTGCACTTCTTTCTTTTCAATCGGTGACTCACATGGAATTACCATTGGCATTCTGTTCGGTTCTCATCTCAGTAGACCGTGAACCATTGGCGAGGGAGGACGTGACTCTAAGCTACTCGTCAGTGACGCGCCATGTGACGATCGGTAGGCATGCAAAGTTGAAAGTGACTATCATCAAGTGTTTCAGCTTTCCGTATATACAGACGTATATATTTCCTCGAGAAATGTACAGATAGGAATACGGAGAATTTTATTAACGATAATTACAAAGTGCGAAGTCACTTTATGAATAATTAATTGACACATAATTCAAAATTGTCGAGACAAATCAATCCGATTTGGTAAGTAAGTCTTATAGTTATAAATATGTTAATTGTTTCAATCGGAAATTTTTTTTCCACATTTTGTTATAAAAATAACAAAACCGTTTGCTGAAAGAACTTAGTTTTTCTTGAATCTAAAATGTTTCACAATTTTTCGATCACATGACAATTAATAACGTGACAATTTAGTTTTAACTTTTGATGAACGGAGTTAATTTTTTCGCAATCACTACTTCATTTATCAGCTTGATCCTCAAAAGGGTGGTGAGGATTTTTCCTATATCTCTTGTAAATACTAAGCATCATGTGAGCTTGACATTTACGTAAATAAAACACACATAAGTGTTTTGCATATCACAATAACATATAATTTCAAATCGTGTCACAAAATCCTAAACTATTAATTGGAGCAATTGAGTCTGTGGGTCGAGTTCATGAGGCCGCACAGTAGACGAACCTAGAGAGCTATAATGGTCTATCTATATTTATATTTTCACACGACAACGTTGCAGTTTACGATAAACAGCTTTTCACTCACTCATGAAAGTATACCCGCGTCTCGTAAATTTTATTTAAAATAGGGGAGAGTGAGTATCGAATTTATTTTTTTTTTTGTATTTTTGAAAGCGTAACTTTGAATGCGTGTTTTATCTGCGAACTAGATTTAACAATATTTACTATCGTCATGACTTTAGATTTGCAGATCCAATAGACTTCCAGAATCACGTCTCTGAAAATTAAAAAAAAAAAAAAACAAGATTTACTGTTACCCACTTTCCCCTAGCGGTTGTAAATTAAGATATATGAATTTTCAAACATATCTCATTAATCTTGCCACTTCTTATCGATCTTATCCCTGACCTTTCTTAAATTACATATGACGAGGAACGATTTATGAAGTTTCGTGTAATTATACGCACACACGTGCTCGCGTTTTATCGAATGTTCGAAAGTTATTTACAACTCCGGTGTATTTTTAGAAGAAGCAAAGCACTCTAAACGAAACAGGTTACGCGATGCGCGATTTTCCCGGACGAAAAACAGATCTCTAATTTGCGAATAGCTTCACTGTGATGACGTCAATATCATTCGAAGTAACGTGAAAATAAGCGATTATTCAATAAATGTGCGCGATCTAGTCTGAATATATGTGCGATAGCAGAAATCCACGAAGTAGTGATAGGAAATTATTGTTTTTCCAGGTATCGTTAGCAAAAAAGTGAGAATTAACACTTTGTGTTAAAAAATTAATTATCAAAGACGAGAAATGACTTGGTGCGAAGAAAACGAATTTCTTCACATACTGCCGAGACCGGCGAGACGGATTGTTTGGTCTTGGCAGGCTGAAAATGGCACGGTTTTCCAAATACCGAAAAAAAATTTACAATCGACAACCGAGTGTTTCATCGAACTGACGAACATTTCTGTCGCTGTTCTTACAACACTCGTCGTCGCACTTTTAATTTTCAAGTACAGGTGCGGCGTGAAACAAAAGTAAGTTGCGAGAAAAATAATCATCGCTCTGTGTTATCAATAAGTGAGAATACAAAAATTTATGTATTTAAAATCTTTTTTAACGGAATATGACATTCGATATATAGATTTTACTTAAATGGTACGCGGAAACTTAAACGGGGTTACTCACAGCGTAATTGAAGTAAATTTCAATTGGGCGAAAAACTTTTCTAGTCGTCCGGGTATATCCCATGATTCAAACAAGTGTTAATTTCTTCTCCGAGAATTTTCTCCGTACGCTGCGTTACTTTTTTCGAGTTACTCTTATAGAATAACTCTTACAATTTCAAAAAAGAAAGAGAGAGAGAGAGAGAGAATAAAATTGAGAGAATATCTAAAGTTATACAAATGTGATAAAACAATCAAAACATATTTGTATATAACAACGTTTTTGATAAACAGGGAATACAGCCGCGAGGATGCATGTGTGTGTACACATATTGTATTTACACTCGGCCCTCTTTTAATCATCCTTGAAGCTCGGCTTAGTTTCCAGCTTCTCTCTTTTAGCAGGTGTTTACTGGCTGAATGAATGATTAATGGGGCGTTTCTCGAAAAAGCGCAATGATTATTTTTATATGCTGTATACATTACGCAGAGAACACGTTTCACCGAAGCAACAATCTACAAGTCTCGATAAATTCGTCTCGATATTTTCGTAGTGAGTAACAAAAGTCTTGTTTGTCACAATGACAAAATGTGTATCGGATCACTCACGCAACGCGCATTTTTTTATATCAAATGATTTTTCTAACAAAATTTATATCCGGTACACTATTGTTACAGTTTTTTTTTTTTTTGATTGTGCAGCAATTTAGTTTATCATTGTCATAGAGTCTCCGTAATTAACACGCGCCTAGTTTCTGTACAAAATGAGAAGAAGATCCCGTTAATCGCGATCAACTTGCGCGACACCAATTACCTTATTTCTCTGTTATTTACGCGGGCAATTAATGAAACGGAATACCGTACTCTCGTGCGTGAAAAATAAACGTCTCGTATTAATTATCGGAATAATTAATACAAGATCTTTATAACAGGTTGTTAACTTGACTCTCTCTTTTTTCTTCTCTCTCTCTTTTTTCTTGGAAGAAAACAAATAACATAAGATCTTCTTCCTTCTTATTAGGCCTTTTATGACGCTCTTGCCGCTTCACAAGAGCAGAACCTTGCTTTGTATTTTATTATTGACAATTCTCTTGTTGGAACTATGTGAATCCGTACTGACATCGGTTTCATTGTCGTCGATCTTGATACTGATCGCCGTGCTATGTTGCTGGATATTGCATCGCGAAACCGAGGTCAGAGATGGTTTCGGTACCATTGCGTCCGGCGGTGGATTTACGATAATTGGTCTCTCGCGAGCGTGGAGGCTTTTCTACTTGTGCAGGTACGCTCTAGCACAAATAATTGAGTAAAATTATACACAAGAGAATATTTGGAAAAAAGAATTACATAGAAGAAAATATTTTTCAGATTCGATTTGTCCATCGAACACGTTCGTGTTGCAACAACAGCAATTACCGTCGCTTGTTGCGGATTGCTCGCCATTATTGACTCTTACACACTTTATCGCGTGGTGAGTTTAATTACTCGATTTAAAATAAATATCTTTCCACACCGATTTCTCCCGTGTGCTATTTTCGCGACATATATTTCACATTTAAATTTCTGATCGTATCGCGCGAATAATTGTTCGAATATATCTGACACATACACTTTTGGTGTGAAAAAAAACAAAATGGTTAGATCTAAGTGTGACTTGCGCCTAACGAGGAAGTTACGGTTTTTGTGGAATATACATATATTTTGTTTTTGCTACTAATAGAAATATTTGTCTTACGACGTTCGAGTTTGTTTCAATAATGATGACTATCACAGATGTCGAGTGTTGCGCGTCCCCGAAAATAGATTCTTTATTTGACGAGGCAACCTTTCATCACAGATTTTTATCGTGACAACGAGCTCTCTCGATAACAGAATCTTGTTATTTCAAATTCCGAATAAAAAACCGAATGCGTCAACTAATCTAATCGTGATATTTTTAAATCCCAATTAGTTTCTTGTATAAAAATATACGGGAGAAAAAGTGACAACTTTCCCTGTTGCATATGTGTGTTGCTTATCTAAGGAAAGGGGTTTAAAATCTTTCTCACTGTTCCATACGTTTCACTCGACGTGATGAAAGCAAACACACACAGAGGCCTCGCTACTCTCGTACCTCTTCCTGAAGAACCGTACAAACATCTTATAAAAACATCACGTTCAGGCAGTTAAGTTTGTTTTTCTTCCCACAAAGATGACGTCTTCTTCCCATTGCCTATAGATGCAGAAAACCAAACGGTATTACACCGTTAAGGGGTCCAATAACACACGGAACTCTTACGTGCATTCCGTCTCGCCGTTCGTCAGCAGAATCACCTTTTACTGGGTGACCGGTCTGCTGTCGCGCGGCTATCGCGCATCACTCGAACTTCACGACCTCGGTCAGCTTCCGGACGAGGAAACCGCGAGGAACCAGTTCGAACGTTTCCGTGACATCTACGAGACCGAGAAGGTACCGACCTCGCGTCTCCTTTTTTTCAGAAATGATTTTATTGATAATAACCGATCTATTCCGTATAATTGTACATTGAATAAAAACGCTTGAAAATATTTAAAATAATAATAGACGTAATAAATTTGTATCAAGCTGCGAAACTGCGGGCGGAAATTGTCCTTATGGAAGTGTTTCTGGAAACAAATATGGTTGACTTTCGCGACTAGCGGTGTTCTGAAGCTTTTCGGGGACGCTACGACTTTAATAGGCCCTATGGCGATTTCGCAGATTATTAATTACGTATCGGACCTGCAAGACAGCGTTAGATCGCACGAAAGTGTTCCTTCAAAGGTACGTCTCTTTCTCTGTCTGTCTTCAATAACGACGCGATCCGTCTTCTAAAAGAAATCGACTTTGTATTTAGGGAAGCATGACATTTTCGCAACTCGGAAAAAACGGATATTTCTTAGGGATTGTAGTTTTTTTTGCAATTATCTTGCAAAGCACACTGAGCCAGACATCCACTCATATACTTTACGTAGGAGCAATACGTTTGCGAACAGCTCTTCAGGTATTTTATTTAATTTCAAATAATTATCCGAAATAAACTTGGCAAAAATTCTAATCGACCGAGACATTTGATTCAGGTGTTAATTTACGATAAAGCGCTTCGATTGTTTTTCTGGAATATCTCTGAGGAAGAGAAGTCACTCGACAAAGAGAAAGATCAACATCACCAACGACAATCAGCCGACATTGGAACTTTGACAAACCTAATGGCCGAAGATGCGTACAACGTAATGAGTTTCTTCTGGATCGGTCATTACATATGGGCAATTCCATTCAAAGTAATTATCTCACAGCAGACTCACATTTATAACGAGCAATTTTATTTGTTTGATTTTTTTCACGTAGATTATTGCTATCGTCTTCCTTTTGTATCTGAAATTGGGTATCAGTGCGATTGCGGGACCTATTTGCTGTATATTGATCGTTACGCCGATGCAGCTCGTTCTCGGAAAACAAATGTCCGAAAATTCGAAATTTATAGCAGTAAGAAAAAGAGAGATATCATTTATTTTTCTATCAATCACTATTTTTCTATCTTAACACTTAAAATACATAAATTTTTACGATCTGTATATATTATTCGATGTATATATTTTTGTAATCACTAATAAAGTATTGAATGAAAAAAAAAATGTCTTTAGGAGAAAAGCGATACGCGTCTTCGTCTAGTTAATGAAATTCTTCAAGGAATGCGACTCATTAAATTGCGCGCCTGGGAAAATGTCTTCGAAGATCGCGTATGCGAAACTCGAGATCAGGAATTGAAGCTACTGAACAAGGACTCTGTGTACTGGGCGCTAATTAGTAAATAACTTCACTTCTATCAAAATTGTTATTTTAATTACAACATTTCCGCGTATCTCTCTTCGTCTTCGTAAGAGAGAACCGAGGACTGAGATACTATATAATTTATTTAAACAATTGCGTGTGTTTTTTCTTTCACAAGTTTTTTTTTCTAATTTATGTATTATATCATATATTGTGTTTGTATTATTACATTTACGTTTAATAATTTAATAATTTAATAATCGAGAAAGACAGACGAATAAATCGATTCGTTAACATTGCAGACTTTTTGACGCACGTTTCCTCCGTTCTGATGACTCTCTTCACATTTGGAATTTATTTCTGGCTAGAGGAACGAAATCTTGACGCGGGGAATGTTTTTGCCAGTCTCGCGCTCTTTTCTCAGCTGACCGTGCCGCTCTTCATCTTTCCGGTGATAGTGCCGATTATCATCAACGCCATGGTATAAGGAACAACGCTTCCCCGGAATGAGTTGCCTTTGAGCTTTTCCGCGAGACGAATTCCGGTACTGATGTTTTCTTTTTTCTTCTACAGATTTCGACAACGAGATTGGAGAATTTTCTCGAACTGCCGGAAATTGTGAATATTCTTCCGAAACCGATCAATTATAAATCGTCTAAAGACACACTGTCAAGTTCGCGTACCGATAACGATGTGAGTAACTTTGATCTCTATTTGAGCGAAATGATCGCGACGCGTTATCTTCTTCAAGGCAGAGGTCGTTATCATCGATACAACTTTTCGATCGCTCGACAACATTGAGGAGGGCGAGGAAAATATTGTCGAAGTGCCGAATTTGCACGACATCGGTTCTGCAATGTGCTTGTCGGTCGATACGGTATTTGAGAAGGATCCGGAAGTTCCGGAATACGTTCTCAAAATTACATCGAGCATCTTCACCTGGGGATCCGACGAAACCACGTTGAGGGTCAGGGCTCTTAATTTTCCGGGGGGTGAGTAACGGCGCTACTTGCGCCAAATGCGAAAGTCTCAAAAGAAACGTATTGTTTAATCGCTGAGAATTTCACTTTGATATCTCAGAACAACTGACGATGATAGTCGGAAAAATCGGAAGCGGAAAAACTTCGTTGCTGATGGCACTCTTGGGAGAGATTCAGAGAACGAGCGGAAACATCGAATGGACCAAGTAAGTTATATTGCAAAAAAACAAAAAAAAACAAATATAGAAGTTTGTTATCGGCGTAAAATATCGCGTGTCGTTTATAATCACAGAGGTTTGAAGATCGCTTACGTGTCGCAACGACCGTGGCTTCAGAACACAACTTTGAGAGACAATGTTCTCTTCGGTTCGGCGTACAGATCGCAAAGATATCGCAATGTGTTAGACGCGTGCTGCCTACAACCGGACGTGGATATACTTCCTGATCGAGATTTGACCAGGATAGGTGAGAAGGGTATCAATTTGAGCGGCGGACAGAAGCAAAGGGTCGCTATAGCCCGAGCGCTTTACAGTGACGCCGATGTCATTCTCATGGTTCGTTGGCTTTGTATTTTATACAGATCTTTCACAATTTTTACTTTAAATTATAACGTTTTAACATGAGAACTTTGAAAAAAACTTACGATGAAAAATTTTCTGGTACACAGGACGACCCACTGTCGGCGTTAGATCAACATGTTGGTAACCAGATTTTCGATCAAGGTGTGAAAAAGTTCTTGCTAAGAAACGGTCGAACGGTGATCATGGTCACTCACAAAGTGGAGCTCTTGTCGGCTGCTCATCAGGTCTCGCGCGTTTTTGTTCGATTAAAAGAAACATTTCGAAAAAATTCAAAAATAATTCACACAAAAGTTTAATTTAAGGTCATTGTGATGGACGACTGTCGAGTTCGCGCTGTAGGAACAAAATTCAGTATCGAGAACAGCGACGCCGAATTGGCAGCCGAATGGCGAATCGCGAATTCCAGACGGGAGAACGAAACTCGTTTTCAAAAGACTGCCAAGGACAGATGGTCCCTGATTAGATTAGTTTCTAGAATTGGGATTAACGTAAAGAACAAGCACGACGGATTGTGGATCATCGATCGTGATGCTTACGTGGTAAAAGCGTGGGACAAAATGTTTTTATAATTAATTAACAATATTTTAATAATTAACACGCGCGTATTTCGGTAGAAAAACAAAACGTTATTGTTTACACTTTTCAGAATCCGTCGACGTTTGTACCTTTGAGATCGCGTCAAGCAATTTTATGCAGGTCACGATATTTGAGTCACGATCTCACGGATCTTCCGGTGCCGGAGGAATGGAGTACCGCATCGAAGCCGAAACGATCGAAGACGCATCGTGATATCACATCGATGATGATTCTTCAATCGGTAAAGCGGCCGAGGGTTCAACGACAAAGGAGCGCGCCGATAATGATCGAAAATCGATATTTCACTTCGAGGTCTCAAATTTTTCTTAAATATTTTTCTCTTCACAAAGATAATCGTTAGTGCAATATAATTTTAACGCATTAGACAACTGTATACATTTATTGTATGTATTTCTGTACTTGAAGAAGAAACAACACTTACCACAACGGGCAACACAATATCGCACCGAAACAAGTTTCTCTACAAAGGTTTGACATTTTTTTTACGTGACATATACGATAACGCGATGTGCATATCGTTACACGTCTCGTGCATTTTAGATATCCAGAAGAAATTACGAACAGAGACAGAAGTATTCTGCGCCGATTGATATCAGGTTCCAGCAAGTAAGCTCATAAAAAAAAATATCTCATCAACAGAAAACATATATAGCTGTAACTAAATAATTTTCAAAGACAATATCTTATCGATCTCTTTCAGAATAAATCAGCACGAAGAACACAGTCATCGTCCAGTGAAGCAATTGTTATCCACGGAATCTCAATTGAGCAACGATATAGATAACGTAGAAGAAAGTAAGTCATATAATTATTAGTTCAATTTAATCAAAATAATTAATTAAAATAATATTATATAATTGTGCATATATACATATATAATTGTTGAGATTACTTATACACATGTATATAAGTATATAATATTTGAGGTCATATATATATATGACCTCAAATTTCAACTTTCTTTTATCTTTTTTTATTCTTCGAATCTCTTAGTCCCGAACGACGACGAGGACGTGGACGAACAAGATGACTTCGAAATAAACGATAAGAGCGGGATGGTCACTCGAATGATCTGGATAGAATATCCGAAGGCCGGCGGATGGATACCAGGAATCGTTTACGTCATAGCGGCACTGGCCTGTCAAGTCGTTCGCGTGTACACCGATCTCTGGTTGAGCCGGTGGATAGATGAAAGCGTTCATTTGTCGGCAAACGAGCAGCATGATGTAAATGATCTCGAAGATACATAACGACGATATAATGTGTCCTTTAATCGAATAGTTTTCAGTGCCAATTCTCTGTTTCAGACGGTGATGTACTGCACGACGTACATCATCATATCAGTGATTTCTATTTTTTTGTCACTTCTGTACAATGTGGCAGGTCAGTGGGCAGGCGCGAGAGCGAGGCACAAGTTGCATAAGGAAGCTGTTTCCGAACTTCTCAGAGCTCCCATTTCCTTCTTTGATTCCACTCCCATCGGAAAGATCTTGAACAGTTTCAGTGTCGACATGGCAGTTATAGATAAAGTATTAAATATTGATTATTCTATCTCTGATAACGTACATCTTATATACTTGAGTAATTTGATGTTTTGAAATCGAGTCATAAAAATAACAATTTTAATTAAAATGTAAAATAAATTTGTATTTTTTTTTTTTTTTTTAAGAAAATCTCTACGTCGATTAAAAGACTCACGTTTTTCGCGTTACTCTGCGGCTCGGCGATAATCGTTAACGTTATCATCGCACCGTGGTTTTTGATTGCCGCTGTGCCAACAAGCTGCGCTTATTACATAGTACAAAGATTCTACAGACGGAGCGCTAGGCAACTGCAACAGTTAGACGGCAGGTATTTTAACGACCACTACTATGTATCTCGTACAAAAATACTCATTAAATTAATGAGTGCATTTCTCGGAATGCGTTAATAATCGTGCATATGCGTGTCAAGCACAAGAGGACCGGTAGCAGCGCATTTCTCGGAAACTTTATCCGGACTTCCGACACTGAGAGCATTTAAGCAGGAAGATCGCTTCATGGAGGAGACAATGAGGCGTCTCGACGTAAACACCAACGCGTTTCTTCTTCTAAACAGCAGCAGCAGATGGCTGGGCATCGTATTGGTAAAAAAGTGAAATACAATATGTTTATCAATAAAAAATTAATCGATAAAATTGTTAATCTCTATATAATTTGTTATCTTGTAAATAATTTTAGGATTATCTGGGTGCTGTTATCGTCGTGACAGCGATTTGCGCGGCTTTATTTTCCGCAAAATTATATCCGCACAGTGTGACACCCGCTCTGGTGGGTCTGGCGATCAACTACACCCTTGTAATACCGATATATCTGAACTGGGTGGTCAAGTTCACCGCCGATATCGAAATGTACATGGGAAGTGTGGCCCGAATTTCCGCATACAAGAACACGCAGTCGGAGAACTATCGGGAAAGTGGTAAGAATTTCTAAAACTACAAAATTTGTTTATATATGAAGAATTTTTTTCCCCGGGTTATTAATCGATCATATCGTTACATCACATTTCAATTCGTGACGCGTGCAAATTTGAATGTGGCAAACAAGTGATAAACTTTTCAGTGTCGTTAAATATCGATCGATTTACATCCGTAACAATCTGTCATCTTTCATTATCGTACATCAGAACGCGATATATACTTCGATTGTATTTAACTATCGATTTTGAAGATTTATTATCAGAGATTAATCAACTTCCGAAAATTACGTGCAGCACCTTATTTGTTGTCAAAAGCACATACTGTTCACATGAAATATAGAAGTTTCTTTTATTTTGTATTTCAAAAGCGATATATATCATATAATTGTTATTACTTATTTTACTTTTACATACGCACGCTCCACTTGTGTCTGTCGGATTTTAGCTTTGCAGGTAAGCGATAACTGGCCCGATAAAGGTGAGATTGTTTTCGAAAACGTTTCTCTACGTTACGAGACAGATAGAAATCCGGTGATCAGAAATTTGTCCTTAAAAATTCCAGCTGGTCAAAAGGTAATTAAAAATGTATAATTAAACAATTAACAATATGATCAATGATCGTTTTGTCTTAATTACAGTTGGGTGTTTGTGGCAGAACCGGTAGTGGAAAATCATCGGCCGCAATGGCCCTTTTTCAACTGATCGAAATCAGCCAAGGACGCATTTTGTTGGACGGAATCGACATTCGACAAGTGCCACTTCGAATCTTGCGATCGCGGCTATCGGCCATAGCGCAAGATGCTACAATGTTTAGCGGCACGATTAGGTTCGTAAAAAACCAAGAAGTCTTTCTTCGCGCACGCCTGACTTTGTAATTGTTTATTTCAAAAAATTTATGGTTGATTTATATACATATTTATAGGGATAATTTAGATCCACTTTCGGAATACGACGACGAGGAAATCTGGCATGCTCTCGAACTCTCCCAAATTAAGGACATCATAGCTTCACATCCTGAGGGATTAAGTACGCAGCAGTGTGTGCACAATATACGTGTGATATTAATATTATTTACAATATAATGTAGAATAAATATATTTTTATATAATAGAACTTGAGGTACGAGAAGGCGGCGAAAATTTCTCAGCCGGTCAGCTCCAACTTCTTTGTATGGCGCGGACAATTCTACAGCGGTCGAGTATTGTCGTTCTCGACGAAGCAACCAGCGCGCTCGACGTAGCCACCGAAAAGTCGCTTCTAAAAGCGGCTGCTGCCGCTTTCGAAGACAAAACTGTGATTATTATCGCGGTTGGTAGTAGACATGTTTGATATGATAATACATTTTCTAGATATTAATATTAACTATTTGCATTTTTTTAAATTACTGATAAGAGCAATGTCGCATCAGTAACATTAAAAAGTATGCCAACGCCTACTTTTTTACTATTTACCTGTGTGAAAAACGATTAAAAAACGTATACACCATTTGTGCACAGCATCGAGCAGCGGCTTTGTTAGACTGCGACCGCATCGTCGTGTTCGACGAGGGCAAGATCGTCGAGGAAGGATCACCGAAGGACTTAATGCAGAGGCAATACGGAATCTTTCCGGCATTGATCAAAGAAATTGAACAAAGCGATTAACGATGACAATCACAAAAGAAATGAAAAAGCACGTGTCAAATGGGACTTTACTCTTATTACATACTTAACGGACTTAAGATAAAACTTGAAAGACTGCTAGATAATGCGTATACTACGATTATGTTTTTATAGAGGAATAATGCGTGAAACTTTTTAATTTTTATATTAGTATACAAGAGTGCGCCAGGTGGTACAACTGGGAGAAAGATACTTCTTTGAGCAAACAAGTTGAAAATGTTTGAAACAAGAATTTTTTTATGCGAGACTCAAGTCTTCAAGAAAACTAGTTTGAAAAATTGAAACATTATCTTCATTTTGCTTGATTTAATAATAATTTGTATCGAAATATATTTGATAAGATCAACGTAAATATATTAATTTTTTTAAATCGACCTTTTTGAAAAGTAAGCATAAAAAATTTTGATTTATTTTTGCACAAAAAATCACTCCTCGCCCGTCTGTCTTGCCGCATTATGTAAGTGTATGTGTGCGTGCGAACTATAATTAATTTACTGTAAGTAAATTATACTGTTAATTATAATTTACTGTTTTGTACAATATTTTATTACAAAATATAAATATTTGTATACTTTATGAATACGAAATCGTATTGTACATATATCTTATTGTAATGTGGCGTAAAAATAAATTGTAAATAATTATAAACTGGGGAAAAAATAAATACAATAATACTGATAGAAGAGGAGAGAAAAAATGTACGCGCGTGTGTGTGCGTGTGAAGTCACAGTCCACCTGTGCGACGTTCGGACGAATAACAGAGTGTCAAATGATAATAATTACCAATACCCCCACGTCGTCGACTGCACCTACCTACCTACCTACCTACCTACGACGACGGTGGAAAACGGTGAGTGTGTTTTCTGCTAGTGGCATCGAGGCCGGCCTGTCGATAACACTGGAGTTGTTTTGCTTATCAGCACTTTTCGGCTCCGGTTTGATCGGCGGAATGGTGAGCCGGTGAGAACGCCGATAGATTTTCTCTTCACGCGTGAAATCCAATATTCAAGAAGGGAAAACTAAGTGGACGTTCTATATTGCCACAAGAATGTGAACACTCTACTGACAAATGTTTCGTTCGATTATCGTGCAAGGAAATTACGTTCGTTTTGATGGATCATCGCTAATTAAATCCGCAGTTAAAATTACGTAAACTCTCGTCTAACTCAATTTTAATAAAGAAATTTATTGTTTTGCGCGCATTCACGGTAAAACTGTAATTGTTAATGAAATTTCTATCAAGTAACGAAATAATTGTTCAGTGAACAAACCGCGTAACGCGATTCAATTGCTAATTAAGTTTGTGAATAAATATTTACGTGTGATTAAAAATAATTTGACGAAGGCGACAAGAGGAAGAAGGAATAAACGTGAACGATTTTTTTGGAATAGTCCATTTTATCAGTGAGAGAAGATTGTGCATCAACAAAAAAGGCTACAGATATAATTAGACGCGATAAGTCGGAAAGCCGAGGATTGGAATAAAGCTGAAGTTTCAAAGGTGAGTATTTCCGGTAAATTAGCTACACGCGCGTTATCAGCAGATTTTTGCTACGTGGCAGATGATCCATATTTTCGAGAACGTGTGAAAGATTCTGTTACGTACACACACACACACACACACATCGTGACAACTGTGCACTAAAAAATTCTTAACGCAATTGTTTGACCAAAATGAAGACAGTAGAAAATAAACTGAACCATTTGTGTACGCGAGCTGATATATAAATCCTAGTTAATACAAGGAAAGTATTAAAACGACAATGAAGTCACTCGAGAGAATAGTTGTTATGTTAGAAAAAAATTCTAAAATACACAAGCATGATAATAGCGACGATGATAAAGAAAAAGCCATTTTTTCGCAGATAAAGATGCGGAAAATATGAGAAGGCAGTTGTTTAATTATCTCAGAGCTAATAAACTAAAAATCTTTAAGACTTTTCTGAGTACAATTAGTTGATAAGAGATTTGAGACTCTCTTTAAAATGTTCCGAAGAAGTTTTCAAATGTATTTTGACAATATTTTCCGATGTACTAACAGTTGTTTTATGTAATACTATACATATGGAAGATTCGTTTGAATTATGTATGTCGTTCAAATTTTGCGATAACTCGAGGTTTCGTTCGGGAAAAGTTTGACAAACCAAATGACATTTCTGAGTCAGTAACGTTTATATTAGCATGCGGAAAGATATTGTTATTAATATTCAAAGACAATTAGCATTTGTTAATCTTTTAACCTTGTGGCTTAGCTTAGTTCTGTTTTTTTTGTTTTTACAGAGTCTCACAGTTCTCGATAATTTTACAATCGCTGATACTAATGAAGCGTAAATCAGCGTGGGACAATGCTTGCGAAACACTTTTTTTTTTTTTTTTTTGTTAATGAAACTGCCGATGTTGCGCTTGATATATCACTTAGAAATTATATGTAAAAGAAGAGAAAAAAACACAATGATAGTTTTATTAATGGAAAAGAGAAATAGATTCATTATATAGATAAGATGTTGGCGCGCTCCATGTACGTACCTGTCTGTTGACACTGCTCGTCGCCATTTCGTTATCGGCTAGATAAGATTTCTGCGTCTTTGTCAAACTTGAGGCAATCAGTTGAATGCGCGAATTCGTGCGGTATAGTATCTGTTGTCGTTGGTTGGGTGAAAAAAAAAAGTTGGTGTTTTTCCGTTCCGAAATTGTGCGATAGCGGAGAAAGTGCATATATAATAATCTTACTCTCGAGACCGAGAATTCTCTGAGCGTCTCTTTCGAGGCGCACAGTTTTCCATTCGGCTTGAAGTATCTCGAACGTCAACCTGAAGGGTGAGTTTTTGAGAAAAGCGGGACACAAGAAGCGAGCGAGCAGCGTGTGTGTTTGATTTATCAAGGAATCCAAGAAGGGATAAAAGCGTCACATTCGTCGCGCGCATATTTTCGTCCGTCGATTGATTGTATCTAATCGACGCTGCGGAAACGCCAAATCGTGTTCCTGATAAATTCGTCTGATAAATTTCAAGATCGACTTGCATTCCGTCGATCGAGAAAAGGCAATACCTGAATGATAAAAAAAAATTCCCATCGTCTCGTCGGTGGTTACACGACGAGATCGTGATGTTCTATTAAATAAGTTGTAATTGTGCAATATTACGCAGAAAAAGACTTACATGAATTCGCATTGTTCTCGAAAATAAATACAAAGTATAATTCATAAATTGTTTTTTATTTTCGTTTTTTTACTGTTCACACAAGAGTTGTTAAAAACACGCGTAAACATGTAATTTGAAAAAACTCGAGATGAATAATAATAAAACGATAAACAAACTCATTAATTATCGAAACTCATTAATTATCGAGACAAGTCACTGAAAATAACAGTGTAACTGTACTTCGTCGGAAAGGCAAATACGCGCATAATTCACACACGTGTCATCTTAAATTAATATAGTTGTATGTGTGTGATACATATGTGGATAAAACTAATTAACCTCGGCACGATTACAGTTGATTAAACGCGTTTATAATACATGACGAAAGAGACGCCTATGTAATTGTCGCGTCGTAAAACAATATTGTCTTAATTGTCGATAACTTGTGAAATGTATATATACGCCAGATCCCTTTTTATAAATAACCTTATACATATTACACCGATAAAACATCAGGTTCGATTAAACTTTGCTCGTTTTTTTGTTTTGTTTTTTATTACGTCTTAATTGTTCGTCATCTTGTGACGCTATATATAGTTTCGCATCATCTTTGTATTAAGTTACGAAATGTTTGCGATATGTACGGAACGTCGTCGAGTGAAGTAAAACGAGATCGTTATACTAAAAGCCTGTAAAATATCGGGATCGAAACTTGCGTCATGCGCGCGTATGTAAGAAATCGAAAACTTATTATCGATTCTCGCTTTCGCGTAAAAAGTGAATGTTTCATCGCTCGAACAGACACGACCGACTGTTTTTTCGATGAAAAAACGTTATAAAGTAGTAATGCTTGTCAAAAAATCGCTATCGTTTATCCTCTCTCGTTACGGCATCGATTTTCGCAATCGCGACGATACGCGCGCGCTTAAGTATGTTCGCTTGTAGTATATTTCTTGCATGTATATTTTCCCGTTCGAAAACTCTGACACAGCGAGCACGCATTGTGTAACAGATTAACGATATCATTGCGTTCTCGTCACTTCCGTGACTTACGACCTCGCATTTTTTTACATAAACAACTGAAAACCAAGGCAAAAAAGTGTCGCGTAATGTCGCTTCGCGCGTCGGACGCGTTTTTTTTCTTCTGTGTCACGCATCGCTCGCTTTCAAGACGCGAAATGCAATTATCTTCGAGGCTTTAATTACGAGTCGTTAACAAAGTCGTTGTCGTCATTTCGTTCCGGGAACAAGAAAAGTTCGCACAAAGTGCCACGCGAGCAAGGTGTTATAATCGATGGTCACTTGCTGCCGATTTCGCTCTCGATTTTTTTCTCGTTAGCGTTTTCCTCATTAAGTCTTAAAGAATATAGTGAAATCGAATTTTACAAACACGCTACAGGACACACGAATAAAAAAAAACTCTTACGCTATACGAAACGTAGGTAATGAATAGCGATTATAAACGCGCGAACAAAGTACGAATCTTGCGTGATTTTCGTGGGAAAAATTTCTGGTTTTTTTTTTGGACATTTTTTGTTACGCGCGCGAAGATCGTTTAATCGTTTCGCACTTTACGCGACATCAAAGCGAGATTTTTTATTATTATTTCTTTTTTATTACCTTTTTTCAATAAAAGAACACATGATTCGCTCGTGCAAATAACACAAACAACGTAGTATCGCTTCGTTAATTATGGGTTATATAATTGTTTTTTTTTTTTTTTTTTTAGATCGTTGCGCAGTAGAGAGAATCGTATGCGAATTAAATTCGATTACTTCACAATGATGTAATCGCGAACGCGAATGATATCTTTGATACAATTCGCTCTGTAAATCGAAGACAATTCCGATTTTGTTTCCACGTGATATTGACATTGGTCAAAAACCTGGACAATAAATTTATTAAGGTCTGAGTACTTTCTCACGGCAAATTGTTTTAAGTAATTAATTAATTGCGCGAGATCACGTGCAGTTTAAAAAAATTAGTGAGATGGACACAAAACCTTGATAATAAATTTATCTAAATATTGTTTTATGAAAAATTGTAAATTTAGTAATTAAGTAAATTGCGCGCGAGAGAGAGAGAGAGAGAGAGAGAGAGAGAGAGCACGTGCAGCAGTTTATCGCGCACCAACGACATACATTTGGCAGACGCGCTATAATTAACGTTTGAGCAATTATTTACTTGTGTGTTTAATCAAATATTGTTATCACAGCCTCGATGTAGTGCGTACAATTCGATACGAACTGACCTTGTCTCTTGTAACGAGATTACATATTTAAAACCTGTGCAATCTGTAACCATGTATCTTCTACTAAAAAAAAGTATGACGCGATGATATTTTAATATTATATATATCACGTACATTTTTTGCGACAAGAACGAAATAACTTGAAAAACGTCAGTTTTAATTTTAGAACATAAAAAGGTTTTACTGGAACGATACGAAGAGATTTTTAAAAATAACCAAAGGAAGAGCTCGCTTTTGTCGCAAATACGTGGTATATAAATAAATATAAGTGAGTTTCTAACTAAATATGTAATATCGAATTGTTGTAAAACAATTGTCGAAGAAAAAAATAACTGTTGTATATAATGTTATTTGTACATATTTCTGTACGTACTGTAGACAATTTTTTTTCAATACAACGCAGAACTATTTTCCTCCGGGAAATTGTGAAACATATGTGTGTGACAAAATTACATAACAGTCAAACTCCACCGTACTTTTGTTCAAAAGAGACCGGTCCTGATTTGTCACAAGAATAAGAAGATTCATACGTCATTACAACACAGATTTGAAAGAGACTCTTACAAAGCACACACGTAACGCGGATAATAGAAGCTAAAAAACACTTTACCTCAAAACATTTCACCTCGAGATTCCTGCACTGTTTACACAATGATGATAAACAAAGTGACGCTCTCCCTCGTTATTAAACAATACTTGAAAAAAACGAGATTAGAAGCGAAATAGATACAGACGGTATTCCGATGTTCATTGGCGATAGTGAAAAATTCATAGTTCACGTCACGTGTAATGTGGATTTTCAATAACCGGCGGTGAATATCGCGCGCGCGCGCACTTTGCGCAAAAAATCTCAATAAAATAAGCGTATCGCTGAATCACACGGCGACAAAATCAACAACGTGACGGCACGCAAGTGCCGGATTACGTTCACGGACATATCACAGATCTCTTTTGAAAGAGCGCTAAAGAGAAACTAGATTGGAGAGAAGAATCTTGGTTTTATAATAAAAAAAAAAAAATAATTAAAATAAAAAATCTATTTTTTAGTTTACATACACGCAATATTTTATATATACGAAATCTTAAGAGGAACAAAAGAATATAATCGGTAAACTCGAGAATATTCTCATGAATAAGTGCTAATGCATTGTGACGTCAAGGTATAATATGTCACGTGCACCAAACACCATTAGCATAAGCATGTGACTGGTGTGGAAACAATCTGATCTCGCGCCGAGTGGTCACATGAAAGTATCGCGCGCGAAAAAAGATGTCTTTACGTGACATCGTACGTCATGTAATGCAAACAAAGTATTTTTTTCGAAACCGAATGCAGGTCAATAAACGAACTCGGCATGCGAAGAGCTGAGACGATAAACTATTAAACGTCATTATTATGAAGCGTGACAAAAATGAGTCAGCGGATAATTGAGACAACACATGTGTTATATACACAATCGTCTTATTTTCTCATTTCTATCGGTCTGATTGACGTTATTTCTTTGAGGTCGAGGTCCGAGATAGTTATTATTAATATTTAGAGATTTCCGATAAAGATAGATGACAAACGAGAGATAATTATTATCTGATCAAATTTTTTCCGATTGCATTTCAGGTGTAAAAAGAATTTGCTTTGGACATGCATTGGACGAAGATAACATGAGGTTCTCGTGCTTCCCGAGGGCCAATTTTCTCGGGCAGAGGGGTAGCATCAATCTCACCCCTCTGCCGAGTCACGAGGAATCCAGCAGCCTCAGTCTAATTGTAAGTTTGTTTCTTGGTATTTATATATATATAACTTGAACACAATTAGTAAGTTCTACGTGTGTGTACAGAATGGTGGAAGACACGGTGTAATCGCCAGCAACGGTGAACCGAACTTGTCGCACGGCGTTGTAAGTTCTGTTTTCTAATCTACGCGTAATCTGTAAATAAGTGACCTCATTATATTACGCTGAAAAAAAGTCTATTATCAGTATTATTGTTCCAATTTTCATTTTTTAGATACGTCCATTACCCGGTATTACTACTCCATCCTCGGTAATTACTATAAATGGTACCGGACCGCCGACACCAACACCGTATCAATATGACAAGCCGAAAGAGACAGCTGCCACGGACAATGGCGAGCAGCAGGTGAACAATCCGAGAGGCGGCGTCATCGGCAGGACGCCGACGCCACCCTCTGCGCCAACCCCTGTGTACGAAAAAGACGCAAGGTAGTTTGAAATGTTAACAATGAAGATTTTTATCATGATATTGTTTTGCGGTAAAATATAAATTATTGCTTTTTTTTTTTACAGGAGCGCAAGGCAAATTAAACGAGCCATTTTAGAAAATGAATTTTTGGGAAATCTCGAGGAGAATCAAGTGGAGGCGCTCGTTTCCGCGATGTATCCGAAACAAATTCCCGCCAATACTTTGGTCATTCGGGAAGGTGACATAGGTATGCAGACACACACGCACATTTTTATCATTTTATAATAGTACAATTAAAACAATAAAAATTATTGTATTAAAATATTTACACTCCTTGTTCACAGGCTCGCATTTGTACGTGTCAGCGGAAGGGGAGTTCGATATTTACGAGGGAAATAAATTCCAAAGAAGCTTCGGACCGGGAATCGCGTTTGGAGAAATTGCCCTACTGTACAATACGAAAAGACTTCGATCAATTAGCGGTACATAAAAAAAAAGAAAAAAATTTTAATTATAAAAAAAAACTATCTCCGAGAATATTACTACGTTTTATTATAAATTTGTTGTTTCAGTAAAGAAAGGTGGAAAAGTATGGGTACTCGACAGATCAGTATTTCTCACTATAATGATGAGAACAGCTCAGGAACAATTAGAGGGCAATATCCGTTTTCTTCAGCGTGTTTCCGTTCTCCAAAAACTCCCCGAACCTAAAGATCACGTGCTCGCGAAGATATCCGATCTCATAAGAATAGTAAATCAAAATATTTGCAAATTTCACATACACATACACATACAATCTACAAAATAATTTTGTAATCATGTTTTGTATGTGTGTGTGTGTGTGTGTGCAGGAATTTTTCCCAGCTGGCGCCAAAATATTAAGGCAGGGCGAAAAGGGTGAGAAATTTTACATAATAAGCGGCGGTAACGTACGGATTACGAAGGATACTGAATACGGTGGCGAGGAAGAACTCGTTGTTCTCAGCAAGGGAGAGTATTTTGGCGAATTGGCGCTTTACGATGACGAAGGCGAACGACGTGCTAACGCTATCGCACTCGCGCCCGGTGTCGAATGTTTGACATTGGACAGAACGTAAATACGACTACTATACGTTATCTCGTTACATATAATCAAATATTAAACAAACTCACTTCGAGGAACATATTTCGCAAAAGTTCTTTATCACAGTGAAAATTTTTAAGAATTTTATATAATTTAACACTTTTGTAATCTAAACAATTTTTTGTAGGTCATTCTTGAACTATCTGGGTAGTCTCGATGAGATTCGTAACAAGGACTGGTTGGCGGAGTACGAGAAACAGAAGCGTTCGTTGACCCCGAAAAAATGGACAAACGAATATGCCAATTTGACCTTGTCCGATCTTGAGACGAGAGGAACTCTAGGAGTGGGTGGGTTCGGACGTGTCGAGCTTGTCACGCTCAGATCCGATCCAAACAAAAGTTTCGCTCTGAAGAAACTCAAGAAGAAGGTCATGGTCGAGCAGCAACAGCAAGAGCACGTGCTTAACGAAAAGTACATTATGCAAGCATGTGATTCACCGTTCATATGCAAGTGAGTACGCGAGTTTTGACGTGTGTTCATTGTGTGTTCACTCTACTATAAATTTTAGAAACTCTAAAATCAATACCTGTATAATTTTATCGATAAATATGATCGAATTTTTTTTTGTCCATTTAGACTTTATCAAACATACAAGGATAGCAAATACGTTTATTTTCTTATGGAAGTATGTCTCGGCGGAGACGTGTGGACAACTTTACAAAGGAGACGCTACTTCGACGACGCCACCGCGCAGTTTATGGTCGGTTGCGTGGTTGAAGCTCTCGATCATCTTCACTCGCTAAACATCGTTTACCGAGATCTCAAACCGGAGAATCTTATGCTCGACACGCGTGGTTATCTGAAACTAGTGAGTCTTATTGTTAATTGGCTTTTTGATTATATATGTACAGAATATGCGCGATGAAAAACAATTTCCAACAAAATTCAATTTTCTTCAATAGGTGGACTTTGGATTTAGTAAAAAGATCGGTCCGGCCAAAACGTGGACGTTCGCCGGCACACCCGAATATGTCGCTCCGGAAATTATCTTGAACAAAGGACACGATAGGTAAGTGAAATTCGTCACTTCGCTCCGTTTATTGTTTAATTATCTCAGCTCGCTTATAATTTCGTTTAATCTATCTGTCGCGCTTCACATTGTGATTTTTTTTAAAGAGCGGTGGATTACTGGGCACTCGGTATTTTAACGCACGAGCTTCTCGTCGGCAAACCACCGTTTCGAGGATCCGATCATATGACGACTTACAATAAAATACTGAAAGGCATAGAAATGGTCGGTATACCGAGTATCGTCAACAAAAATGGCAATAATCTCATTAAGAAGCTACTCCGTTTGAGCCCGTCAGAACGATTGGGTTATCAGCGAAACGGAATACAGGACATCCGCGATCACAAGTAAGTTTCTAGAATATTTTTACAAAGAAACGAAACGACAGAGCACTATAGCTTAGCTAACGCATTATGTTTAGATTTAAACAATTCTGTAAACATTATTTGTACTCTTTTGAAACATATTTCTCGTATATATATGACACGTAATTGTGAAAATATTAAGAAAATATCTATGGAAAATTCAATGACTAATGTGACGTTTATCTATCATAGGTGGTTTTCCGGATTCAACTGGCAAGCACTTCAAAGATTAGCACTCCCGGCTCCCATTGTGCCCACGGTACGTTTATCGCGAGTTTACGTAAAGTCATTATATTAAAGAAAATATTGATAAACTGGTATTGTAGATAACTGAAAGCATCTTCGATTTATGCATCTTACATACACAAAAGCACTTTCGTGTGTGTTTTGTGCAAATTTAATTTTTATTACTTTAAATTTTCCAGGTGCGACATCAACTCGATACACGAAATTTCGAAAGATATCCACCAGATCGTGATATTCCGCCAGACGAATTTTCCGGTTGGGACATTGAATTTTGAAGACCGATGCGATCGACCTTCCCACCACGCAATCTTTTTGCGCGATTACGCAAAAGCAGGATTTTTGTGACTTTTTATAATAAAAAAAAAATAATCGAATATTTTTAGCAATTGACAATTGTTTTTTCTCTTAAAAGTGTCCTTAAAACAAGTATCAAAGTAATTATTTAATAACAGCATCGATTTACTTACATATTCGAGTAGATTATTTAATCTTTGAGAGCGAAGAAAAACTCAAATGTGAAAAATAATTCAATAACATAAAAAATACGTTATATTCTTCGTAAAAGCATAATTATTGCAAGATATTCTGGTGTACCTTGATTCAACATAAAACTATACGTACCTATGTTTTTTTTAACGATACTCCGTTTTTTTATATGTGTGATATTAAAAATTAAACTATATTTATATCTTATGTTAAATTCTGTCTAATATATATAGTAACCTGTAAACGAACGTATGCATTTGACTAAAATGATTTTGTTGCATAAAACACCAGCAGTGTAATGTAATTTTAAGATATAATGACGTGTCACATTTTCGAATAAATAATTTTCTAATACTTTTCTTTCTCTGTTTCTGATTTTTGTCCTTATCATATTCCTTTTTTCCACGCATACACTGGCTTTGCAAGTATTCGAACATTTCTGCGTTTTAAACGTGTGTGTAATTAAATTGCGTCTCATCACAAAACTAGATTTACATCGCAACATATAATGTTGTTAATATACGACCAATCAGTTGCATACAAATACGTGTAAAACAACGCGTCATATGACTTACTTAAAAAAAATTCACATTCTTAGTTGAATCACATTGCAATATTATCGATCTTATCGAACTAGTGGATTTGTCGACAATGATGGAAATCATATTACAATCTTTAAAAAATTACTGTGGCAACTAACTGCCGCTATCCATCGTGTAGATAAGATCTGTTACAGTTCTGCAATTATATTGACTATAATCAGTTTGGTTCCGATACGCGACGTAAAACGCAACGCAGGAGAGAAAACAACGTTAAATAAAATCAAGGTAAGAGTTTGTGTGCTTTCTGTAAAATAAATAATTTCTACGAAATAATTCCAATCCAAGTCAGATTTTTATCTATTGTCTTTTCTATCGCAAATTATTGATTTCATCAACATTTTCAATTATCTGTTACGGAAATATTGATTGCACAACGTACGTATAGCATTGCAATATGTAAATAATTGATTACAGACGAAACTTCTATAGAAAGATATTAAAATGCACGCTCTCTGTTTGCGATGGCCCTATCGTGGCTCGCTTAATTTGGGACCATATAACACAAATCTCGATTCTCGAAAGAAAAGCAATGAATTCTATCGGCTTTTGACTCAACAACGTAAACGCGGTGTTATGGGTGAAATCGATGTGTCACAGATTGAAATTCCGCGTTTTGAGAAGGACACAGAGTACGGAACAACTTCGTTATCCCATACACATACGATGATATTAATTAAATTTAAATTTATTTCCATTTTTTGCGATATATTTCAGGACGCAACGTTTAATTAAAAATGCTATTCGAGAAAACAAGTTTCTAGGGGATCTCGATGAATCCCGTATCGACGATATCGTTTCAGCTATGTACCCGAAAACAATTGAAGGACAAACACGACTTATTCAGCAAGGTGAAACAGGTGAGTGATGGCTAATCGCGAGAACAGCTTATCTTTCAAGATATTTTTCATAAATATTTTTATCACTTTAATGTTTCTAACAATCTACAAAAGTGGCAGAATATATAATTAAATTGTATTCATGTATTTAAAAAATTAGGATCTCACTTATATGTCTCGGAAACGGGAACGTTTGAGATATACGTGAACGACACATTTTATGGGAATTTCGGACCCGGCGTTGCTTTTGGAGAATTAGCGTTATTATATAACACAACACGATTGTCTTCGATTGACGGTACAATCAAGTGTCGATTATATTTTCCTTTTTTAATTTTTTTATTACTATAGTTAAGAAACTAAATAAATTGAATTACAGCGCAAACCGATGCCAAAGTCTGGGTCTTAGACCGAAAGGTTTTTCACGCTATAATGCAGAGAAACGAAGAAGAATCCACGCAATATAATTTGCAAGTTCTTCGTCGCATTTCCGTGTTGCGAACACTTCCCGAGGAAGTTCTTCTAAAAATGTCCGACTTAATATGCGTGGTACGTAAAAACTATACACTCTTTGTTTCTCTTTGCGAACAAAAGTCAATGTTTTTTTTATATATATATATATAAAACTTTTGAAATAAAACATTCTATAAATATTTATCTTATTACCTTTAATTAATTAATATCTTAGGAATTTTATACCTCTCATTCGTACATCATACGTGAAGGAGAACTGGGAGATAAGTTCTTCATAATAAAAGGCGGCAATGTCAGAATCACAAAGGCGACTGATTTTGGTGGAGAAAAGGAACTGATGGTACTCGACAAAGGTGATTATTTCGGCGAGAAAGCCTTGTACGATAACGGTGACACTAAACGGCAGGCTAACGCCATCGCTCTACCACCTGGAACCGAATGTTACACAATCGACAGAGAGTACGGCGTCTTTTTTTTAACATGCACATCTTATTAAGATCTTTTAAAATCTACATATGTAATATTATTTAAATATTAAACACGTATATAGTTTGTGTAACATGTGTTTATTCTATAATGCAGATCATTTTTGAATTACCTCGGTGGATTAGAATCAATACGGAACAAAGATTGGCAAGCCTTTCGACGTCCTACGGTCGTGGAAGGCTGGGACGAGGTATTTTGCAATTTGGTCTTGTCGGATTTAGAAGCGATAGGAACCATAGGAGCCGGAGGTTACGGCAGAGTGGAATTGGTAACCGTTAAATCGATTCCAAATATCAGCTTTGCCAGGAAGAAAGTGCGCAAGAAGATAATAACACAGAAAGGATATCAGAAACTGATCTACAACGAGAAGCACAACATGAGATTGTGTAACTCACCTTTCATCTGCAAGTCAGTACCAAACTTACTGTTGGAATTGATATATATATATATATATCAAAATATACATTTCATCTATTTGATAAAAATATGCACAAATATGTGTACATGTACAGATTGCACAGAACGTTCAAGGACAACAAATATCTTTACTTTCTGATGGAGGCATGTCTCGGCGGTGACCTGCGAACAGCTTTGTATAGATCCGGTCGTTTTGATAATGCAACCGCTCAATTTATCATCGCCTGTATAGTGGAAGCGCTTGATCATCTTCACACACGTGGTATTGTTTACAGAGATCTGAAGCCCGAGAACATCTTGATAGCCAATAACGGCTATATTAAAATCGTATGTTAATACCATGTTATAAACTTGATAAAAACTAAAAGTTTTTTTTATCGAAACATTTACACGCTCGGCTATTTTTCTTCGAGTGAAACTGTGTGATTAAAAAAACAATGTCGACGGCATTTATAAAATCACAAATGTTGACTAACGTGACTTTTGTATAGACCGATCTTGGATCCAGCAAGATGATAGGTGCCTACAAGACAAAGACGTTCGTAGGAACTCCCGAATATATAGCCCCGGAGATTATTCAACTTAAGGGATATAATAGGTATTGTTCATAACTTTTTTTCGTCAGAGATAATTTAACAAAATTCGTGAAATACATTTATTTAATCTTCAATGTTTATTTTCGGTGCTAAAGAGCTGTGGACTACTGGGCTCTGGGAGTGTTAGTGTACGAATTACTTCTCGGCCGAACGCCTTTCCAGGGTGTGAACGACATCCAAGTGTGCGAAAACATTCTCAGAGGTTTCGATGACGTTCCCATACCTAACGTGGTCAAAACCACCGCGAAAAGTTTCATGCGTCGTCTTTTACAGTTCGAACCGACGAAGAGACTCGGCCATTTGCGAAATGGCGCCATGGATGTGCGAAATCACAAGTAATATTTTGTCAAAGTTTTTTTCTAGTTTTTTAAAATTTGTCAAAATTTAGATAGTTTTTTCTTCTTAATAAAAAGTTGCAATTTTATATTTTGATACTCTTCAAATGTTTCGACACGTTTTTTTGTATATTTTATTTATAGTATCTATTCTGAAGAAAATAATTATTTTAAAATTCTAGATGGTTCAATAGTTTTAACTGGAAATCATTACAAAACCAAACAATGGTCGCTCTTCTAAAGCCGGTGGTAAGTACTTTAATGAGTTCATTCATGAAACATATGTACATTTTGTTGTTGTATTTCAGTTACAAGGTACGTATTACTTTTTGTTGTATAGATAAAGGGACATTTTGACATGAGAAATTTCGACAAATATCCTCCGGATCGTGCTCGACTAATAAACGATTTTTCTGATTGGGACGCCAATTTTTAAAAAAACAGAGTTTACAAATGTACACGTAAAATACAAATTTGTCAAAATCGTCAGAAATAGATTATTCAATTACAAAATGTAACGAACTACTCATTATACATACATTACATATAAATATTTTAAGTTCTATTAAATTGATGCATCATATTTAGAAACTTATCTTCACAAAAGTATTGTAGACAATAACAGGTTTATATCTTTGACAAATACGGATTTATAGAAAATAAAATAAAATAAAAAATATGAAATTACCTTATAATAAATTTTACTTTATGAAACAAGTACATATTTGTTTTTAAAACAGACCTACAATCCCTGATTTATATTATAAAATATAAAAGTAGTTTTTGCATTTGACCTGATTGTTGACCTGCGTGTACACACAAAGAAATATTGTATATTAGACAAAAAAAGAAAAAAATTTTCTTTTATAAAAATTATAAAAATGTAGTTTTTTTGTTATGTTTTATACATTTTTATTTTCTTACATATGTATATGTATATATATAAAGTAAAATTACGTATATGTAAGAGAGAAAAAAAAATTACTATTCAAAATACCTTTTATTATTTTCTTGTCTATTTTTTTAGTTTTCTTTTGGAATTATGTCCGTCTTATCAATGTTATGAGCTATTTTCAAATGTCTTAAAAGATCCTTGGAAGTACGATAATAAAAAACACTATGGCAAAGTGCACACTCTGCCTTACAATGTATAAAATCAAGAAAGCGATATACTAGTTTTGTGAATAAATTTATTGTTTCCTGCTTCTTTGCTATTTCTGGATGTGCTACTTTCAGGTGTTTATAAATATGTGACACTGATGTAAACAAATAATTTACCTTGCACAACCAGCAACATCCTAATCTTATATGTCGGTTATATCTGTCAAGAACATTTTGTCTCCGTGATAAATTTTATCACCAAAAAACAAATTATGAAATTGAATATGTTTCAAAACTATTGACGGAATAGACAGAAAGGCACAAAAAAAACCGATTTTCAAGAGTCAGTTGACAAATCGGTATTAAATTCCGAGATCTGTTCACAACATATATTCAAAACCTTGATAAATCTGTGTTCGGGATTTTGATCCAATTTGTCGAGAATGACAATGTCTAGCAGATCTGTTTACAAACTATCTCTGCCTGTCTTACAAATGACCTCGGCTCTGTTGCGATATTCCGTTTAACGTTGTAGCCAATCTGTCTACAATTAGTTAGCAATTTTCTTACCTTTCGGGTATTACATCGACAATTTCAAAAAACTTAAAACACTGCGCTTTCTTCAAATCCTCCATATCCAATTTATTCAATTTTTCTGATATAATAATTTTTATTTATACAAAAATCAAAAATGACCAACTCTTGAAGGATATTTAAGAGTTATATGTATTCACCTTACAAGTTAAACAGCTAATTTGATGTAGCGGTAAGTAGATAAGTGCAGTAATGGATGTTGTAGCGGGCTAGGTTGTAAGTAGTATGGTTTAAATCTGTGACCATTTGTAAATCTGTGACAACTATATGACAACTATAGATTGCTATTCGGTATCTTCATATTGTAATGAAGACTAACAGCGCCTCCGTCGCTGGCAGAAAAGTGAAACTGTAGATGTCTCTGTTTCACACGGTGATCGCAACGCTCTCAAATCCCCGGAACGTTCTCATTACCGGCACTGGCCCAGTTGCATTGATCAATTAGTCCAACCAATTAAATGTGATTGGTCTAGGTTCTAGTAGTTTTTTCTCATCGCAAACCGCGTGTCTCGGACTTGTTTCTATTGTGGATTCAACTATACATACACACACACAGAAGTATCGGAGCCATATCCGCTTTAAAAAAGCCGCGCCGAAAGAGAAACGATGGCTTCCATTGGGCGGCGCTTGCGGCTGCGTTCTTATCAGCTGTGCTCAGTGACGTAGACCGTAGTCGTAATAACACGCTGGTGGGCATGTTAATGCGAATACGCGCACAAATGGCGTCGCTGTGCTACTATTATGAGCGAGAGTGTGCTGTGCAGTAACGCGTACGGGCCGCGTCCGGGCGCGGCGCCTTGCGGCCCAGCCTGACGGCGAGCGTGACAACGCGTGGATTTCCAAGTGTTCGTTATCGTTAGGAAATAAAGGATTTATATCAGCGAGACGACGTTGTGTCGCGTAGCCACATCGACGACGGACAACAACGAGGATAGACAGAGAAAGAGCGAGAGTGGTGACAAAACTTGTGAGATTAGATCCAGGAGGTGAGTGCGAGATGGAAGAGAGCGCGCGATCTCGGCCTGTTCTCTCTGTTGTGTGCTACCCTGCGTGCGTCAAGTGTGTGTTCATTCGTGTGCGGAATTGTTAGCGCCCGAGAACGACCGTCGCACACGTTGGAGCAACATCTGGTGCGCGGCGGCGTGTTTTCTCGATCGTCGAGGGAAAAAAAAAATACATAACCGTAATAGGAGAAACCGCGAAACGGGAATAATAGCGCGAACGGGAGGAAAGCTTAACTGCGCTATTTATTCTGTTAGAAAGAGAGGGCAAGCGAAAGAGAGAGAGAGAGAGAGAGAGAGGAGAGGGAAAAAGAGAGGGAAATAGAGAATGAAATGGCAGTAGCGACGATAGAGAAACGTTGCGAAGCGATTTCCATGGAACGCGCCGAGCCAGACGCGCGATAAAAATCGGAGGCGCAAAGCGGAGTAACGCGACGCGAGATAAGGAGAAATAGCAAACGCGTCTGAAACCGATTCTCGCAAACCTCGAACCATGTTCGCCTCTTGAGAAACGGAAAGAAAAAATCGAGGAAAAAGGCAACATAAACAGAACGGGGAATAGGGAACGATAACACACGAGCAAGTGTGAGGAACCGCGTGTATAAACGTTATCCTCACGATCCGTTTCTTATTCTGTTTCCCTTTTTTTCTCCTCTTCTTCTGTTTCGTTTCGAACGAAAAGATCAAAAAAAAAAAAAAAAAGAATATTTGACACACAAGGAAGGATTAACTTACACATCGTGTAAGAAGTCGAATATATTGACAATAATAAGTTTAAGTTGCGCTCCTGTCGAATTTCCTGGTTTTTTTTTTCCCCATAAAAATTGTGATACAAATGTCACAAGAATATCATTGTAAACACGCGTGGTCTGTTGTCAAACTCGCGCGATAGCTTCGAAAATCAATAAAAAAAACAAATAACAAAATATTCGCAATATATGTGGAGCGCGAGATTTCAGCGCGTCATATAAACTAATAACTATAAATATACTTTATTGTTATCTAGGAAATCCGAAATCCGAGAGAGCAAGCGTAACGAGCGCTTAATGAAAGAACAGATAAGACAGTTGACTTCGCTCTGCGATAGCCCAGCTCGAGAGGGTCAAAGGGCATTAACACTATATGCAGATAACGAAGAAGAACAAAAAAAAATTAAAAAATCACATTCACAGAATAGAACTAAAAAGCTGAGGCTATTTTTTATTGAGAAAAATGTGTCTCGTGAAAAACGATGAGTAAACGATAATATGTTCCGTTCAGCTAATCCATTTTTTACATTTTCCGAAGTAATTAAATCTTGCATCTAATTAAAAGTTCGTTGTTTCGATCGCACTGTCTCGCGGCGATACCGAGAGACGAGTATAAATTCTTCTCGCTGCGTTTATTTTTTTTTTGTTTTTGTTTTTAATTTAACCGAAACACGCGCGAGATGTGAGATATTAAAATTGGGAAACAAATGATAAACCTACGATAACCTATATCGGTATTTGTTATTTTGTCAACGATAACCTATATCGATGCTTGTTTTTTTTTTTTTTTTTTTTTTTAATCATCAGGTTAATCTCTCGCAAAAAATCACCATGTGTAACGAAACTTCTCGTGTAAGAATTAAGGCTTTTTTTAGTGAAACTTTCGCATAATCTCACGTAGTTCCAGCTAGAGACAATATTTTCAAAGTTGCAAAGGTTTTTTTCGTGATACGTTTGTTCGAAACAAAGTACGAGTGTACGAAGAAATGTACGCGCATAAATTATCTCGTTTTTTTCCTTATATCATCTTACGTACACAGTCAGCAACAATAAAGCACCTTTATATTGCGCGATGCGCGCAAGTTATTGCGCCAACTTTGCGTGAGATTAATTATATAATAATAATAAAAAAAACACGACCTTTAGAGTTCTTGGATGATGCTGGAATTTGACACGTTGGAGCTTGCAACAATCGACGTTCGAATGACGTTGATTCCTCTCAAGGAAACCGTAGAGAATTGCGACAAATGTTGCAGTTTTAAGTCAATACGTCTCGAGCATAAGTCGGAAGAAAGAGAAAAACGAACAAAGAATAGTCCGCAAAAAATCGCTTGTAATCGGATACGGGCGTAGGCACCGGTCAACCAATTTGGTCGGCTCATCGTAAAGAGATTCGTGTTAATAGGTCGGTTAAAACGAGGTTAATAACTCAAATAACTCGCGTATCAAAATTCCTGTTTTGTCGTCACGTGGAGCGTTTCTCTGCGAGTTATACACGCAGTTTTTTTTCTCGGTTTTTCTATCTTCATCGTGTTTTATCCTCCCGTCCCACATTGAGACGACGAATCGAATATGATTGAATAGTAATCTGAGACTTTACAGACTCTCTCTCGAGCGGAGAGTAATACGAATAAAAAAGTAAAATTGGAATAATAGTAGCGTCAATACGTCGGCAAACAGACTGAGCTCTAAAGCGATATCGGTATCTCTCGCTAATGCTCAACCGTAAACACAAGTCTTTTTCCTGAAAAGATCCATATCTTTACGCATAAAGTATCTGTATTGGTGTACACATCAACACGCACAAAACTGAATTGTAATAGTGCCAATTTTAATTCATTAACGATCTTGTCTTTGATATTTCACAACCAATCACCGGTAACTTGTACTCGAAATAAGCGTTTGAACGTGTGTACACGTATGTGCTATACGTAGAGTATATATTTTCAAATAACAATGTGTGTGTGTGGATGTGTGGGCACACTGTCTTCAAGTGTGTGTCGCACGAAAATAAATTGAAAATTCTATATCAAATCATGAACGCGCCATTTAGAATTCATCGTATCAACACGTGGATGATATTTATTTGTATGAACAAGTTTATTTTTGCAAAACAAGTTGTTTTTACGCAAAACAAGTTTTTTTTTACGCAAAACAAGTTTTTTCTTAATATTAAATCACAAATCAGCATTATAATATGTTGCCAAAATATGGACAATTACGTCACAAAATTTATTTGAATCTTCTGGAAAAAAAATATGTTTGCTTAAAATCCTGCTTTTTTAAAATAAATTCAACTTTGTCTGAACCACAAAACAATTCAGACTTTTCCGCGGAAAAATTTGATTTCACCCGCGTTCGATTTCTCGATGTGCGAGACATGCGCGGTGAATCGTCCGAGTTGTATTTAATTTTCGCCGCGCACCGATCTGTAAAGTCACTGGGCTATTGAGAAATCGTTCGTCAAGCTTAAGGAAAGTGAAAATCAATGATCACAATGATCGATTATTGCAAAATTGGCCGTTGCGCGTTTCTGACAACACAATCCGTTTAATTGAAGATTCGACTAAATGATTGTTAATATAAACATAAGTATGGTTTATATGAAGTTCTTTAAGAAATTTTTCTTCTTTATCAGTGTTTATCTCGTGGTCCAAGAAATATACTCGATCGAGTAATTTTCACGAGGTCCAATCAAACGATCGTATTGATTTCTGAAATTTCTGACCGGTTTTTTCAAACATTCCTTTCTCTACTTACGTGTTGTGTGCTACTAGCCTAAGTTGCGTTAATAATTTGTATGCGATGGCCTTTTACCTATGAGTAACTTCGAGATGATGCACAGACGAGTTAAATTTACATAATCCTTATTCATGGCCATTTAACCTTTTTGAATTTATTTTTATCCTAAAACCTAAAACAATCGAGAGTGTAATTAATCGTCAATCGGATTCAACGAATGACTTGTCTATTGATTATGTTCGCAGAAGATCATCAATATCGGAATGCAGGCGGAATTGTTGTACCGAAAACCGGCGATGGCAAGCCAGGCCGGTTTTCATCACGCCGGGAACGAGCGGGAAAAAAACAGCGGCAGAGATTCGCGCGAGACGATACACTCGGGTCACTTTATGATCTCGGACTTTGAGGCCGAGGCCCAGGACGACGAGGACGAGCTTGCCGTGCCGGTGCCAGACCAGGTGGAGGCGCAGACCAGCAGATTTGCGATTATCGCCCCGTCCGGTTTCCCGCACGACAGATTTGCGAGCACGAGCATCGAGACGTCCTTGAACAAACTTTTTCAATGCATGTCTCTTGCCTACAGGTGAGTTCCTCTTTTCTCTTTCTTCGCGATTACGAATGAATGCCTGTTATTATCCATTTTTCCGGTTTTCTACATTAACATGACAAAGCGAATTTTATGATGGTTTATGTAATAGTTTTTATACTAGTTGTTTTTAATTCCTCATAAGATTGATAATGAAGTAAAAAGAATACGAGTTCTGACGAGCGATTCGTTTTTGTGACTTTATTTTTAAAAGAAGAAACGATCTCTTCTAATAACGATGTATTAAATTGTTAAATAAGGTCAAAGATTGTCACGGTGGAGCACGACGTAACGGGAGGAAGGCGCACGTGGGTGATCGATAATCGTTAATTCGTTTATGAGATAAAATTGCTAAAGATACACCTTTTGGTCTCACCTCTTGCTACTATTTTCTTCCTACAAAACACAGAATTGTCAAAAGATTGTTTGAAAGGATACGCGTGTTTCTCTCGCGCTCGGCAATCGGACAAATGCTGAACGGCCTGGGCCTAGCTAGTGGCATTCTCGCTGATGAAAGACAATTGAATTAATGAAAGAGAGGCCGTAGAACCAAACGACAACACCGCAATTAAGTACGGTCTCGCTAAAGTCGCACAAACACGGCTTCTACCGACAATTTCCGTTTTTCCTTGTGACGACACATCACGAGTCGCCTCCCTCTAACGGATCGATTCAAATTCTTGTAACGAAAAAAAACGCGCGTTATCGAGCGAGCTTTAATATAATTGACAATTATCAAATTTATACGAAACACAGATCTAAAAATTACAAAAAACAAAATAATGACGCAAAATGTTGCGCTCGCTTACGTGTATTGGGCTTACGATTACCTATGATTAAAGTTGATTCGCTGCGGCACGTCTGTAATGTGAGTTGCTGCAGTCACGTGTGCGATTTCAACGGTATCTTACTGTGTAACCGCTGTGGTACACACAGCTACTCAAATTTCTTGATAATCCAAAATTATCAGAACGATGTGTTTGTGATCAAAGCTTGTTTGTGAACAAGCAGTTTCGATTTAATAGGATAATTGGACTACGTTACATAAAGATCGCGCGAATTATTAATAAAAATGAAACAAACATCACAATCTGAAGATAACGTCAATAACATACGATTTGGGAGTCGATGATGAGTAAACATCATAACAATATGGGTTCAATCAATTCCGCAGTAAGTCGAGCACCGACATCGCGTCACACCAACGTATTGGTTTTCGTTTTTTTTTTATTTTTTTTTTTTTATTTAATTCTCAAACAAGAGGCCAAATTAATTATATCACACAAACGACCCTGAAGAAGATGCGTCACACACGTCGATCGATCACGTCGAAACACGTTATCGGCGATAAGGTCTCGAGAAATTTGTCCTTCTCTTCTTCTTAATATATAAACGGTCGCAAATGCAATCCGGGACAAATAAAAAGAACATAGGCGACTGTGACGCAATGTAAACGGTCGCAATATCAATGTCGTAAATCGAAGCAAGCAACAAGCGCGTTATAATAAACGCCGCTCCCATCTTGTATAATAATGAAAATAAATAGCAAGTACCATATACACTTTGTGCGCTTAATGAGACGTTACTTACGTCGTTCGTAACCTGTGTGTGTTACGTGACTTCAACAAACCATCTCACTTTTTCTGAAACCATATCGAAAATTAAACAAACTACTATACGTACTATATAACAAAGCGAAATAACAAAAGACGAGATTTCCTCGGAATTAAGAACACTTCTTCGTACGAGCAAACGAGTAGATTTTTTTTCGCACGATCTGTGTAGATGTTTCCGCAGATTTGAATATGTAACGAGATGTTGATTTGATCAAGTTACTCGTTAGATTCTGGCGTGTTGCGGAGAAAAAGAATAAGCGAAGCAATTAAACATCAGTTCGCTCCCAGTAACGGTTGCCGGTTGAAACGTATCCGTTGAAATTCTTCTCGCGTGAATATTTTTTCCGACACACGCTATTCGCGCGAAAGTGAAAGTTAGAAAAAGCGTAATTCGAAGCGAGTGCGTGCGGCGAGTGTACCCACATATTGTTTTTTTGTTTTTTTTTATGATATACATATTACAATATTACAATGGCATCGGCTTTCAATGTTATCCAGTGGTTTTCCAGTAATATCCTCTCGCAAACGTCCCACCGTGCTAAATCCGTTCGGCGCGTAAGCATATTTTTTTATTTTTCGATTAAAATTATCCGGCGAATCCTCGATGTTATCGAACACTGTGTCATATCACTTGAGAAAGTTCGCTTTTTTGGCACGCCTATCACTTTGCGTCGTTATTACATTGACATATTATCTTACACTGTCATATCGTGACTGCATGTTACCCGCGCAATATTTTGATCACTTTGAAGAGCAAATTCAAAATAATGCGATATTTTCGACGCATCGGGAACATAGTTTCCCGCCAGACCAGGAGTTAACTGCGTGACGAGAGATTTGATCGACAACTTTTTCATCTCATACGAAGCGGTCGGTCTCACATATCCGAGTGTCGTCCGAAGCGTCAAAATAGAAACCAGCGCGGTATCGCGCGGTGATGATGATTTGCGATTCGCCGTGTGATCTCGAACGGTGCAGGCGCGTGTCGCTTTCCGCGTTGAATCAGCGAAAAAGCGCGAATCGCGCTAGATTATATGCCGTAAAGACCAACTTGTGTTCTCACCACTGTGTGTCGCCGTGTAAGAACGTGTGTCTTTTATCGACCAAGGCCACTGCGTCATACCAAGCATGCGTTTGTAATGTGTGTGCCGTACGTACGCGCCAGGCGCAAACGTAACACTTCCGTACGACGCAACAAGCACATAAGAGGTCGAGAATCCACGAGCGCTCGACGGAGGCTCGCCCACCGATCCAATCGGTGTGTGCGGCCGGCTATTTCCGTTCCCCAGCTAGTTTACCCCTTCGGTGTATATTTGCAGTAGCCGATAACATTGTGCATGGAGAAGCCATTTATCGTGCGCAATTTTTATTTTGAAAAACGCGCACAGTGACAATCCGTCGAAAATAAAATACTTGGATTTTTCTTTCGCTCGACTTTGCGATTTCAATTGAAAGAAAAAACTTTGCAATTAAAATATCTATAAAAAAAAAATGTTTTCGCGTGAAAGTTACTTCACGAACCGTTCCGTTTTCAGCGTGAAAACATCCAATGTGGCGGTATATGGTAATGATGACAAATTCCCAGTTAGATGATATTGAGAACGCTCGACGAATTTAGTTTTCAGGACGCGATCTTTGCTCTTTTCCTCTCTCTCTCTCTCTCTCTCTCTCTCTCTCTCGTTCTTTTCCTCTGTCTTCGCTTATTTCAGATAATTACAAATCGCGAAACGCTTAAAAATAAAAAATGATATTCGCGGTTTAATCAAAGCGCACGAGCGACTCGAATCTCTTTTTGTTGGTACGCGGCTTTACCACATCTTATAATCAGTATCTTTATCAGTGTGGATTTTTTTTCTTTTCGTGGATCTCTACAAACGCGCAACGACAGTTATCTCTATCTTGTCACTATATCCCGAGTTTCTCAACGACACGATAATAATCGCGAGGCTACGTTCGCGCGATGGCTGATGCCAACCGAGTCGCAAATCGCGCAATGAACAAATAATTCATTATCTGATAATGAGATCCTCTGTAAGGCACTGTGTTTTATTTAAAGTAGCGAGAATGGGAGCGAGCACTCGGTGATTCGACACATTTTCAGATAAACGGAATTAATCGGGTTGTCACAGGTTTTATGTAAAAAAATTCATCTAACGATATTTAAATCTTGTCTCGCTACTACACGGGCAACTTGTATAGGTATATATTCGTTCGACGTATAGCGCACGTATTTTGAGATAACAGGCGGGCGATATAAACGTTACCGTTAATGTTAATCGAGTGAGCTGTTTATTCTATGATATCCGATGTGACACACACACACACACACACACATTGTTCTTTGAATAATTTTAATTATAAGTAAACGCACACAATTGTTGCCAGCGCGTATAGTTCTCGCTCATCATATTTATTCAAATTATTCTATAAATATCAAACGTAAGTGATAAATATACTTCGATATGTTTTTCTTCGTGTTTTTTAAGCTCACTTTCCGGAATTTTCTGGCACTATCCGTACGTTTGTTCTCTTGAACCTTGCATACTTTCGGAGTCATGGTATCACCACGTTGCAACAGGCATCAACGCAGTTTATTTCAATGCAGTAGCGCAAGAATAATTTACGATAAAACAAACGCACAAAAAAAGTCGAAAGTTCAAGCATTTTACTTCACTTCTGAGATAATTTTTACATTATTCTCTTTTGAAGCGTAAAAAATCTGAACTTTCCTTCCGCTTTAATTTCTCCAATAAATAAATAATAACATACTTAACGAATATATATTTTTGTATTTTTATATATTTTTATTTCGAACGTACGATGTAGAGATGAATCGTATTGTAAAACGTGTATATGAGCGATATCGTTCGATTCGTTATCGAGAAACGCGGTAGTCTCGACACCAGTAATACATGTAGCAATTTTTTTTTTTTTTTCCATATCCATATGCTTCTCGTTCCACGGTTTATCTAATCGCGCAATTAGAAAAAATTGAAATGGCAATAATTCGTAAAGATCTCCGGGGTTTAAATGTCAAGGAGAAGAATTCTCTCACTACATCAAAAATATGACAAGTGGAAATCTTCCGACTGCAATACCGTCTGTCTCTCTCTCTCTCTCTTTCTTCCTTCATTGTTGACACTTCGTTGGTAATATATTTGATTGTGGCGAAAGAGAGACGATAACGTGAAGTATATCGCAGAATCGCAAACTTGTATTTCACAAACTTACAAACAACTGTACCTACTGAAAGAAACAGAATCTTGAAATAAAAAAAATGCAAATATTTTTTTGGATGTATCTGTTGAACAATGCGCGTAATGCACATTTTTATTTCTCAATTTATACAGATATTGTTATTGCAGTGGGTATGACGTATGGGCATTTGAATTTGTTCCAGACAGAAGCTGACATCGCCTAAATGGAATCGCTTCAAAGGAATCAGACTGAGATGGAAAGACAAGATCAGACTAAACAACGTGATTTGGAGATGTTGGCACATGCAATGTAAGAATAAAATGTGTCGTTACGAGATTTATGATTAGCCGCAATCTCGATACGTTTTAAAAACAAATACAGAAGTACAGAATTAAAACAATAAATATATAGATGATGAGTTTTTACAAATTATATCGAGCAGTCGAGGTGTGTAATTTTAGACATTGTTTTACGTTTAATTGGCAATGAAGATAGACCCCGACGCTCAAACCGAACCGAAAGTCGTAGATACATAGTAATATAACAACTGATAAATTGTAAGCTCACTTCCTTATCTTCCGTAACGTTGCGTCTGCAAACTTCAGTTCCAATCTCTTTTTTCATCGAGATAACCGCTCGATCGAAATATTTAATATTAGAATAAATAGATGACTTACCGCTCTCAATATAAAAAAAAAAAAAGAATAAACAATGAAAATATACATATGACATATATATATATATTTGCCAAGTTTCACTTAATTAATGATGGAATATATAAGATGATACATATGTGTGGGGGCAATCGCGCCAAATTTCGGATCTTATCGGATCTGATCAGATATCTGAAGTTCAGATCAAATGAAATGAAGAAACTCTATCACATGTGACACTTCAAACTTGTAAACTATAGATCAAATTAAAAACTTGGACACATTGAAATTGGATTTGTCAAATTTCGTAATTTCCGTATTGATCGGCCAAAAAAGTATTGCGGTTTCAACCTGGTTCATTGACATTTTGATTATCGTGATATACGCAAAGTGCCGAGAGTTCAGACAACCGCTGGCTGTCTTGCTATTCATCGGAATGACCGGATAAGTAATTACTCGTCTATTTAAAGAGCTCCATTTCTCTCTCTCTCTCTCTCTCTCTCTCTGTGCGCTATATTCGCGCGTTGATAGTGTGTATTCACCACGCACCTGGCGTGCATCCAACTTATCATAAACGAATCGAGGAGGCTCGTTTTACACGCCTCCTTTTTTGTTTTTTTGTACACACGCATCTTGTTTTGAATTAGCTTAATTCGTTCGAGACAAGAAAAACAATCAAAGCGGCAAGATAAGACAATTCGCAGAGAAACAGCTAAGCGTGCTTGTTCGCGCTCTTGTAAGACTGCTTATAGAACAACTGTGAAGAACTACAAACAAATATTCTAGGAACAAGCGGGATTATATTTTTTATCGTGTTATCTCTTTCCGAGTGTTTCGATATTTGAATTTTTTTTAACTGGATTTTCATTGAATCAGTTAAGCGACAAATGTGCATTTATTGTAAACTGTAATTGCGCATATCGTATTTAAGTCTTTACCGTACGCGACATGTTTACAATTATAAAGCGTTACAAACGAGGCAATTAAAACAATTGCTGATTGCCCGATGATTTAAAAGCTTCGTGTTTCCGATATGGACGTAAACTTGAAACCATAAGTTATAATGTGTAGAAAATTTGAAATATGTATAATCAGAAGTTGTCTCTTTCTCATTTTTAGTTATATTGAAGCAAAACACACTGGTATGCCAGTTTGCATCACCGCTTGATGTTGATACTCACAATAAGCCTGAGGTATGTTTATATTTAGTTTTTGACGCTATATATTTCTTTGAATATAAAACCTGTAAATTTTAATTATGTTATAAGCTCTCTGTATTTACAATCGATTGCAAAGGATGTTTTTTATTGCAATGTATGTTCTGTTACATAGCCTGTTCATACGTCTTTGTTATTTTGATTGTATGTCTTAGAGATATCCCATTTCATCATTTTCTTTAACTCGTTACAATTTCCTGTAATAACCACTTGTCGCATCGCGATATTAAAATAGCAGTAGTTATTATCCGGTTTTTACCAATTACGCAATCGAAATGTGTCTTTATCGCAATATATTGGCGACAGCTTACTTGATTAGATAATTTTTATACGATGTATATGAGTTACAATTATTTGAAACGTTTCTAACAAAACCTGCATATATGTATATGTAAAAAATCTTGATGACTGAAGAAGTTGGAAAATCTGAAATAAGAGAGTTTGTAAAGTCATAAAGTTCATTTTTGCATCCGGTAATAAGACCTATACGCTTAGTGAGCGTGAATCAACGGCATATCTCTTATCAGGCGGTGGTCTTAGAGGGAAAATACTGGAAACGAAAGCTCGCGGCTGTTACAGCAGAATACAAGAAATGGCGTATGTTCTATCGGAACAGAATCCATGGCAGCAAAGATGGCACAGAAATGGTACGTTGTAGGTCATATATTATATATTATATATACCTTGTTGTGTGTGTGTGTGTGTGTATTATTATCGTTATTGTATTTATTTGGAAAATAAAAATGTGTGCTTTATTGTCCTTTATCTTATTATAGAAATATAAATAAAACTTTTGTTCAGATGGAGTCAATGGACATGCTAGATTGGAGCAATGGGAGCGGAACTATCGGCAACTTCGGAACGGGTACGGGAAATACATATGGTGGTACCACTGGAACTCCTTCTGGAGAGAGTATGATGGTCGACGAAGATTATATGGAACTAATGACAGATACTCTTTTCTCGACCATTAGCTCGAATCAACCAATATATTTTCCGGATCCTAGAGAAATTGGTAATTCTCTTCAAGATGTGTTTAATTCGCAATTCGAGGTCTGCACTTGTACGTGCGTATTTAAAGAATCGGTTTTTGCAAACACGTTTAATGTGTAAAAATTTTATTTGACAGCTCGAGGTGCGAGTTTAGCAGACTTTATCCAACCCAGTCTGGGACCATTGCAACCGAATCTGGACGATTTTATGGATACTCTAGAGCCATTGCAAGGTATTTAATACTGATGCTTGATCGATCTCGTAATTTGAACGTTTCTTACGTGTCGAATGTTTTTATCTTGATTCAAGAATTCCTAAACTCGAAATTAGCTCCTGTGCCCGAGGAGGATGATATATTTCGGAATAGTAGTCTAAACGCTAATTATTCTGATCTGGATCTGATGACACCGATTAATCAGATGAACGAAATAGGCGAGGCTCCCGTGACGATCAAGAACGAACACACGCCGCAACAGCAGCAGCACCACCAATTGCCTCGGGAAGAACAAGAGACTACCATGCAGAATCTCCAATACACCGCCAAAATATATACTCAGCCGCAATCCGGAGCACCGAGCGTGTTTAGAAATACCATGTGAGTACACTACAAAACAGTGATGACCTTCCGGCGAGTGTGATAGAATTTGTGATCCGATTATCAATCGATGTGTTGTTTTTTTGTGTTTTTTTATTTAGAGCTATGAGTGAGAATTACAATGCCATCCAGTCGCCAAACTTTGAGGTGTCCGCTGCGACAAATCAATCCCCGCAAAAAACCAGAGGTAATAGAGGATCATCGAGAAGTAGCCGTGTGATACAACAATCTCCGCAGCAGCAGCAACGAATACAGCAGAGTACGTATCAAGCGAGCACGCAACAACCACCTTCAGGATTCCAATCGCAGCAACCGCAATCTTACGCGATGGAAATTCAGACGGTGCAGTTGGCACCGATGCAAAGTAATCAATCGCAACCGGTGCAAATCACAACACTAAGCGATCAGACGACGGTTAACGCCAATCAGATATCGTCAATTGCCGCTGCCGCCGCTGCTGTACAAAATCTAGTGACGGTGCAGCAGAATTTTTCACAGGCTAACACTACGCCACTGCAGACCCAGCATCCGGCTATGAGGTCGTTACCGACCACTACGCCGATGTCCAGCAAACCTTACAAGATAGTTCAGCCGCAGCAACAATGCTACAAATTTCCGAACCTCGTGCAAAATCTTAATGCTCAATCGTGTAAATTTGACGCTAATAATTTCAAGGTAAATTAAGCAACGATAATGTTTCAAGTCTTTTAACAGCGAGTTTACGACTAAGATAGAAGTTGAAGAGATAATGTTTACTTTAAGACACATCCTACGCAACAAGTGGTATCGGTTCCTTCACCGGATCAATCGTCACAGTCGCAAATATTACTGCAGTGCAGATCTCCTGGATTAGATCTCGCTGCGTCTGCTATGCACTCGACTAAATTACTACCTCAACCGACAACGTCTAACATGGAAAAAGAAGAGATCTTTGCCGTACCTAAGCAGGTTAGTATGCTAAATAAACGCGTCAATGTATAAATATTCAATTAAAAGACCGTTTCTTGCGTTTCTTCAGTACCAAATAAAAGGAAGAAATAGATCACGAAGCAGCTCCTCGTTAGGAGCATCTAGGATACACCCACCGCCGCTAGTGACTGCAGTGAGCGATCCAGCTTTGAATCTAAATAATAATGTTTTGCTTACTCACTTGCTGACAAATAGTGCGTGTTTTTTTACTATATTTCTGTTTACTTGTAACTATAATTTGTAATGGCTGATACTCATCCGTTATCTTAACAATAGAAATAACGCAAGTGACAACGGCGCAGCACATCACGACACCAGTGACTGTTCAAACGATGCAGACTGCTAGTGTACAACAGGCACCACCACCACCACCACAACAACAACAACAGGTATTATTACTGAAAAGTGTCAAGCAATTCATATAATATATCATTTTGTTCAGGATTCAACAATACTGATATATTGATAACTTGTGCTAGGCGATGCAACCGTCTACAACCCAACAGATTCTCTTAAATGCAAACAGTCAGACGCATCATTCCCAAAGTAGTCCCGGGTCGCCGAAGGATAGCAGTAGCTCTAATGCGCACAGTCCCCAAGCTTTAAGTCTCAGTCCTCTTCATAGTCCCATGAGTATAGGTAGTCCCTTATCGCCCACTCGCGGATATATTAAAGGTGAATCGGAAAGAGGACAATATAAAGAGCAGCGGCGAGTCGGCCACATTCACGCGGAACAGAAGCGTAGATATAATATCAAAAACGGCTTCGATATGTTGCATAGTCTGATACCGCAACTTAGTCAAAATTCTAGCGCGAAGCTAAGCAAAGCCGCGATGCTGCAGAAAGGAGCGGATTACATTCGGCAGTTGAGAGCAGAAAGGCATCAATTGAAGGAGGAGATGGATAGTCTGAAACAACAGATTGAGTGCCTTAATACGTCAATTAGGTATCTTACATAATACTTTTCTCTAAAAATAATAAAATAATGATGAAATTATAAATAATAATATCATAATATAAATTTTGTAGTAATTGTCAATCCATGCTTCCTGCAACGGGTGCTCCAGTTTCTAGACAAAGAACTAGCAAAATGAAAGAGATGTTTGATGAGTATGTACGCACACGCACACGAGAAAACTGGAAATTCTGGATTGTATCCTTTTATTCTTTTAATTTTTGAATATCTAAAACATAGATTTAATTATAATGTAAATATAATGCGCACAAAACCTCGCACAATCACTTTTCTTAACAAAGTAATCAGTTTAGTATATTGTTGGAACCGTTGATGTCATCCTTCAATGCTTCAGTCTCGACTGCGAGTATTGAGGATTTATATAGAAGTACAATACTATGGGTAGAGCAACACTGCTCACTTGTCGATCTCAGACCAGGTTTGTATACTATGACACACTCAAAAAGAAACACATAAAACATATACATACGATTGTTTTGATTAAAAAATATTGTTTTTAGCTGTTCTGAACTCTCTAAGGTATCTGTGTACTGCCACTGATATTCTGACGGATCCAGCTCGTCTACCTGAGGAATCGCTCGCGGCAGTTAATCGGACAGAACGTCGACGGTCTACACAGTGACCAATAAGCAAATTCGTTGTGACGTGTTTATACGAAAGAAAAGTTAAAGATTTAAATATGTATGAACACACAAGGGATGATAGTTACCGTATAAACTGAAGTCTATGAGAGAGAAAGAAGAAGAATGTGTGGTTATCATAAATGGTGACGATAACCATAGACGAAAAAGCAAGAATTTAAGTGCAATTCCTCTTTTTATTGCAACCTCACGTTGAAATTAAAAAAAAAAAATAAAAAAAAAAAACAAATCTATGGCAAAAGTTATATATATACATATATATATGATGCGTTTTATATATTATACATTTAAATTATATACATGTACTGAAGAGATAATTACAGTACATCGATGGTGACACAAAATTCGCATACAAATTATTTCCTACGAAGCAGAAAAAACGTATACTTTTTTACGTTTATTTCACGCAATCGTACACACTGTCTTAAAAGAAAAAAAAACTGCATCACACGTAAGAAAAAATATTCTAATATAAATAAATGTCCTTACACACACACACAACAAACAGGGTGGACCATGTAAAGTGTCACAATTTTCCCGGAATCTATTATGGCGAAGAAATTCTTTTTGAGTGTTTTAAGATTCATCGGGATTTTTTATGTGATATATATGAGGTTGCGCGGGTGTGCCGAATTTCCAGCCTCCTAATTTTTTTTAATGGAATGACTTGTGAAATTTTGCCGATCATAGACGTGTTTCAACCATGCAAAATGTAAGTGAGTGATTAAAAGTTATTTGTTTTTAGAATTGCTGTTTGAATCTTCGAGAAATTTACATGTCATTCCATTCAAAATGTTTTCTATTATATACACAAATAATCACGTGTAATCAAATTTGTTTCATTGTTTTTAAGAAATTTTCTTTAGAAAGAAAGTTAATGAGATACGCAATATTATACTATAATGTAGAAATGAGAACATTTAAAATTTCTACTTAACTAAAAAAAAGCAAAAGTAATCTCTCTTTCTCATCAATATTTACGACATTTTGAGTTATGTTCTTCGAAAAAAATATTTCGAAGTAAAAACAAGTTTAAACTACATACATTAAACACCAGTAGAGGTTTTAATTTTAGACCGCGCGTTTCTTCTCGAAGTTAGTTATAAAAACTTGTTGTATAAAAATCACGAAATCAGTGCCATAAAGCGATATCATCTTGATAAACTACTTACGAGGACAATTTAAGAATTAAAAAGTTAATTTTTTGAAATATTCGACTTTAGATAGAGAAAGAACAAAGATGCAATTAAATTTTTTTATTGCGACTTAATAATTCGATAAATATATATGTTGAGGCGTTAAGTTGCACCGCATGGCAGCAACAAAAAAGATATACTTTACAGTTGATGATTGCGTGGATAAAAAGGGGGTTGTTCTCTAGTTCACATTGTTATATAATACAAGATCTTTAATATAAAACTCCATGTGATAATGTACAAAACTGTTTACAAAGAATTCGAATATATAACTAAGCTGCAAAGGGCTTCTGCATATTGTTGTGTTTCTGTCGACGTAGCATGGTCTCATCGAAAAAAAAAAACAAACAAACAAATCGCAATTAACAATAAGAAAAAAAGGTTAAATTATTTTTTATTAACATCTTATATTTCATATTTTAATTCTATTACTTTCTTCGTTTTGGATTTGTGTAAAACATTATTTTTTTAAACACGACACAATATATAGTTGCCCTTATTTCAACTTACACATGTATGTAAATGTATAAGTAATAAGTAATGTAAGTAAACTCATCAAAGGGATGTTTTTTTTTGTATAATATGTATCATATAATCATAAATATTTTTTTTCATGTTATTATTTCAAAATTATAACATGAAGAAATCCATACTACTGTATTTTGTTTCATCTATATACCTATATCACAAATTCATCACTTTTGATTGTTGATAGGAAATAATTGTGCTGATTGATTTTCTACATTAAAATTAAGTTAATCGAACTCAATCAGAGTGTGAAGACATACTGACCTTTCGTGATTAATTAACGTAAAACGATAACATTTTAGATTGATTTCAATGACTGATTTGTCAAATATTATTATACAATTTAACAATTTAGTTGACACACATTGAGNAACAATTTTTTAAGGATATTTTACGTATTATAATGATTGAGACTGTCTAGAATATCCAGATTGAATAACATTAGAAAGAAATATCTAATGTGTCAAACTAATAAAATTAGCATTAAAAAAACTTTCATTCTAATGCACATTTTATGAATATCATTTATATAATTTTTCGTCTTGTACAAAAACAATTTTACAAATTGAGAGTTATCCAGCACACAAAAATTAGGTGATTAAATAAGATAAATAATTATGAACAAATTTAGCAAACAATTGTAAAAGTAGAACAGTCATGACATATCAGATACAGATTGAGATTACCATCAGATAATAATATAAATGTTGGTACCTGGATACAACTAAATGCATGAGTGTTCACACTTTCGTTAATTAAATATCTCACTTCTTGCATGGTATGACCAAACAATTTCAATNCACATNTTTGACAACTTACATAATTATTTTCCTCTATTAATATTGCCTTTTGGCATATTGGACAAATTACCTCTTTACTTTCGTTATCAAGATACCTTATCATGTATTCAATCTCATCTCTGGCAAATTTCTCATATTCTTGAATTATCCATTGTTCTATATTAATTTAAAATAAGAACTATTATTTTTTACATCTATTATAGTAATAAAATATTGTTACTAAAATAATCTACTGTTATTACATATAAAACATGCAAATATTATATTCTCTAACACAAGAAATATCTGATAAAATAATTCAAAAATATTCTAATATTGTTTAAACCTTGTTCTTGGACAATTTCATTTTCTAATTCAATTGCTTCTTCATCACTCAGAGGCATATCACACTCTTTAACTATGAAATTCTTATTATTGTCATCTAAGGTCGCAAGACTTTTAAACTCTTGACGTACTAAATCTGTCGATGCGGTTTGCACATGTTTTGAATTGAGTTCCAAATCAAATCTATGACTGTTAAATAACTTATTTCGTTTTTCTTGCATCTTTTGACGATATTTCTGAAAAACAAAGTAAACACCAAAATAAATATATTTAAATATAGAGAAAAACGGTATTCACATGCATAACCAAGTCTTGTGACATGTGATTATAATTTGCAATTGTAAAAAAATTGTTGAAAAATAAAAATATTAACATTGACGTCTAACCTCTCGCAAAGTCTCCTGCAATTTGGGCGAGCCATATCTAATTTTATTCGCAGTATCTCTGTTTTTTAATCTCATTGTTGTTGTAGGACTGTGTGCCATAATGTTCGCGTACTGCTATTAAATTGAAATGTTGAAATGAAAAATACACGTGTTTTTCCCAAAAAAGAGAAACGTCTCAAATTTATTTGATTCTTCGAATAAATACAATATAAATGTAACATGGCGCTTCTTATGCATAGTGACTAATGACTTTCGAGATTCGATAGTCGATATTTTCACACTGTAACGAACATTATCAACGCCTCCGTCGTCTAAGTGACAGAAAAGAGAAACGTAATCACACAAGCACGCAAATCGAAAAACCATTACTTGCGTCTTTCTCAGACTCTTGTTTCAAAAAGTGTTCAAAAAGTATCAGTACTATATTTTAAACTGTATAGATATATTATTTAAATAATATTTTTCATACGTTACAGTTCATTCATTTGTTCAGTGGGATACAATATTTGTGTTTAATAGAGATTCAATGTAATAACTCACTTATTTTTTTTATTCACATAAAGATAATCGAGCTATATACAGAAAAAATAATGGCAGCAATGTACGAGATGCTGTGATCCATTATTTCCATTAGAAACAATGGTAGATGTTAACTATATCGCTTATGTATATAAAGGCCTGTTATTCGTAAATATCCTCTTTATCCGCAACATAACGCACTATATCTTTGGGTCTTAGTAATCTTTCCGCATCCATATCTGGAATCTCAAAACCGAATTCATCTTCAATTGCCATTATGATTTCCACATGGTCCAGAGAATCTAAACCTAGATCCTCCATAAAGTGTGATTCCAATGATAACTGAGAAAAATTCGACGCATCATATTAGATTAAAGTTTCTATTACACTAAGTTACTACAATATGATGGGCTTTCTGCACAACTGACATGTTCTTAAAATCAGAATTTCAGTCAAATACTTACAAGGAAAATAAATACTTAAAATTGAAATGCATAAGAACAACATACTGATGTAAAAAAAAAGAATTTTATTTTCACATGTCAGTCTATATGCAAACTCCACGATCAAGCAAGGTGTAAACTATTGATCTCTAAATAGATACCTTTGAGGTTTCGACTTTATCATAAAGTTTGAGAACCAAGAGCACCCGCTGACTGATAATGTCAAGGGTTAGCGGATCCTTATGGCTGTAGTCACGCACCTGCTTGATGCGTGTGTCCCATAAGCCCTGCAAAATTTTTCCCAACAAAAAGATATAAATTTATAAAACCTTGTTTCCAGTGACTTCATTATAAGAAGATATAGTTTTTAACACACGATCCTCAATATCCTTAACAGATTTTGGTTTTGCTCTAACATCTTCACAATATCCACGATTGCACTTTACCTGCATTCATTAAAGAACTTTTTGTATTGCAAAAATTGTTTACCACGCAAATTTAAATTAATTCCAAGAATTTTACACATACAAATCAATATCATAAGAAATCTTGTGTGCATCCTTAAAGAAGTAGAAGATTTTTATATTTAGAGTATATACACTTCAATCATGTATAAAAAATACAAATGCAAGTTTATAACAACATTTTCTTTTTCTAGCCTGAAGATAATCACAGTCTAGGTGGAAGAAATGTGATTTTGTACAGTGTGTAAAGAGACTATTCGTGATTCGAGTGATCATAGATGAGAGTGTGTGTGTGTGTGCTCGTCACGATGATTCCGATGATACTACTTCTGCTGTGTATCTCAATGGGATATAAAAAGTCGCTTTAGTTACATAATACATAAGTAGCAAAACACGTTACGAATGTTTGCGCGAGGAGGTTCGATCATGTCACATGTACTTGTAAGACCGTGATGTTCAATTACCTGCGGCACGACGAGCGTCGTCCTTGTGACACAGTGCAACAGCCTCCGGTCGCATCGTATTTGAGCGAACACGCCGCTCGTACAACGCAATCGGCCACCCAGCGAGTTTCTAAAACCGCTGGAGTTTCTTGCTAACAAACGCACACCGGTGGCCAGAGACGCCATTTTCGTCCAAAGAAGGTGAAACCAGGAACAACGACACCGGTGATAACAACTTTGGCAATATCACCACTGCGCGAGACTCTTCTACGCTGTTTGTGGCTGTTCGACACCGTCCGTCAACCTAGTGAAGCTTATATACGGTTCAAAAAAACACTCGATGCTAAGCTACAGAGGATATACACCATAGAGTATACGCACGATCCACTTGACAGTCGCAACGCGTTCATAGATCGAGAATTATACCAATGGCAGCAGGTCTTGAAGAATTGATCAATCGCATTATTAATTAGATCTCACAGAAATCGGTCCAAAATCTCGTTCCAAGAGAAATTTACCAAGAGTCGACCGATGAATGCGATTGGTCAACTTTGCGATAGGTTCGTATGCATGTAAACTCGCCTTAATGGGCTGTTCTGTGACATCGAGTATTTTTTTCATACACGCGTCGGGAGATGACAAGGAGCGCCGCCCGGTAATTACCATGATTATTTAATCATGTCTAATTCGGGGGTTATACATCAGCAGAGATGATAAGGATTGTGAATAAGCGAAAGTGCTATCGATAGCAGTGGTAGCACCAATTGCCACGTGAACTTTTCTATGTTAATCTCTTTTTTTTCTTTTTATTTCTCCAATATATTCTTTTGTGTGTTGTTATAACAGTATTGTACGTGACAAGTACGCGGCTCGTCTGGAATCGATCGAAAAAGCCGCATATTTGTTCGAGCGGAAGTGATAGTGATCATCAATTGTGTCAGAAATTCCGACGTACCACGCCTGATGAAGAAATGCGATCTTGAATTTGTGATTTCCGATCAGCTTTCACGAGGTGGGTGTGTGGATTTGACATTCGGAGGGTTAGACCGGGGATGGGGAGGGGGAGGGGTGACGTACGAAGAATATATCGTTCGTTGAATGTGCGGTCGAATGTAAGTTTTGATTACTTTGCGTTCTCCGATCAAGTTTGACGAGATAACGTTGCGTTCTAATTGCGTGCTGATTCTTTTGAAACGAAAGGACGAGATTATCACCACGTAACAAGATATCGGAAGTAAAAGAGGACGGAAGTAAAGGAAGGTGTTAGAAGAGGTAGGAACAAGAAGAGGGAGCGAGAAGCAAGGTGGAGCAAGATGGCGAGCTCCTTAACATGGTCGTGTTGTCTACGCTTTAAATTCAGCCCGGAGGAAATCGAACAACGTTACAAAAGTCAGGAAATCGACCGAATGTTGGAAAAGGACCGGCAAACATTTCGCCGACAGGTGAAATTGCTATTGCTCGGCGCAGGCGAGAGCGGCAAGTCAACATTCCTCAAACAGATGCGAATCATTCATGGGATTAAATTCGAGGTAAAATCCGTATTTCATTGAATTTATACACACTCGGATTGAGGATTGAGGTTGATTGATCATGGATCTCTGAAATCCATTGATATGCCTATTAATTGATAAACCTTTAACCTTAGACATTTTATTTCAAATACTATTTTATGCAGAACAGTGACTTGGCCTGCATTTAGTCAGCAAAGTATTTAAACTTGGCTCTCTTTTACAATAATTTGCCAATAATTGGGATAATATTGTAATAAGTTGTAAATAGTGTATTTAAATGTCATACACAACTTCTAAATAATAAATACTATGCATACATGTTTTTTATGTAAATATATTTTGCCTGTAAGAGAGTTTTAGAATGAAAAAGAATCTATGTATTATTGTGTATGTGTTTATATTATTTTTAGCCTGAATTAATTAAGGAATATCAACATGTAATCTACCAGAATATCATCAAAGGAATGAAGGTTTTAGTGGATGCTAGGGATAAGCTAAATATTCCCTGGGAGAATCCTAAAAATTATGATATTGGCTTTCAATTACTCAAGTTTGAAAACACCATGGTGTTAGACACCAGGTTATTTTTGCATTATGTACCAGCACTGCAAAATTTATGGAAAGATGCATCGATTAAAAAAGCATTTGATAGAAGAAGAGAATTTCAATTAGTAAGAATTCAGTATTTTTCATATAATACTACTAATTTTTCATATAATACTATTTTGGAGTGTAATCTTTCTTGAGACATTAATAAGTAGATGTTATGCAAATATAATTATTTTATTTTATTATTTTTACCATAATTGCTATATTTATATGTAAAAATTTGTTATTCTTTCAGAGTGATTCTGTTCAATATTTCTTGGATAATCTTGACAGGATAGCAAGAGTGGTAATGCTTTTCATAACTTTATGATTATACTTATCTACTTTAAAATAATCTCAAAAAAATCATTGATATACTATTTAAAATATTTTTTAAATTTAGATTTTACATTGTGTGTGTGTGTTGTGTACAGAACGTATAAGAGTAAAATTGTTTTTTCAGGAATATACACCTACACATCAAGATATCTTACATTGTAGAAAGGCAACAAAAGGAATTTCTGAGTTTGTAATACCAATTAACAATATCCCTTTTCTTTTTGTTGACGTTGGTGGCCAAAGATCTCAAAGGCAAAAATGGTATCAATGTTTTGATTGTGTAACATCTATATTATTTCTTGTATCGTCGTCGGAGTTTGATCAAGTTTTATTAGAAGATAGGTACGTCACTTATTCTTCGCATGAATAACATTTTAATAATTAACAGAGATAATGATTGTATCTCGATTAATCTTGCAGGAGAACTAACAGATTGGAAGAATCCAGAAATATATTTGATACCATTGTAAACAATAGGATATTCTGTGGTGTCTCTATTATTTTGTTTTTAAACAAAACAGATCTGCTCGATAAGAAAGTAAAGTCACAAGATACAAACGTGTGTTTGTACTTTCCACAATTTACGGGTGATCCACATTCCATAAAAGACGTGCAAAATTTTATACTCGATATGTTTGTCTCCGTCAAGAGAGATCCAAGAAAACCGTTGTTTCATCACTTTACTACTGCGGTAGATACAGAGAATATTAAAGTTGTTTTTAATGCTGTAAAGGATACTATTCTGCACCGAAATTTAGAATCACTTATGCTTCAATAATGGACATAGAGGCGAAAGAGAATCATATAGATAAAACAGCTAGAAAAATATAAGAGATACGCAATGAAAATTAATATTTAATATTTAATATTACTATTTTAATCAGTAATTTTTGAAGAATATTGCAAGACGAATTAGATTGAAACATTTTGATAAGACAATACATATATATATTTATAAATAAGAAAGAGAAAAAACTGCCTAATATACAACTATATTGAAAATTTTGACTTTTGTATACACACTTTACATAATATACACATATATTCATATAAAATACACATGTCTGTATGCGCGCATGTCTACATGCATACAGAGAAACAAAGATATATTTTCATTGTGCTTTTAACAAATATTGAATGGTTGTAAAAAAAGATGTGTTATACAAACTCTATTGTATATAACTATTTGTATATTTTCTATGTTAATACGTTTTATGATAATGGTTTGAATATATTTATATAGAAAGAAGAAAGATTTGTTGCACGTAATTCAATTTAGATTCGTATATTTGTACAAATATATATACATATATTTATAATTCAATACTTTTTCAAATATATGTATGTATATGTATGTGTATATGTATACACATATATTCTCATTACATATATTTTTTTCTAAATTGATAAATGGTTTATTTATATTGTCATTTTTTTTATTAACGGTGAATATAATATATTAAATAACACACATACATAGACACACACATAACACCAAAACCAAATACTAGATCCATGCCATATAAACCAAATAAAGCTAACCAGTTTGTGTTCAAATTGCTGTGGAAAAAAATGTCATGTTTTTGTTTGTTGTAAGTTATGATGCAATATTATTCAATATGTTGTTCAATTGTATTTTGCATTCTATTAAACTGATTTGCTTTCTAGACTATTGTTATCATGACAAATTACGACGATTGTAACGAAATATGTTATCTAAAATTGTACTTCTAATTTTTTTTATAAAAGTACAAAGTTAACTAAAGATTGTTTTAATTCTGCATGTTTTTGCAGTTAAACATTAATTTTTTCTTTAAGGTAAATTATTATAATTGTTACTTTAAATGTAACTGCATCATATATAACAAGTGTTTGTTGTCTGGCTTATAAATTTGATAACTGATTATTTTTTTAAGAAAAAATTGAATTAAAATTAATATTAATTTTTCGTGTTGTGCAAATTTATTATGATTTTGATTTTTCAATATTTTCGTTTATAAAAGAACCTCATTAAAAACAGCAATTTGTATTAAAATATATATATATGTCTAATTTAACACGTATTATAATAGTGTTTATATATATATATATATATATATATATGTGTATGTATATACATATATATATATATTATATATATATATATGTATGCATGCTACTATGTATCTACAATTTTGTTACCTTTCACACTTCGCAAAAAAATGTAAATTGAAAATACAGCAACAATTTGTGAACTGTATTATTGTAATATATCAAAACTTCTGCGAGAAAAAACAAGTACATGATTTTGTATAAAACAGAAGTATTTGAGAGACTAAATTATTCTTGGTAATTTTATGTATACGTGTACATAGATTATATTCAAAGATTTTATGTAATAACGTGAATTAAACCAAAGAATCCTTTGTACAACCAAAAGAATCTCTTTTGCATATAATTTATATTTTCTATTAGATTATTTATTTATTCGTTGTGGATATACACGTTATATGCTAAATATTTTGGAAAGATCGATAAAATTATTTTAAGAGTTATTAAGTTATTTCGATTTTTTATAATTACATCATCTATTACATAAAATCTTTGTCATTTTTAATCTGCAGAAGCTCAGTGTAAAACTTTTAACACAATAATTATTTATTAAAAATAAGTTTTTAACAATATACACTTCTACAAACACACAGTGCTAATTATGTACATTTTTTACACCTGAATTAATCTATACACATATTGCTCGATAATACATAAAGAGATAGTTAAGAAAACCTGATAATCAGTATATTTTTTTGTAATGAAAAGTTTTTACATTCCTATAAAAAGATAATCAGGTCCAAAAACTTAATATTTGTATATCTATTGTATTTACAATTTTGATATCATTTTTATGACAATAATGTTTTTCGAACATGTTTTGTCTTAATGTAAGTGCATGTTTTTATATTGATTATACATTGTCTACAGACATACAGAATGTATAAGTGCTCATTCTTAGAAACATTCATACTTTTTTATGTAAGATATACAGGGTGGCCTAATATAATCTATAAATGAATATATTGCAGCTAGTTTAAATAACATGAAAAATTGTTGCTATGTAAAGTAGTTTCGAAGAGGCCATAATGTGACGGCAATAATAATATGTAGGCATAGAGAAGATTTTAAAATTAACATTTTCTTTTTCAAGTAAAACAATATAAGTCGTTTTTTGATCGTTTTTGCCTCATTCTATCTACAAAAGTTAAGAATAAGATATTTTAAACGAAAAACAATTATACATGCGCGAGATATATTTTGTAGATCTAAAAATTTTGATACACCTCTTTAGAGATACCCTCTGTAAAACAAAATCGCAATAACAAATTTTGTATGTGTACATACATATAAAATTGTGATGTAAGTTTTTGTAATTTTGTACACATACATGTAACAAACCTGATATAATATAGCAAATAACTTGTCCAATTGTTATTTGTAACGTTTACTGCAATGCTGAGTAAGTAGGCAATGTATTTGGTATGTTTTTCAATATTATAGAGAGGAAAGAGAGAGAGAAGGGAGTACCATTGTGACAGAGATATTTGTAAATGTATTTTCTAGTTTTCTAGTAAGTTGTTTATAAATACAAACAAAGAATACATAATAATATGTATGTAGACTGTGTATATACTCGAAATTTTATTATATTATATAGACTGAAAGTGTAGAAAAAACTATATATACATATATAGAAAAACTATATATATATATATATTCATATATATTTAAATATATACAGTATATATATAATATATATTGTATGTAATATACAATATATATGCATGTGTGATGTTTCGAGAAAAATTTAAAACATAATTTTTATATTTTTCAAATTTTTCAAAGTAACATTTTACACATTCACTTTAATAGTGTATGTGTTTTTTAAGTCGTAAGAAGAGGTTGTATAAGATGCATTTAAGCTAAATGTTGTTGGAAATAGTATCATATATTTTTTATTCATCTGTATTTGTGGAAAATGACAAAAAGAAAGAATATTTATTCCTTTCCATGAAACGTATGTGTATACGCGTGCGTTTGTGAGATAAGAAGAAACAATTGAAAAGAATTTTAGAAGGGAACAGAACACACTGTGTATACATACGTATACACACTGTGTATACGTTTGTACATATATACCTAAAATATTTAATTAAAAAAATATATTATCTTTAATATACTGCCATGAAGTATATACTTAGGACATTGCGAATGAGTTATTTATCGAGAGATATTGTTTGTAAACTAAAAGATTACCAATCTCTCGATATTTTTGTTGAAAACAGTCTGCAGATTATAAATTTTTATGGATTATTCTCTGTATGTATAATATAATTCTTTAAATAACTTAAATATGGTCGTTTTCTTTATAGAGAACGTATTTCTTTCACTGTAGTACCTATTTCCCTCCTATTTTCTATATACATCCTATCATTTAAAAATGAAACTTAATGAAGGCTATAACTAATTCAAAAACAATATATTTGAGATTCGAATCAGTTTTTAATTAGAAAAAAAAAAAAAGATTTGATTCTTCTTTGTAGCAAAGCGAACATACTTCATTGTTGAATATCTATTGACGTAATAAGATTATTATTTTTTGGAACAAGGATCTGAGGAATTTTTTTTCTATTAGACTGTATACTACATAATATTTGTAATGTTTGTTTATTCAGTTTTTTTACACAAAGAGAATATTTAATAAGTTTTTATAATAAAATGCACATATATTAAGATATACGTATGTATGTGTATTTACAGTTTATTGCAAAAAATACATAAGATACGCGTCGCTTTATTTTAATATGAAATAACTTTCTTGTCATAAATTGCGAATAGACAAAATATTTATGCACTAAGAGAGAGAGTAACACTTACAATACAAAATATTTTATCTAAACATCACATTGGTAATCGAACTACGATATAATAGTAATTATAATTATTTTAGTAAATTTTTTATATATTACAGCATTATTTACATTTTTTTCTCTCTTCTACTATGTGATATATAAAAAACGTACAAAAGTAATAATATAAAAATTTCCAAAATAATTGCGATATGTCATGAATCAGGAAAAGGCTTGTAGATGCGCAGTCTTTTTTCGTAAGCTTTGCATAATAAAAAACGCTTTTTTTTTTTTATAAAGAATGGTTGTTCTATAATCGATGTTCAATTGTTTGATTTTTATATTTTCATACATATCTATCTCTTCTTTTTTAACTTGTATACATATATGTCGATTTATATAACTAGTATATGCTATTGTTTTTATGCTATTACTTCTATTCGCTCGTATAATTTATTCTTGATAGAACGTTCAAGGAATGTTATAAATATTGTGCAAAACCTGATTTTAAAAAATATTTCAAGATAATATGAAACAATGTACATATCACCCTTTCAGTTGTGCTACAAAAGTACGTACTACAATATAGATGAAATTGTTGAAGAAATATTATATATGAAACTATACTAAATATTATATTTTATAATATATAAGTCTAATTTTATTTTTGGTGTGAACACAAAGTACAATTGTGCAAATTTGCAGTAGAAAAATTTTAAAATGAATTTTGTGCGTTCATGAAATAACAATGTTTTCATTAGCTTATTATTACAGGAATGTTTCTTACTATAGCAAAAAAATTTATTAAATTCTCTTTAATGCATGTGTACTGCACACACACACATGTATTAAGAGTTAATAAATAAATGTGTCCATTTGATACTAGATAATTTTTTAAGAGCAATTGAATATTGAGATATTGCGTACATGAATAAGTGAGTGAGAAATAGAAGAGAAAACAAGAATTATATAAATATTTTCAATACGTATAACAATCAACAATAACTAAATGTAAACAATTTTACTTGAATACATAGAGACAAAAGAAACATCTCGCGTACAATGAACATATATAAATTTCATATAAAAGTCGAAAAATATTTTTTAAAATTGCTTATAAATGTGCAATAAAGATATCTTAATTTATTCTGCATATTATATATGTTCCTTTATATTATGCTAAATTGAATGTACGAGATTTTTATATCTACTATTCGTAGAAAATTTACTAGTATTAAATAATAAATGCATTCTAGCGGACGTCTTTGTGCAAAAAATAATAAGTTTTGAAAAATTTAATTCCAAGTCTATGTAAATGTTAAGTTCATGGCATTTGAACTTTCAGCACCATTATGAGAATTCGTGCACGAAAATCTAATTTAGTTGGACGTATGAATATTGTCGCTTATCAGTTTCGAACTTGTATGCTCGCAATAAAGCGTACAAGTAAAAAGCTTCCAAAATGTGAAGTGGCAAAAATATACACTTGTAAAATGTACAATTATTTGCGTTTCTGTTCTTAATATTTTCAAAATTATTATTATTTTCGAACTTGTTTGGCGTTCTCTGTCAACTTTTTCATTTTTGTATAAAGCTATGTTACTTTGAACTCGAGATACAAAAGATTAGAGTTCAAGCTCCTCGGCAGTGCGTGAAAGCCTGTGATTATCGATCCGTCGTCGTTGACTACGCCTCACAGCATCTGCTCTGCGATACGGTTCAGACTTAAGACCGAGAAGAATATCTTCTAGGGCACCATTGTATACTTCATCCTGTAGCAACAGCTTTTTCTCTTGCACTAATCGCGTTTTGTTTTTCAGTTCGTTTATAACAGCATCCTGATTACATACAATAAAAAATAACATTACACTTAAAATATGTTTTGATTAAAAACGTTTCCATATATTAAAGTTCTATATTGTATGTTTATTACATTAATTAAATTTAAGAAAAATTAACGAATACTTATGTAATTTTTAACGTCGGAAATAAAGTTATACTGCATCAGTCAATTTACTTATGCCTTTAATTAAAATACATTACTCATTACGTTATTTATTAAAAAATGTATGAAAGTTCATCTATCAATAGCAGAAGAAAAAAGTGATACTAGGAGAATTCTCTCAAGCAACATCAATGCGAGCAACCACATGCTACTTCATATTTTAATACATTGCTGTTAGTATAAATGTGATTGAAAAACCTGTGTAAAACAATATACCATATAAAGATAAATTTGGTTTTACAAAATTAACTGTTTAAATAGAGCGTAGCTATAATGTGTTTCAGAAAAATATGTATACTCTTAGCGACATAAGTCTAGAAAATATAAAAGCTATTAAAACTTTATATGTGTAAATAAGATTTTGACAATAACAAATTTGTATCTGTCTCTTCGTGTGTGTACGAGCGTGTAAAAATATACACGTGTGCAGTGTGAACATTACAAAACATGTGAATAGGAGGAAGTGAGTGATGGCAAACTTACATGTTGTGAATTGTTTTTACATTTGTTACATTCTGAGCTCCAGTTCATTAAGATGGCGATGTAACAGACTCTTGTTCGAGTTACAGCAAAATTTCGGTGACTTTAAATCCAAATAAATATGTAACAAATAAAAAAAGAAATGTTTATGAAATGTATATGTGATTAAGAAATGAAATTGCTTAAAACAAGGCATTTATAAAACCCAAAAGAGAAGTAACATATATGAATATTACTTTATAAAATCATGCTATTTCACAACATGCATTAAATAATGGATGTTTTTGATATTGTTCTTTTTATAATGATCACAAAATTATCTTGTTATGTATATGTGTGAATATTACAAGATATTTCTCACACAAATCCACCACACACACACACACACACTTATATATATATATGGCCACACACATACAACTTAATTTTTATATACTTGGGAGCACATGTGTGTGTGCACGGGAACAAAAAACTCAGCTGAAAGTTGCAACTAAATTCCAGCAATATAAAACCAACCAAAAAAGAAACCTTTTCCTTCGACAAACGTGCCAAATAAAATTTAAAAAAAATAATAACGTATGCAATTTATAAGTCAAGTGCACCAACAACTTTTGTTTATACTGATATTATTCTATTATTACAATCATAAGGTATTAAGAATTTGTTTGTGTATCTTTATATATAAGTTGTAATTATAAATGTTATTCGTGTGAGTGTATTAAAGTGAGAAATATATATAATGAATATGTTAATCTCATGTAGATAAAATACAAGTAGCATTGATGTTGTAGGAGAGAAATCCAATAAAGGAAAGTATATCACTTATTAACATATGTGTGACTCCAATTGTGATAAAAGTTTAATTATTATACAGCTTTACAAGCAGTATTAATAAGTTTAATAAGACACACGCACAAAAGTACGTTAGTACCTTCAATCTTTCTTATAACTTTTTGCTGCTTAATAATAATGCATAATAAGAACGCCTTTTAAAAACCCAACAAAATTTACATGTTAAACAAGGAAATGTTTTTAAACAATCTAAGTATAGAGCGACAGATTTATAAGCATTTAAAGAAGAAAAAGAAGAAGATCCCACTTCGTCCAGAAAGCCTGATACGTAAATCAGATGTAAATACACAGAAGTATGTTACAAAATGTACGACATACCTGTTGTTTCTTCTGATTTAACTTATTACGTTTTATAACTTCTTCTGAAGTATTTAAAGCTTCTGCTGCAGCAGCTTCTAATCTGCGACGTTGTTCATTCTCTTGATCCGCTACCTAAACAAGTTCATGCAGAGTTTCTTATTTACTACACGTGTCACTTTATTTTTAATAAAAACGCAATATTGTATATATATTGAAATGAATAAAGCTTTCAATGTTTTACATACATTTTTTCAAAACAAACACACCTTAAATGCTCTCGCGAATCTGACGAGAAGAGAGAAAAAGGTATTAGCATCAGCCTGTCTTGGGCTTTCCCCAAAGAATTCTACACACTCTCGGAATGTTTCACCAGCAGTGCGTGCGTCAAGTTTCAAACGACGCAATTTTTCTTCAGAGTTATTCAAAAAGTCACGCAATACTGTATTGTGCTTTTCCTTGCCGCGTAATTCGAATTCTTTCCGTACAAGATCCATGCCTTTTTCCAGTTCGTGAACATCAGTTGTTATATTCTCCAGCGAGACTAAGATTAACATACAATTTTGCAATATTGAAAATATTCGAGTAAATATTTAGAAAGAAACAAAAGTTAGTGCGTAAAAAAATTAAGTAAGCCATACCTGTTGCAGCTTTATCGATGTACATTAATTCCGATTCAAAATTAATCAGTTCTGGGAATTTGACTCGTATTGTGGCAACAATGTAATGCAAAAGGCACATTCTTTTGTCGGTTGATTTGGTATCCAATAATGTATCTAAACTTTGTAACTTGAAGCCGTACGCTGGGCCCCGTTTGCTACTGTTTAAGTAGTTACCAAAGGCAAGAATGATTTCTAATACTGCTTTTAACTTCTTTGAACTCTTAACAGAACTGGACGCAGATATCACAGCATGTGTTTGTGGCGTAATAAGATGTAAATTGTCGAAGAAATTTCCTATATAATTCATAATTGACAATTTGGTAGATATCCTCTCTACTTTACCGAGTTGCATCAAAAATTTATCTTCTTCCGTCAATAAATTGACATTCTTCTTTTCTATAATATATTCGCGATAAGCCTTTATCTAAAAAAAGAAAAAAAATACATTATTAATAAACATACATTATTTATTGCAGAGTTCTGTAGAGAACAAGATTTCTAGTGATATAGGAGTGAAAAAACAATCCGTACCTCTTGATCCGTGGGTACCATACGTTGAAGCAATTCTACATTTTCAAGTGAAAGAACTTTCAAGTCAAGAGCATTTACCGCCATTATTACTTTCTCAACGGGCATTTCCATCTTTCGACGTGATATTGCTATAAATTAGAAAAGAAAAAACTTACGCATACAATAAGCATATTTTTTCTGTACAACATAGATGAAGAAATTGATTACCAATATTTCGCAATCTCGTGTGTTCCAACAGTGATACATTTTCAGGTTTCTTGAATCGTTTACTCGGGAAGCTGTGAAGTCCATCAATCTCACTATTACCATTGGCCACGTGTCCGCTCATACCGATCTTGAAGCGTTCTTCAAAATCGGAGAAGTCGATGTAGTTGTGTAGACGTTCATCGTCTAGTTCATTAAAGATAGTACCTCGCACTTGATTAGGTTTCAAAGCGATCCAGTTCAGTGTAGGAAGTTTGTACTTTGTTTGGACCTGGAAATAAGTACAATTTTTCGTATTAAGCGAGAGCAACGATTTATGTAGAATATGAGATCTTATTTGATAATTTTAATTTTTTCCAGCTTTATGCTCGATAATAGTTGACATGCTTTTAATATATTTTTATAGATAAAAGGAAGAAAACATACTTTTCGTTTAATAGTCATCGCGCCGTCAGGCGCTTGCATCATGCCAGCAGGTGGTGGAGGTATCGGTACAGGTGGTGGTAACTTATGGTCTCCCGGGGAAAGAGGCGCCATAGGAGGCGGCGGTGGACAAGGTGGCGGAGGTGGAGGTGGTGGTGCAGGAGCTGGTGAAGGCGCTTGACTTGACGTCGGTGACGGTGGTGATGTGAACGACTCAGATGTAATATCATTCGAATTGTTTAATGGACTCGTTGCAGATCCGTTTCGTAAACTAGCGGCTAAAAAAATCGATAAACATTTACAATAAGTCTCCCGGTTATTGCTAGTTGCATGTATGAGCAGTATGAGGTTTTGAGATTGTGAAATACCTGACGAGCCTTTTGTAAGCGTTCCTGTAAGAGTTTCCAATTCAATAATCTTGTTCTCCAGAACGCTCTGTCTTCGAGCAGAATCTTGTCTCTGTCTCTTCAGAGCCGTGAGTTCTTCCTCCACTAATCTACGTGCTTCTAAAGCATCAGCATATTCTACTTTTAATGCGCCTAATTCAGTTTCTAACTCCGCTAATTTCGCCAATGATTCTCTTTCTAATTCTGCCATACGGTCGTGTGCCTGTCATATCGTCACATGTTTAATAATTATTGCAAATAACAGTTTACTAATCTATTAAAATAAATTTTATTTATATTCTACACGCTCGCGCGCGCGCGCGCGCGTATGTACTGGAATAATAAGAAATATAAATTTATTCCTTACGTGGCCAAGTTCGTCTTCTAATTCCGCTACTTTCTCTAACGCTGCAGTCTTTGTTTCGCTGTCTTCCATTAAGGCAGCTACATCAAACACGTTATCTAAATACGCCGAGATTTGAACCTGAAAAAAGAAGATAATATAAAATTAATCAACAAAACAAAAATTGTAAACATTAGGCGAAAATCGGTCAAAAATGTCAAATTATTCCGAATTCTGTTGCACAATAAAACATTTGTCAGCAAACATTTGTGTTTCTTTAACTTTTTTTTTTCAACTCAAATTTATAATAAACATTTGATTTACTTGCCTGTAAATCTTCACTCTCGGTGTGCCTAAGTTTCTCAAGATATTCGTCCAATCCAAGCTTTGTAAATTCGTATTGTAAATGTACCCTGAAGTTCATATCCTCAACCGAATGCACGACAATATTAACAAATTGCATACATGCAACCATAAATTCTATATGAAAGCTGTCGTACTGAGTGAAATATGCCATTAGTGTCGTAAATCTTCTTCTCTCGGAGCAAACTTCTTTAAAGTTATCGAACGCTGACAAAATAATTTCGTGGCCACCCTTTACTAGGCAAATTGCAGCAAGCAGCTCTAACACTAAAGCTTTTGTTCTGAAAAAACGGAATATCCGTTGCAACAGTGGCACATTAAACTCTTGAGACACGCTTATTAAAAATAACTTAAAAAAAGCATTAAAAGATTTTTATCTCATCAATAAAGCAATCTTCATCATAATTGACCACAAGCTTTACATCGTTTATTATGATTCATCAAGAAATTAAGTGATTACGTTAAACAAATTGTCAATACACACACACACACACACGTTATAACACTATTTACTTGTGATAAAATAAACCTGATAAAGGAGCAAGTACTCAGAGAAAAGAGAAGAGGAAAAGAGAGAAAGTGATAGGAAATAGAAAAGAACAGATGCGAGGGAAATAAAAAAAAAAGACGATAGAAGAAAAAGAGAAAGAGCAAAAAGAGAGAGAAAGAGCAAGACAATACATGACTCACCTCAGACTTTTATGGATTAAACTTAATGCAATGCAATTGATAGCTTCTCTATGTTGAATAACCATGTTAAATCCATACTGCGAAACATGAATACATATATTTCATTATGCACACGAATAAACGTAGATATTGCACTTTCTCTACATATTGTGTGAAGTATAAAAATAAATGAAGTATTGTGTGCGCAATTTTATGCGTATGTATATGTATAATTTTTCAATATAAAAAGTAATATTTTGATTTTGACTGTTGGTTTGAGACTTAATATTCACCTTATTATTCATAATTGCGCGCATGCACAATATACAAACATGAATGTCGTCTTTTGCTTCGCCCATATTTAGACGCGCCACGTGTCGAGATCTCCTTTTAACACCAGGACTATCTTTGAGCTCGTGAAGAGGCGGTCTTAAGCATCCGTTATTTAACGACGAAATATCACCGGCGCCTGCTGTGTTAATATTATTACTGATTATTTTTTTATCTGTATCGCGTGTGTTTGAACACAAAAGCTTGTTAGAATCATCTATAGATCTTGTTGCTTCTAACAGATTAAATTAATTGAATCTAATTTGTCTTTTTTTTTTTTTTTTCAACATCTTAATTGATTTCTTACTAGTTTCGAATTTTTCTTCGGAACTTGCATGAGATTCCAAGAGCCGCTGTTCGTGCCGCATCATCAGTAGTCTGAAGCTGAGGTAGTCTATCAAAGCATCCAAGCCTTGATTTTCTTCATCCAAGAACTCTCTCACCCATCTACAACACTATTGAGCTCAGAATACAAGCTAGAGGAAACACTGACATTGTAAATGTACCAACTACTTCAAAGAGGAAGAGAGAGATTAATACAATACGTGTATTGCAGAAACGTAAATTAATTAAATTTGCTTACTCAATGTGATTTGTGCGTAAGGATATTTCCAGATCGCGTAAAACTTGAGTTGACGTAGACTCTCCAACCATTTTCCTTTTCTGGAAGAATGTAAGGAAACGATACGACTGTGTAATCATTAGTATGAGTCTGACAAAATTCCTTCCGGACGAATATAACATAATTTTATACTTTTTTTTATATCAAAAAACCAATGTTTTAATTTAATCAAAACCAAATATTATTTATATAATTAATTTAAGTTACACACAAAAAATCTATCTCAACATATTTACACATTCTATTTAACATATTAAATATAGAAAAAACACATAGATTAAAGCTTCATTATTATACGATTTATTTCTGGGAATTCTATCGATAAGATGACGTTCAAAGCACAATTTACACAAAAAGAAAATAGAAATAATACAAAAACAGTAGATAAACACAGAAAAATAAAAAATAAAGCAACGTACTCGATGGCTTCGTGATGCTTTGGGGTCCAGGTAAGTACGTAATTTCGCTAGATAATGAGACGGTGGATCTTTCGCCTGTACTCTTTCCTGCAAGCATTTCATTTCAAGTCTAACAACTTTAATTTTTATTACTAGTTAGACAATAATGCAGAAGTTATAAAAAGTTTTTTTTTTTTTTGTTCTGATCGTCTGCGACCTTTGCAGTAATATTTGTGAAGGAAAACGGAGAGGATACACGCATGTGAAAAGGGCTGTTGAGCATTTTTTTTCAGTTCGTATCGTATAATAGCACAGCTTGCATTACATCCGTCTCGTGTTGCGCACATGTGCTCTACAGGCAGATTCAAACATCTTGACTAACCATCGATTGTCTATACAATTTATTTCAACCTTAAAAATGCGCTTGAAGCTTTTTATATTTTTCAGTTTTCATTTTACAATTTTGTAAAGTATCAAAATATATCTCGTCTTTGTTTGGTTTTATATTAATACGCGGCAAATAATGTAACGAGAGATAAGTACAGATTGTGTGAACACGTGCTGATAAATCGAGAAATAAAGCAGATGAAGATATTAGATATATTGTGAAAGGAAGGAGGAAAAGAGAGAAGGAGAGAGAGAGTGTGTGTGTTTAATAATATATCCGTATAATTTCTTAGAGCGGAGTCGCGCGATTACGTCAATTCTCCGTTCAATTCGCAGAGACTGCTTTCACAAGAACTCGATCCGCTATTTAATGATCTACGATTAACCCTTTCGCTGCATGTGTCGACTTTTTTCTCAAAATTCTATGGCTTTGCGAAATTCGTGCATGCTCCGACATGTACATGCGTATACAGAAATGTATGTCGTGCCGAATTTGATTTGAAAATAACAATCGATGACGACGTCAAAATTTTTTCTCTTGAAATTCTTCTGAGAGAGCCCACAAAGAACAATTAATCAATTGTCAAATAAATCGCGTCGCACCAAAAGAGTTAAAACTTTCAATTTTTGATGTGTATTACATACACGTGTGTATTGGATTTATTTTATACATCTCAGTACGTACTTGGTCACATATAATGTCCCATTTTTTTTCATTGTCATATTGTTTTAAGAGTTTCGCTTTGTCCGGTGGTAAATCCATAGAGGCCTGCAACACAAAAAGCAACAGCTCGCATAAGTAAACCAACACTTTTGCCTGATTTCCTGCCACTTTGGAGAAAGCTAACGTTCTCCTTCGCTGAATAGAATGGATTACAAGTGAACATAATGCAATTTCTATTTCTGTTTTCATGATAACAACCATTATGCCATTGTAAGTCTGGCGTAATATTTATTCTAGAGAGAGAGAGAGAGAGAGAGAGAGAGAAGTACGCGGTTTACATGTACATAAATTTCTTGATGGCAATCAAGAAATGCAAAAAAAAAAAGTAAATAGCTTGTTGAATTAATTTAGCAGCACTTAGCGGCATTGGCCGTGACTTGTCTTGCCACTTACAAACTTGAGCGGAATTTTATGCATGGTGTTTCGGCGTTCAGGAAGTTCGGTGGTATTGTTCCCGGAAAACATGTGTTTTTATCGCAGTTTCTTTATCTTGTGAGTGAAGTCCGACAAAAAAACGAAGTTTATATAATTGCATGTGTGTGCCAGATGTTTTGACGAGTTTTTCAGATTTATATTTCGGCGCGTAAGAGCAAACTGCATATTCTGATTCACAAAACGAGTGAATCGGCTGTTGAAAGTGACACGGTACATCTTCATCACCTGCCACGTGTTCCAACTATTGTACATGTGAAAGTACGTATTTATTATTTAATTAGAGATAATTTGCTACATGGTCCGGTCAATTACGTAGTGTATATAAAACGTATGTTCGAAAATGATGCATTTCCGTTCCCGTCAGATATTGCCTTGCGTTCTTAACGAAATTGGTCATTACTTTGTTCGAGATATTTGTTGCGACAAACTGTTTTTGTTGAGAGCAATTTTTACGGCTAACTAATTAATTAATTAATAATAGCAATTTTTACGGCTAGCTAATTAATTAATTAATTAATAATAGTTTTATTATAACTATACAAAATATCGTATTCGTTTTATCACAAACGGCATTAGTTTTTTTTTCTTATTAAATTATTTATTCGATAGTAAGAAAAAACGAACGTCTTGGAGGCGTCAAGAATGAAACTAATCTTTATTAGTGAGATCGACGGAGTTACTAGCAGACTACTGCGCTCGTTACACGGACACTGACCTCCGAACGACTAACAAGAGAGAGCTTTCAACTTAGGACGTCCATCAACGGTTTTCTGCCCGATGAAAGGGCAAATTTTCGGCCAAGTCGCAATCAATCAATCAGTCGCAGTCAAATCAATCAATTCTGCTATCAAGCCTGAAACACATCTCCTCAACTTTACGCAACTCATTGTATCATAAGAAAAAAAACCAACGAGATTTTCTGTAAATATTTGTGTCTCACAATCAGTCAAAACATCAGTCAAACGAGTGTCTTAGAAACTATCTTGATATGATAGATGCATTCACAAATACTCGTATCGACTACGGTGTATTTTACACGTAATGTAAGTTTTGTTATTATTGCGAGTGAATTTTCTGCCAATAACATCGTGCTGTAAATTTTTGCAATCTCTCGGGACTGTGAGATGTCGTTTCTTGCACTTGAATGGAAGGATCTAAAATTAAATGATAACGTCACGATGTGTGCATATACACAACTGTGATGACATCATCTCCCGAATGCACTCGCGTGTGTGACCCTCTGCCATCCCTTTTTTTTTTCTTTTTTTTACGCCGTCATGAATCTACATAAAAAATTCGATTTATCAGTTGAATATGAGAAATACTGTACGTGTGTGTACGCATCTATGGCTGGTCTTATCTTTTATCGGAGATATTTTTGAGAGATCCCGACAGTAGCTTGTCATTTTAGGAAATCAAAACTTTTTCAATACACACACTTGTGTTTTTGTTGTATACTTTATTCTGTTTACTTTCTCGAGCGGATAAAACTACGTAAGCATAAATGTGTACAGATATGTATCTTCTGGCGATTCTTTTTGACCGAGTTATCGACACTAGAGCGGATTGGCGGATCGTTACAAATCCGAGAGATATTAACGAGAGCGCTGATCTTATGTTAAAATAAAGTTTACAAAATAGAATCTGTTGCTAACGTTGGAGGTGGCGGATGAGATACTGACAAAATGAGATGCGGGTCAGTTGCAAGCGTCGCATACCCGCGCCGTCAAACCGTGGCAGAATCTAATCGCGCAAGTGAGAGAAGAACAAATCACCTTTCTCGAGCTTCATTAAGTTTCCGCCAAGCGGAAGGCGAACTCACGCGACATCGAGGTCAGGGAAAACTTTTGATACAGCCCTGGAGCCGAGTTTCGTGATTCGAGCAAAGCGGTTTTCTACAACGCGCGCGACTAACCGGCGGTGACTCATCGACGCGAGAATCTGTAATGAAACACAACATCCTACAATAATTTCCAGTTACACGACGACGATGACGATTGCAACGAATATGACATTTAATTCAGAGACGTTTTCTCTCGAGTAATTTCTCTAAACGTTTTTTTTTTTTTTTTTTTTTTTTTAAATCTTTTGTTGCATGTGTGTACGTTGTTATTTCTCGTTGTTATTGGGCCAAAGCCTTGGAAAATTTATTTATCGCAAATTACTCCGTCGTTACTGGCAGAAATCGTGATGGTTGACGATCTCAACACGATACGCGCATGCATGCTCTTTTTAGTATTCGAACACAGCGGCGTGCTTTGTTAGACCAGCGCTTCTCAACTTATTGTCAGCAAGCTCCGCTCAATTTCGAAAGAATTTTGTATACAAGCAATTTATAACAAATAGCAATTACATTAGATGGTTGTACAATGATGTAAGAATATAACAATAAATTCGCATATTAACATAACAGTACTTTTAATCACAACTATCTTGAAACAAAAACTTGATAGTTAAGAGAAAGAGAGAAACACAGACAGATACACACACAGATTAATGTCGCCAAATGCGCCTATTCAATGGAACGCATCCATCGTACCAACTTTCAAATAGCGACGATGTGTGCACCGCTCACGGAGATCGAATATCGGCAACTCTTGCGCAATAAACATTTCTCATAAACATTAGTGCCGTAATAGTAAAGCTTACGTATGTCTGTTTCGGTAAAAAAAAGTACGCGCAAGGCGAAAACCAGCTCATCAAAAAAAAAAGAGATATTTGCAGCACGTTGCACATAAAGAGAGAGAGTGTGTATCAGTCACTTTCATTCTTTTCTCCAGTACGTAATTTTATACAATTCTGGAACTATATAATACAACATTGTCTAGCCAATCTTCGTCGAACAAATTTGCAACTTACTTTAACTTATAGAAAATTGACTGGAGACGCGTGAACATTTTCATGACAAAAAGATGTTGGCGGAAACTTAATAGCGAACCAGTGGTCATATCCTGCGAGGATAACGAGATCAATTAAGCGATAAGGTCGCTTTGCACATCAGCAAGAAGACAAGTCGGAAGGCAGATTATACTGAAGATGATGCCGTCGGACAAGAATCGCTTTAACGATTACTTGGCTTCCTTAACGTCGATCCTCACTTTCCGTACGTTTCGTCAAACCCGAGACTTTTTCTCAGCTAGTTGAACCGGCTGAGCGCCTGCGATGATCGCGTGATGTATTTTTTCTCGATACGAGACATCATCTTGGCTCTCATGACGATGTAGATCTACGACCAGTTTGCATAACGACTTGATCGATCCTCCGTGATTACGAAGAAACACACGCAGTCTTTTTAAACCAAGTGTTTTTCTTCATCATTTTTAATCAACGCCATATGTATTCAGCGTGTCAAAATAATCTGAAAATTATCATATAATCAAACTAGCGCTCTCTGTAATCTTCTCACATCTTCGTATCTACGGTTTTCTTCTATTTATTTTACGAGAGAATGTAGAAGACATTTTTATAGAATATAAAAAGACAAATATACGGTATACCTCTCTAAAAAAATCTCTCATAAAACTCGAAAATGATCAGAAGATAGTGAAAAAAGTAGAGAGAGAACGAAGATATGAGTTAATAAATTGAAACATATTCACGATGTTAGATCGTTGTTGCAACGTTAGCCGTACGATGTATAATCGAATCTTATTTGGTGAGAGCCGCTGCTTGCGTAGGCGTGCCGTGTCCTCCTCGTCGTCTATCTTTCTCTCCTCCTCTTTCTCACTCTTTCTCTCTCTCTTCCTTTCTCTTTCTCTTTCTCTCTCTCTCTCTCTCTCTTTCTCTATTTTTATACTGATGAATAAAGTATTAAATAAGAGATCGCGCTTCACAATGTAAATCCTTTATAAAACTTTGTGTATCAGAAATGACCTTTTTGTTGTGAAACATTAGCTATAACTTAACCGGCTATAAGTTACAAGCTGCATGTTGATACTGCTCGGCTTGTTACTCATGTTACACACCTGGGATGGTGAATATGATTATGCTCTTCTCTATCTCGCCGCGCGTAAGTGTCACAATTAATATTGTTGCGCGCTCGTTTACATTTCGTCGCACGCACCGAATGTTTCGCACGCATTAATTAAATCGAGTTACGAGTACATACAGAGACGATCTAATTGACAGTCACGTAGGTGATGACTTTGTTATTTTTTTTCTTGCGAGTAAAATTATCTCATCCCGACTCGTGCGCCTATATCAAGAGCGCGACGAAAAAATTGAGATACAAAATTCAAATTTAAGATGATTGTTTATTATTGCGAGTTAAAGTTATCTAAAATTTTTGTTAAATATTTGTTAAAGCAACAAATGAAAGAATTCATTAATTGACAAACGCACATCTTAATTACACTGATAAAATATATATATATATATATCACAGTAAACATAAATTTGAGAAACTTGCTGTAGAATATCAGCAAATGTCGTTTTTCAGGAATGTGTGAGAAGATATGCGTAATTTCATCCGGTCTCTAGCTAGAAAGAAGAAAAGTGCAAGGCATACATATATTTACCAGCACTTTGGTGAAGCGTCTTTCGAGTTCGATAGCGTCCGGCATCGGCTGCCTTGGCGCGCTACGTACGCTGCCGCTGCGTGTGTGATGAGGTCCGCCCAAACTGCCCGGATGACACGAGTGATGAGGCACAACACCGGCCTTGATACCACCGACAAATACTTGGCGCACACCTCCATCGCCCTCGCTATCACGGCTTTGCACGATACCCATTTCTTTTTTTTGTTTTTTGTTTTTTTTTTGTTTTCTTTTGCTTCGTACTGACGAAGCAAACGGCCGATTCCCGGAGCTCGCGACTTTTTATGCTACACGACGTCGAATGGCACGGATGATACGCTTATGACGACGATCACTGGACGTTTGACACCGTCAACCCACATATACACGTTCAGACGAGAAACGTCAACAAGGGACACGACGGTGCATTCTGCTCTTCGCCCAGTCACTCACGCGATGACTGAGAATCACTTAAAAGGCGTGCCGATATACAGGCGAGGAGAGGAACCAATTCGGTCCGCAACAGGTATCGCCGCCGCCGGCTCGTCGTCCATCGCGAATATCTACAGCGGTTTCCACGACTAACGCGACCCTCCCTGGCTTCACCACACAACACTCACCGGACGTTTATCGAACGAAACATTCGTGGCGTCTACGTTGCCCTCGCAACTTCAACTCCGTTTCTCGCCACTCCGCTCGGTTCGCCACCTTTCGTCTCCTCTCTCCTCCGTGTTCAGCGCCACTGATCACAGCTTAAGCCGGGAACGCAAGAAAAGATTTCAGCATTAAGTAAATCAGCCAATCGCAGACCAGCAACATTTCTTGAAACACCAGGAATCGATATATGAAAAACTCGAATTATCGAACGCCATACTTGTTATATCAATTTTGAGGTCAAAAATTCTGATTGGCTGCGTTACTACGCATGTACGGGAATACAACACCTTGTTGTCCTCGCACCATGGATCTTACGTAAATTAGTTTTTCTCTTCTTATTTAGCCACTAAACAAACCATTATATTATCTTTACGTGTAAACTCTATTTTATAATACAACAAATAAAAATGAGGAGATCACCGTTAAATGATCCACGTGGCAATCAAACGTACAACATGATGAGGCACACACCGTACAGTTGGAATTCGCATAACAAAGCAAACAAAGGTTATCATTCTGTTGAGGATGATAGAAACCAACGTTGTTCCGTGAATAATGAACAACCTTCCGAAGATAATTTTATTCCTTTGAACGTTAGTTCTCCAGTGGTACATTACAAGAAGCAAAGTACAAATCAATATACTTCACAGAGCAATTACAACAGTCCAAATAGTGGATGGTCTAGTTATAGAAATAACTATCACGTTGCTCATGGAAAGTGTAATAATCGATATCCTGCCAATAAGCATTTTGGCAAGCAATTTTATGGAAATTATCAAAAAAGAAAAGTAAGTTTTGATCTTCAAAATTTTATGCATGTGGGATCACAAATATTATATGGCAGAATCTCTTTTCATACTATTGTGCTATGGATATCAATTATTTTGAATATGTTTATTTTAGGGTTTTAAAGGAACAGATAATAGACAAAGAGATATATCAGCATATATACATCCTTCTTTTTTTGAAGATCCTTGGGAAAATCTAGTCAAAAATAGAAGACAAGATGAAACAATGAAAGATGAATCTCTGTCTGATTCTGTAGTGGCTAATCTTTCTGATTCTACAGAAAAGTCCGAAAGCCAACTTTCAGCATCTACAAGTTTGGGTGATTCGCAATGCAATCAAAAGTGTGAAAGTAAATCTGTAGATACAAGTTTTGAGTTAGAGAATGCAAATGTCAGTCAAACATTAAAAATTGATAGTTCATCAGAACTTGAGATAAGTGATGTTTGTGATGATAAATGATATTAACGGTACAATTTGTGAAGTCGCAGTACAAAAGAATTAATATTCACTTAAGTACATTGCTGACAGGTGTTAATATTGTATCAAAAAATTTGATATAAAAAACTTACGTGTATAAGATTTTAAAGAGAGAACAAATTCACAATGAGAAATGCAAGATATAATACACACAAAAAACGATAAAAAAAATTTATATGTATATATTCAGAATTGCTACATGTAAACTGTATACAAATTAATCATTTTTATATCTGTATATATTATACACAACAGCGCAGTATCAATTTTATATACTCTAAGTTTATCTTTTTTTTTTTTTTTTTTTGAAGATATGATTACTTTTATACTCTTAAAGCTAGTAATCTTTAATTAATTAATCTGTAATTACACTTCATACAAAAAATTATAAAGTTCCAGACATCAACACTGCATATTTCTTGCATATTATATTTTCACAATTATGGCTGTGAAAACAATGTGTAGGAGTTATCAGTTATATGTGCAATTTTATAATATATGTCATTAATCATGTAAGAAGCAAGTAAACGGTAGAAATACTAGCTAAGTAGACTGTTATTTGTAGATGTTTTTAAGCGAACTCTGAAAGCATATGTGTATAAAAATTTGTTTTATATCAATGATTCACTTTTCTTTCTTCAAAAATTGAGATAAAATCCCAAATAAACCAAAAGTCAATTCCAGCAGAATTGACTTTATGTAAGTATATTTTTCAAAGGTAATATTTTGTATGAACTAGATTAAACATTAGGAGACTAAATTCATTCATACGAAGTAAGATAAACGTTGTTATATATCGAAAGAAAAGTGTTTCTACACATATAGTAATAAGACTTCTTTTTAAGCTAGAAATTAATGAAATTGTATAAAATTGTATATTATACAATTATGTAAAAACGTTTATAAACTATGTATTATGTGTATAGAATAGGATATTGCTAAGAAAACTAGAGAGAAAAAGGAGAGAGACGCGAACATATTCTCCTCTATTCAATATGTATAATTTCAAATAATAAAATTTTCACTCACTGACCGATTTTCTTATTTATAATGAATTGCAAAATTACACATGCGAAAAATTGTGAGATCGGATTCCTGTTTCAAAGTTTTTGCAAATGTGATTGTACATGCCACTAATAGGCAATAGAAAAAAACTACTTTGTTCTGTATTAGTTCTGCTGAAGAAAAGCATATTATCATCAGAAGATACACCACTCATTTTCTTTATAGTTCGCAAAAATAAGATCCTCGTGGCAGGAGGCGCTGAAAGTTGTTCCCCTTCCAAAAGATTGAGTTTAATATATATATATGTATACGTAGAAAGAAGCCATAGTGTTGAGTCTAAGTAATAAGTGTCTTTCAAATATATTTGTTTTATTATATTACTACATTAATAATAAAAATCATTGATAATCAGAAAAAATTGTTATTGTGAGTAGTAAGTATAGAAAAGCTGTATATTCCATGGCACTTTCATTAAATGATCAAGTCTACACAAAATCTTTTACTCCCCGGGAGTATCAGGTAAGGTTTTTATATGTTAACGTGCTTGGAGTAAGCTCGAAAGATTAAAGAAAAAACTATACAAATAAAACATTAAAGACATTTTGTGCAAATTTCAAGTATAATATAAGTTGTACATGAATTATTTTATATACCTTAGTGATTATTTGTAGGTGGAGCTTCTTTATGCAGCAAAAGAAAAAAACATAATTGTTTGTTTGGGAAAAAACACTGAGCAAACTTTTCTCGCAATAAAATTAATTCAAGAGTTTGCTACAAACAACAGGAGGTAATAAAGAAATATATTGTTTATATATATACACATATATGTATATATATACATATATATCATGTTTAAAGAATTGTGATATATTAAAAATAAAGTTTGAGAAAAATAAAAAATTATTTAATTATGCTTATAGATTAGCAAGTAATGGTGGAAAACGAGCAATATTTATATTAAATGACAAAGACAAGTCAACAATAATAGGAACATATATAAAACAGTTAACAGATCTGAAAGTATTAGCATGCAATGATTGTAATATAAATGAAAAATTTGCTGAAGATTTTAACATTTCTCATGTAAGAAAAGAATTTATTTAATATATATTTGTGATATTATTATACCAAAATGGATTATATAGGAAGCGATTTTTATAATATATATATTTTACTTTATGTGCAGGTATTAGTTGGAACGCCAAATGTTTATGCACAATTAATATCAGAAAAAAAACTTTTACCATGTCATATAAATCTAGTCATAGTCGACGAGTGTCATAAATGTATTGAAGATAATAATTTAAAATTTATTCTTCAAACTTTTCTATTGTGCAATAATGTTCCTAGAATAATTGGGTTAGCAGTGCCAGTGTTTAATTTGACTCAAGAGCCTGGAAGATTGGGTCTAGAAATAGAAAAGGTAGAAACTACCTTTCAATGTGAAGTAGAAACTGCTAATGATATATTTTCAATAGTACGGTAAGAGACAATTGCAATTTTTTTAAAATTTTATATTTGTTTTGTTTCTTACAAACTTTCTCATAATATGAAAATTCCATTCAGATATAGTCCAAAACCAAGAGAATATGTTGTTGAATATGCAAAAGGAGAAAAGAAAGATTTGTATAATACGCTAGAAAGTTGTGTGTTACATGCTATTGAATTTTTGCAAGATCATCGCTATGATCCAATGGAAATTTATACTGAAGAATTTTATGAGGACATACAAAAAATTCCTGATCCCATACAAAAACCTTTTGAGATGATGCAAGATTTTTTGCATGTATTAGAAACCCTTGGACCATGGTGCGCAGATCGTGCTGCCTTGGCATTATTAATTTTAACAGAAAAATTGAAAATCAAAACTCCTTATGAGAGACATTATCTTCTATTAAATATGATGACATCTGTTTTTATTAAAATTCGGTAAGATTTTAATAACAATAATAATTATTATATGATAATATTGATAATCATGATATAATAATAGCTTTATATATTAATAAAAATATATGTAAGAGTCAAAAATAATTTTTACAGTGCTATTTGTGATAATGAATTTCAACACTTATCTGAGAAAGAAAAAATATACCGATATACTACTCCAAAAGTTCATCGACTATTAAAGATTTTAAAAACTTATACTCCTTTTTATACTAAAGAGGCTATCACACCAGAGAAAAAGACAAATACTGGTAAGACATTTTTATAATATATTAAATATATGTTAGCATTATTTTTTTCTCAATGAAGTACATAAGTTATACATACATATTTTCCAGAAACTGATACACAAAACTGTGATTTAAAAGATGACAAAGACACTTCCGTGAAAACTCCAGAAAAACCAGCACAAGTAAAACGATTTGGAGGTAATTGGAAATCTAACGATGACAATTACAAGAAAATGCCCAAATCACAACGTTACTTGTATAGTAATGCGGATCCTGATTCACTCTGTGGAGTAATTTTTGTGGATAAAGGATTCATAGCTAAAGTTTTATTTTATCTCTTAAATGTATGTATAAATCTCATTATAACGATATAACATTTTCGACAATTGATTTAATAAATATTAATCGTAGGAAATATGTAAGCATGATGAAGATTTACATTTTTTATCGCCTCTTTATGCAATCGAAAAAAATACTGACGACAATAGTTGTTCAAGAGACGTTGAAAGTGAACATAGAAAGCAAGAAGAAGTTTTAAAACGATTTAGAATTCATGAATGTAATTTATTGATTGCAACTTCAATGTTAGAAGAAGGTTTGTGATATTTTTTTGTTTATATTAAATGTCCTCTCTATTTAATTCGTTATTCATAAATGTTTTAATTTTTTTCACAGGCATTGACATTCCAAAATGTAATTTTGTGATGAGATACGACTTCCCAAAAGATTATCAGTCATATATACAGTGCAAGAGCAGAGCGAGAGCTGTGGATGCCTTATATGTGCTATTAGTACCACAAGAAGTATCTAAAGACTTTATATGGCAATTAGCTCAATATCAATATATAGAAAAGGTGCAAACTTGCAGAACTCTCGATCTTATATATAAATCTCTATTTTATGTAAAAAGTTTGTAGCTTCTTTTTAAAACAAAATTTATTGGTTAGATTTAATTTTATAGTCGAGCTTATATATCTCTCAAAATTTGTATGTTATTGCATACGTTTTATTTAATTTATTCATGAACTTCAGTGTGTACCAGTTTTATTATCAACCTTTAATGTGGTTCATTATCTGTGACAACCTCAGTCGAAAATTGTAATGGAAGAGCATCAATCTATATTTTGTAGACTTTATTATTAAAATGTTCTAATAAAGAGCTAACTGAAGAGGAAGAGAGTGAGGCAGATATGTATGCTGCAATGATACCACATTACAAACCACTCGATGATGATGATGCTCCCAAAGTGACTTTTAATTCTGCTATTTCGTTGATAAATAGGTAATATAATATTCCAAGAGATTTTTTTTTTTTTTTTTTTAACGACAACAAACTTCAATTCACATCGTTGAAGTGCCATTTATTATTCTATTTATTCTAGTTTATAAACATTACACGCTAATATGTAATCATTTATGCAGATATTGTGCAAAATTACCTAGCGATACTTTCACGAGATTAACACCAGAGTGGTTCATTGAAACAGTAAATATTCAAAATACAACGATGTATACCTGTTCGTTACGACTTCCTATAAATTCTCCATTAAAATACGTAGTTACGGTAAGCAGTGATGGTATAGAAGTGTAAACTTCATTGTTTAATCTCTCGGTTGATGCACGTGTGTCGTTTTGTGTTCCAGTCGTATCCGATGCCAAATAAAGCAATGGCTAGGCGTATGGCTGCCTTGCAAATGTGCATTGATTTACATCGAGAAAATGAGATAGATGATAATTTATTGCCTATTGGAAAGGAGAATTTTAAAGCCAAGCCTGAAGATGCTGAAGTACCCGCTTTGCCGGATGAAAATAAAGCTGACTTTTCGGAAGCTAGACCCGGCACAACAAAACGAAGACAATATTATTATAAAAAAGTTATACTTGTTTTTTGACTATTTATTTTTGTCTTTTTAATCACAATAGTTATTAAAACTTCATTATTATTTTTTAGACAGCCGCAGCGCTAACAAATTGTAGACCAATAGTTGGACAACCATCTTATCTATATCACATTAGTATGGTACTAACTTGCCCTTTGCCTGAAGAACAAAATACACGAGGTAGACGTATATATCCTCCTGAAGAATCGGCCATTGGATTTGGCATACTCACGTTAAAAGAGATACCTAAGGTAATAATTTTTTAAATTGTGTTATATTTTTGACTTAATTCCAATTGTATTTCTTCTAGAAATGTATAACTTGTTTTCATAATGCACATAATTTGTCGTTTTTTCTTTACAGTTGTGTCCATTTCCTATTTATACTAGATCGGGCGAGGTTTACGTACAATTAAAACTTAGCAAACAGACTGTGATTTTAGACGAAATTCAACTAAAAAAAGTTGACACTTTTCTTAATTACACATTCACAAATGTTCTGAGATTACAAAAATATCTAATGCTCTTTGATCCGAACACCTCAGAGAATTCGTACATAATTGTACCAGTGAATAAACGTAAGCGGAAATTTTTTCGTAGAACTAATATTGCAAAAGATCTCTTTCTAAATGGGCATAAAGCTTATAAAATATATAACATTAGTTACAACAGATGAAGGTTCAGATATTAGCGTGGACTGGGATTTTTTGGAATGCATTTATCAAAATCGAAATGCAATACCAATCAAAATTCCAGAAGAAGATAGAAAAAATTTCGAGTTTGATCCATCGAAATATTACGATGCTGTAATCATGCCGTGGTATAGAAGTCAAGATCAGCCACAGGTATATAACATAATTTATTATATATTTATAATATTATACTTTATATTGTATTATATGTATTATATACATACTACAGTAATGTCACTGACCTCCGCCGCGCGACCTTAGCGGGGTCACTAACCTCGGTCGCGCGGCCTTGGTGGGGTCACTGACCTCGGCCGCGCGGCCTTGGCGGGGTCACTGACCTCGGCCGTGCAACCTGGGCGGGGTCACTGATCCCGGTCACGTGATTACCGTATATATATATATATATATATATATATATATGTATATGTGTGTGTGTATGTATGTGTATTATATATAGATATAGAATATTATCTATAATATATATTGCGCGTAGCGCGCGCCTGTGTTGTGCTAGTTTAATAAAACTTTTGCATATGTTTTTATTAATTATTGCCGTATCTTCTTTTTTTTCACACACATGCGCATACAGTACTTCTACGTAGCGGAAATATGCACAAATCTGAATCCGAAATCTTCCTTTCCTGGACAAGATTACAGCACTTTTGAAGAATATTATTTAAAAAAATATGGTATACAAATACAAAATTTAGAACAATCGCTGTTAGACGTGGATCATACATCAGCTAGATTAAATTTTTTAACTCCTAGGTGAGATCTGTGAAGCAATTATTTATTGAGACAATCACATTTTAGATAACAACAGATTTAACAGATTATTTATTTTAGATACGTTAATCGCAAAGGCGTGGCGTTACCTACGACTAGTGAAGAAACAAAGCGCGCAAAAAGAGAAAATTTAGAACAAAAGCAAATTCTCGTTGCTGAATTATGTGCTATTCATCCCTTTCCAGCATCTCTGTGGAGACAAGCGGTCTGTTTACCTTGCATATTATATAGGATTAATGCTTTGTTGCTTGCCAATGAAATACGATGCCAGGTTGCACAAATGATAAATTTGGGTCAACAAAATCTGAGTTCAGGTATATATTATGAGGGCTCAAAATTCAGTACTTGATTTAATTTAATAGTTTTATTGAAAGAATCTCTACATATTGGTTTTCTTAAATCTTGACACGTATTGAGAAGATATAACATTTTAGATTTTGAATGGCCGGCGTTAGATTTTGGATGGAGTTTGGCGGAAGTATTGAAGAGATCGAAGGAAATAGAGAAATCAAAACAAAGCAAAACCGAAAATGTACAAGCCAACTCATCTTTGGACAGTACAGTAGTCTCAAATAAGTGTCAAAATACTGAACAAAACACTAATAATTCAAATATATTATGTAATGAGACTAAGAGTCAAGAAGAACTGCAATCCGATAAAACTGATGAAACAGAAGAAGAGATTACTGACGATCAGAAAGATGAGTTGGAGATTGGCACGTGGTCAAATGACATGGCATGGTCAAAAGACATAGTAGTAAATTCAATGGATTATGATATGGACGACATGAAATCTTTTCCTCTAAATGTAACAGTCTTACCACAAGATTTTGGTTGGAATGACATTCGATATGGATCACCGACGTGTGAGTCCGATTATGACGGTTACGAATCAGATGACATGTACAGCGATGGCTTTGATGACACAACTGATGAAAGCGAAGACGAAAGCAGAGGACTAAAAATATCTTACATGGGAGAAAACATCGCCGAGGCTGTGGAGGATGAGAAACAAATGTGCAAACAGGAGATGAACAAGAAGATTTTGGATCTTTTGGAAACAGAGAAGAATTTTGATAATAATTTTTGGATGTACACAAAAAGCGACGAAGAATTATTGCTCGAAAAACACAAAAAAGCGCATTACGAGTACGCTAAGACAAAAGAACAGGATATCATGAACGATGGTACTTTTCTATCATATGATTCGGAGATTACAATCAAGAGGAAAAGCTCATCAATTTATCAAACTAATAAAGAACAGCCAAATTGTAAATATCGAGATTACATCGAAAGTGTTGTAAAGAAATTTACTGATGAAGTATTAAATAAAAAGTTTGTCGCATCTACTAAGAAGATAGAAAAAAGTGAAAGTAATAAGTTGAATAAAAACAATTACTTAGATAACGGTCTGTTTAGTTTTGATTATCAGCCAGAATTGAAAAATCATCCAGGGCCAAGTCCTAGTTTAATTCTGCAGGCTTTAACAATGTCTAATGCGAATGATGGCATCAATTTAGAGCGATTGGAGACAATCGGCGATTCATTTCTGAAATATGCCATAACAACATATTTGTATTGCACGTATGACAACATCCATGAAGGAAAACTTAGCCATTTAAGATCAAAACAGGTATGATAATGAGTTTATTGTCAAGTGTCATTTTTTATTGTGTGTTCTTTTTTCTTCTCTCTTCTTTTTTCTATTTGAATGCAGTTTTTCTCTAAGAGAGTTCTAAATTTGTGTTTTAGGTTAGTAATTTAAATCTCTATAGACTTGGAAGACAAAAAATGCTTGGCGAGAGTATGATAGCTACTAAATTTGAGCCACACGATAATTGGCTACCTCCCGGTTATTACGTTCCCAAAGAACTCGAACAAGCATTGATCGAATCCGGTGTTCCTTCTACTTTTTGGAATCAAGCTAATATCCCCACCTTGCAAACTGTAAATCCCACTGAAATAACTCAACTTGTGAAAGAGACCGAAGAGAAGCTTGTGATTATGAAAAATGAACTTGATAAAACCGAGAATAGGTTGTCGAGCAATTTCGATGATTTACGATGTTTCATACCTTATAATTTAATTACGCAACACAGCATTCCGGACAAAAGTATTGCAGATTGTGTAGAAGCTTTGATAGGAGCATATTTAATTGCATGCGGACCCCGTGGGGCGCTTCTCTTTATGACCTGGTTGGGGATTCATGTTTTGCCCGCGGAGCAAATTTACGTGATAAGCGAAGATGAACCAGAAGAAAGAATACCTGGTAGTACGCCGTTTGTTAAAGAAATTAATGAACACGGCGAAACTATGTGGACACATGTAAGTAGTAAAACTACTTTTTTAAAAATATATTTGTACTTGAAGACTATATTTAAAAAATAATTGAATAAAATCATTTTTAGATTTGTTACGGGAGGCTAGAAGAGCCACAAAACCCATTATTTCGATACGTTCTTGATCCAGAGAACGAATTATATATGATGCTCGATGGATACGAGGAATTAGAGGAAAGCATAGGATATAAGTTTCGTGATAGCAGCTATCTTTTACAAGCATTTACGCATGCCTCTTATCAACCAAATAGATTAACGGATTGTTATCAGCGTTTAGAATTTCTTGGCGATGCTGTTCTAGGTAAATTTTTATTTATTATAAAATTTATATAATATGTGTGATATCAAAAAAAACATTTGATTTTTTCAGATTATCTGATAACCAGACATTTATATGAAGATTCGCGATTACATTCACCTGGTGCTTTAACAGATTTAAGGTCTGCGTTAGTTAACAACACGATATTTGCCTCTTTAGCTGTTAGGTGTGGTTTTCACAAATATTTTCGCCATTTGTCACCTGGATTAAGTGTCGTGATAAATCGCTTCGTCAGACTACAGGAAGAAAATGGACATACCATCAGTGACGAAGTATATAATTATTATATATTGATTGTGGACAGCAGATATGCAGTTTTTTTTTTTTCTTAATACTTTTGGGTTAATGAAAAAAAGATGTTAATAATTCAATTTAAACATTCATATTTAGAATTATCATATGACAAAGTAGTATATGTATCATGTTTTTCAGTATTATTTAATTGGTGAAGATGAATGTGAAGAGGCCGAAGATGTAGAAGTACCAAAAGCATTAGGTGATGTTTTTGAATCATTAGCTGGTGCTATTTACTTGGATAGCGGGATGTCTCTCGACGCCGTGTGGAGTGTTTATTATACAATAATGAAGTCAGAAATTGGTAATATATTTCTGTGTTTTTAAAACAGTTGGGTTTTGGGCTGAGTAACAACAACAATAACATGATGTTGTTTGTATTAATTGCAGAACAATTCAGCACAAATGTCCCCAAATCTCCTATACGTGAATTACTGGAATTAGAACCTGAAACGGCAAAGTTTAGAAGACCTGAGAAATTGGCCGACGGCCGTAGAGTCCGAGTAACTGTAGACGTGTTTGGAAAAGGTTCATTTAAAGGAATCGGACGAAATTATAGAATTGCAAAATGTACAGCGGCTAAGTGTGCTTTAAAGAAATTAAAGGGCAAAATGCAGAATTACCCTAGACAAAAAATGTGACAGAAAGTTTTGTAATTAATATAAAAATATGTAAGAAATTTTTTATTTTCACAAACAATTGTTAATACATATACATTTCATAGAATTTGTTACGCGTACGTGTGTATAAATATTCTTATCAACACGTATCACACACACACAATATTAAGAATTTAAAAAATAAATCAACAGAAAAGCATTGCAAAAATTTTTATCAAAATTATATCACACAAACTTGTGTGTGTGTGATACTAAACTGTAAGAAAATGAAAAATAAAGATACTACAGATTTTTTATACAATGTAAAAAACCTTATTAACCAAAAAATATACATAATCATATATATATAGTTAATGTCAATCTGCAATAATTTATGTTGTCAGTTAACAAAAAAGTTTTGTTTTGAGAGAAGAAAATAGGAAGGATGAGCAAAGATTTGTGTAACTTTTCATGTTACAATTGTTTATTATATTCCTACTTACATATTTATAATTAATAAATTTTTTCGACATTATATCACTTATTTTTACTTTTACAATAGCAACTTATTTAATCAATTAATTAGTGTTATTATTATTTTCTCATTAATATATCTTTAATTACTAACCGCGTTATCACTCAACGCGACGCAGCGTTTTGAAGGTTTTGGATTGTTACAGCAATTGTTATAGTTTAATCAGTAAGACGCTCGTTGGCGCTGACTGATGACTGGAGGGGAAGTCACCTCTCTTGCCATTGCTTGCCATAGGATTCACGCGCCTTTTCCGTGAATTCTTGTTGGCTACTGTACGTCACAGTATACTGTGGTATTGCACAGTATTACAGTACCATACCATCAGCTTGCAACAGCTGACGGTTACCAGCGGTACTAGTCGTTGTTGGTTGTGGTTATTGACAATTGTTGACGAATCGTTGACATCTACTGAAGAAGACATGCATCTCCTAGGATTTTAGTGTTACAATTTATATTTTATAAGGAAAAAATTACGTCCTTTTAACGTGCAGTGTGTGAGTTATATATTGCTATTTACTACGTCTGTAGAATCTATAGAATTATCTTCGCGAGTTATTACGATATTTATCACAATTTCACTAGTTTTACGTAATGACATTGATATCTATTGATATATTAATCAATTCGAAAAAAGAGATTTGTCTTCAAAATTAGTTGGGTCTAATTTAGTTCGCTAAAAAATAATCACGAGTGTTAATCGAGAGTATCTCGCAAAAACGAAGCTCGCATATCATGAATAAATCAATACGTAGATAACAATGTATTTTTACAGTGCGTAAATAGTGTACAATTTTTTTTGTACATAAAGAGAGAGTGTGTGTGTGTGTGTTTTGCACGAATTGTTTATTGAAGATAGAGAGTGGATTGAATTTTAAGATGTGTGATTTTGTCAAGCCTGGATTTTCTCTCAATCTCAAAATCTCTAACGTTAATCTATAAATGTTAAACACAATACATAATCTAGTACGGGCTTCGGAATTATACGTATTATGTGCGGTTGATGCGCGAGTGACATTTCAAAGCATTTGGCACGACAACACCTGTGACGAGCCTTGCAGACGCTATTTTAAATAGAACCTTGCGACATCAAAGTCACAAGAAGCATTATGATCTCGTGACATATATGTATGTATTTCAAAATATTCGCTTTGTACACGAGATTTCAATCGTGAACGGAATCTGATGCGGAGACTGATGCCACTTGTGACAAGCGTGCGACCGGTAACTAATCGATTTTTTTATATATATAAAATCCTTGCAACAGAGAGAAGGTGCAAATCCTATACAAGTACAATATCTTATACAACGCACCTTATATCGGTATCTATAAGTAAAAATACATGTTCCTGTAATAAATTTTTTTCTCGATTTAGTTCACATTATACAAACGATTGATCCGATAATAGTAGTAATATCAGTAATATAATCGTTGATACGTGATACTGTTGCACGAGTCGTATACGTGACCACGGTTATCGTTTATGTGTGTGTGTAATACAACCTTGAACATGTCGCTTATGTAATCTTACATGTATTTTTTGAGGATTCTCACACGCAAATATATGGATAGTTTCTATGAATTTTTTTTAGATATATCAGTAGCAATAGAGATATTTAAGTAATACAGTAAACTAACGAATAAGCATCCGCAATTTGAAATACTTATTTACGTAGATATATTTTATCTTTTACTACTTGCGAGTAACACGCAAACTCCGATAATTCAACATTAAATATCTTTTACAAATAACAAAAAAAAAACAAAAAAATGTGTGATTTTAATATTAAAGTAGATTATTTATACACATTCATTTATTCAGTGATTCTTCGTTTTTTATTTAAAAAAATGCTACATCTTGTTTTACATCTCAGTACTTCAAAAAGATTGCGAACACTGTTTGCGAATCTTCACATTCATTAAAATATCATCCGGTTGTGGTTTGAATCTTTGATCATTAGACAAGAGAGAGTGAATGAATGAGAAATAAATAAAAAGAACTCTAATTATTTGTACAATTGTGGCTTTGTGTGACCACCAAGTCTTATTTTTCTATTTTTAGTTTAATAACAGAATTGTATTACGTATAAGTAATAATTTATTTTTTTTTTTTTCAGACTTTTGAGATCCAGGAGCCACGTGTAACCAACAATGACGTCGCTTAGATTGTTTGTAGCGGGAGTAAGTGCCATAGGTGCTGGTACTCTTACTTCCTATTTACTATTATCAGATAATACGGTAAGATGTCAAGATTTTACATAAATGGGATATAATATCTTACTATCATGTATATCTTATTATATAAAGCAGTACTCAATAATGTGGATCGTACTTTGTTGACATAACAAAGTTATGCTCACACTCATGTAGAAATTTATAAGCTGACCAATGCTGAGTTTAGCAATGTCTGTACGACAACATATAAGCATTATGATTTGATAAAACAAAAAACACAAATGAAATTTTTTTTAATCTTGAGAAAACGTTTACAATGAATCAATGTATTTGTATTTTAATCAACAATGGTCGATTGCAGGTACATGCCGAACAAGGAAAACCAAGACCACCTCGACGAACTTTACCCACACGAGAGGATCAGGTGAAAACTTTGAAATCAGAAAACTACGATGTGTTAATAATAGGAGGTGGTGCGACAGGAGCAGGATGTGCTCTGGACGCTTGCACGCGAGGTACGTTTCTGTCGTGTCTTTTTATGTTTGCTCGTCATTTTAATTTTCTTTCCTTAAAGGTTTGAAGACTGCATTGATTGAAGCCGATGACTTTGCATCTGGCACCTCTTCTCGAAGCACAAAGTTAATTCACGGCGGCGTGCGATATTTACAAAAAGCAATTATGCAAGTAGACATTGAACAATACAAAATGGTAAAAGAGGCCCTTCATGAACGAGCGTCAATGCTACAAAGCGCACCACATTTAGCACATCCATTGCCCATTATGCTGCCAGTTTACACGTATGTTTACATGTATTTATATAAATGTACAATTTACTTACTACTTTCTTATCTTTATTACTTTTATCAGGTGGTGGCAAATTCCTTATTACTGGTTTGGTATTAAGATGTATGATCTAGTAGCTGGCAGCAAAACCGTAAAGTCGTCATATTATCTGAGTAAATCGAATGCTCTAGAACTTTTTCCTATGCTGAAAGGCGACAAGCTAACAGGCGCAATTGTCTATTACGATGGTACGCATCTCTCTCTCTCTCTCTCTTTCTTTTTCTTTCGGCTCTTTATGTCTTTATTTCTGTTATAACCTTGTGCGACTTGTTATATTTGTATATGCGTGAATATATTTATTAAATAAATATACTTTTTGACACTACAGGTCAACAAGACGATGCCAGAATGAATTTAGCAATCGCGCTTACAGCTTCAAGACACGGAGCAACAGTTGTAAATCACGTTAAAGTGCTCAATTTGTTGAAGGGTCTTGACAGGGTATGTGCCAATTATTCCGAGTTTGCAAATATGAAATAAAAAAAAATAAAAATATTGAATAAAAAGAATTTTGTTTGTTTGAAAAGGACGGTAAGCGAGTTCTCGTGGGTGCTCGCTTAAGGGATGAACTTACGGGAGACGAATGGGACGTAAAGGCTAAAGCAATAATCAACGCAACTGGTCCTTTCACTGATCACATTAGAAAAATGGATGACCAAGACGTTCCACCTATTTGTTGTCCATCTTCCGGAGTTCATATAGTATTGCCTGGATATTATAGGTAACATAAAAAGATTAATATTGTTGCAATTAACACGTTAATTTGTTATGTTCGATATGTCAATATATAATTTTTCCGCAATATTAAAAGTCCGGATCAGATGGGTCTACTCGATCCAGCAACGAGCGACGGTCGAGTGATCTTCTTTTTGCCTTGGCAAAAACAAACTATCGCCGGAACGACCGATTTACCATGCGAAGTAACACACAATCCTCGACCTACGGAAGACGAAATTATGTTTATCTTGCAAGAAGTGAAAAACTACCTAAATCCAGATGTTGAGGTACGCCGTGGAGATGTTCTTTCTGCCTGGAGCGGCATCAGACCGCTTGTTTCCGATCCGAACAAACCGAACACACAATCGCTTGCTAGAAATCACATCGTACACGTTAGTCCAACAAATCTTATCACAATAGCAGGTGGTAAATGGACGACTTACCGAGCAATGGCTCAAGAAACCATTGACGCAGCTATAAAAGGTATATCAAAAGAATCGTTAGTGATCGCTATATTAAGTCTTTCGTATTTATTTATTTATTATTTATTATGACATTTCTTCATTCTACATACAACTTCAATATAATATTTATATTTATCGATAATAATTTATTTCAAGCTTGCGAGTTACAACCAGAAAGAGGTTGTCAAACCGATGGCTTTCTTCTGGAAGGTGCTCAAGGTTGGAGCCCAACGATGTATATTAGATTAGTGCAGGATTTCGGCTTGGAATGTGAAGTTGCTCAACATTTGTCAAAGAGTTATGGAGATCGTGCCTTTGCCGTAGCTAAAATGGCTTCTCTCACAGGAAAACGGTGGCCAATTATTGGAAAAAAAATTCATCCAGAATTTCCATACATCGACGCTGAAGTAATAAATTCAAATTTTTTGATCGCGATAATTAAAGTAACACATCCTGCTGTTTATCCTTGAGAAGAATATCGTATATTCTAAGTGCATAAATAAATTTTAGATACGTTATGGTGTACGAGAATACGCGAGAACTGCGATCGACATGATCGCACGTCGATTGAGACTTGCTTTTCTCAATGTTCAAGCAGCTCAAGAAGCATTACCTGGCATTATAGACATTATGGCCGAAGAGTTGCATTGGTCAGCGGAAGAGAAAAAGAAACAGCATCGCGAGGCTAGTGAATTTCTCGCTCAGGAAATGGGTCAAATGGTGAATCGTGCTTCACGTGATAAAATTCCCATCAATCTCACCAAGGATGAGATCCAGCTCTATATTAAGCGTTTTAGAATTATAGACAAGGATCACAAAGGATATGTGTCTATAAATGACATTAGGCGAGGATTAAAGGTTTGTCTACAAACTTAACACACTGCCCTATTGTATCATATTTTTTTTTGTTTATTTTCTTGCATTATCACCGCGATGCTACTTATCTCTCTTAATGTACAGTCATTAGGTATAAATATGAACCAGGACGAGATACGTAGCTTAATGAGTGAACTTGATGTCGCTTACAATGGTCAAATGGAATTACAGGATTATTTGCAGGTAAACCATTAAATACATACTTAATGTATATTCTTTTTTTTGCTTCTCACAGCTCTTTGGGGATAAAGAAGTGCCGGGTGAAGAGCTTCATGAAATTCTACGTGAAATCGACACAAATATGAACGGTCAAGTTGAATTGGATGAATATCTTCAGGTCTGTGACAAAGCGCATCTTGCACATAGTCACAGTACATAATTGTTTGCTGCTTTCTTTTTATTTTTCTTTACTTTTGTTACTGTGTAGTGAAGTATAGTTTTGAAAAACTTAAGTTTTTTGTTTCTCTTTCGCATGATTATGTTTGAGTAATTTTCTGAATTGAAATTAGCATTGTGTGCTATATTTATTTATTTATTTACATAGCATATGATAATGTGTGATAATAACACTTCGCTTACGGGATGCGTAAAATTGTGCTTCATACGGATACTGTGTAAGCGAAGTGCTGACTATACATACTAAAAAATAGTTAACACTTACTTTGTCTACCAATGTACTTATTTTCTCTATTTTTTATCCTCGTTATTGAAAAGTATTATAAATCTTGTAAAAAAAAGTATTATCAATCTTTTCAAGATTGATTTTAGGAGTTTACATTTGGTTTTCGAGTTTGCATCTTGCTTTTCATATTTTAGCAACGTGTGTATATTTTACGTGTGTAATACTTACGTGTGTAATACTTACGTGTGTAATAAATATTTATATTTCACATATAGATGATGTCAGCTATAAAATCCGGTCATGTGGCATATTCACGTTTCGCACGGATGGCTGAAATGGAGGAAGCTCAGCATGAGAAAGAAATGCTCAAGAAACAAATAAGCGTCGAAAGATCAGGTGGAGGACTGTGAAGAAACTCTCCTCTGATATTACGGAGTTTCAAAATGTTTTACTCTCACATTTGATATTTATGTGTCTTATCGTTGTGTATTTATTGTAGAGTATCTAGTTATTTCACGAACTATCAGTTTGTAATAACTAGTAACTCGGTCAGATCATAAACACCAAATCAAAGTCAACAATCTCGCATGCAATAAAACTATTTCGAACATTATCTGTGAATAGATATCTTAATCTATAAATGTTTCACATCTTCGTGATATTTAATTCGAAAGTTTATTCACTAAGTATAGTATCGATTTTTCTCGGTAAACAGCTCATATATCTACATTTGTAAAAAAAAAAAAAAAACATTTCTTTATAGCTCGACATGCTTGATTTATTTGCATGTGACGTTTGTTATGTACAAATAACAATATATCTCGGATTTTTTCTCTTGTATATATTTATGAAAAAATTCTGTGTTATTTATCAGTCTTTATGTATTATATATTGAATTATATAATTTTCTGTTTTACTCTTGTAAAAAAACAATTTATCAACATTAAATGTAACAGATTGGACTTAATTTCAAAACCTGAGGATGAGTACAAAGAAAGCTTTGTACAATTTTGATTATGTAAGGTTACTTGAAATCAAAATAAGAAAAATTATATATATATATATGTATAAAATACATATGTTACGTATACTATATTTATTTGTGAACTATAATAAATACAATTTTAATTGCCGATAGGAGACTATTGCCAATGCTTATCTTACTTGACACGTGACTAAAGTAAAGTCACGTGTTGTTACCTTTCCTCCCTGTCACGTGTCTAAAGTCAGAGAAAAAACTGAGAGCGGCCAGGCCCATGAGAATGTGTAATCTACTTTCCCGCCCTATAAGCCAGCGCAATGTTTCTGAGTGGCGCATATTGACAACTACGTAGCCATGTCCACGAACGACTCGTCGGTACGTACGTTATGTTTAAACGTGAATATTCTATTTTGTGCATATCAACAGATTATTGCGCACGCGCAGTGATACTGACTTTACCAACATCAGTGTCACCATTGAGTGCTAATTGGACTACTTGTATGTTGTATGTACGGTGATTGACGTGTTTTAATCTCAAGATATAGTAGGAAGGTGTATAATTTGTGTCAGTAATAATTTGATTCCGATTTTAATATTATTCATATAAAATAGATATGTAAAGATTATTTTTCAATAGGTTAAAAATGAAAGATATAAATAATTTGTGATTTATATGTATATACATAGTCTTCAAAAGAGATTACTTAACCTATACCTATACTATTTAGGTTTTGTAACACGTAAAACAAGTCTTTGTAATTTTAGGCGATGACAACTGTGAAAATGCACGGTGATATCGATATTTTAAGGTTACCTGTTAATGAGGAGGAACATGTATGTTCTCCATGGCGTATAAAGTACACCCAGTCTCATATACTTCATTCTAAGTGCACCAAAAATGAAGATGGTTGTGGTTCTAATGTCGAAAGCGCATGTCAATTTTGTGTGTGAGTTAATTAGAAATTAATAGTTTGAAAACATTACATATATATATATATATACACTGTCTTTAAAACTATAATTCTTTAATTTGCAGATATAGCAACACATTAGAATTGCCGCATATGCCAGACATGGTGTTTCCTAATAATGTATTAAGTCTGAAACATCATGATGGACTATCGCTGGAATTCAATGCTTTGGATGCTTTGAGATATGTTTCTAATGGAAAAGTTAATGTTCAGCTCGCTTGTGCAGAAGCTTGGAAAGAATCTAGGTATGCAAGATTACAATTTTACATGTTGAGATAATTTTAAATTATAAGTTTTAATTTTTTGCTGTAATTGTATTTTGTATTTATATGTATTAATAGGTCAGAAAGCAGCGAATACTTAGAAGAAAAGATAAAGCCTTTTGATTGGACCTTTACTACCACTTATACTGGCACACTGTCTGGTTTTGAAATAGAAGAGACTAATGAAAGAATTGATATAGATAAATTAAAACAAAAAGACAAAATCTTGTTTTATCATGATTTAACATTGTTTGAAGACGAACTTCATGACAATGGTATTGCAGTGTGTTCGGTGAAAATTGTAAGTTTTATATTTTTCTAATATTTGCACAACATTACAAGTTGATTCTCTTTCTACTTCATTTTGCAGAGAGTCATGCCTGCCAGTTTCTTTATATTACTGCGATATTTTTTGAGAATTGACAATGTAATGCTAAGAATAAATGATACTCGTATTTACCATGAATTTGGTAAAAATTATTTACTACGTGAATTTACATCACGGGAAGCTAAAGTTCAAGATATTCGAGTAAGTAACATTTTCTATGTTATATCTTCATTAACATATTTAACATTCATGGATTTTCAAAAATAATTTTTTTTCAAGGTTTCTCCAACGCTCTTCCTTGACCCGAGTGGGATAGCACCCCATTTGCCATTAAGTAAAAGTCAATATCACAAACTTCTTATATCTAAAAAAGAAGAAGCATCGAAATCACACAAAATTGCAAGCGAGCAAAACAAAACTACAACTGAAGAAAAAGTAACACAATCCGATGAATCTGCAGACAGCTCAATCACTTAGAGCTCATAGTATGTTACATTATTATTCTCTTTATGTGATAAACATCAACCATAAGAATTCGCTGTACAAATTCATTATCGATTATTTGAAAATCACAGTACTATCTTTCCGGAATTTGTATAATTAAAACTTCTGGATACTAGTTCCAGTCATGCTAAATTTATGTGAAATGCTTAGAAGCGAGAAATTATATGAATATTTATCAAGCAATTTACATTTAAATAAACTACTTTTTATACATATTGCCGTGAATGTTATAAAAAACTTAACTGATAAAATTTAAATTTATAAACTCTGCCGAAAATTTAATTTTCGGTTCACAGTTAATAAAATATCTATATGCACACTTGTTTTCAATGCAGAATAAGTTTTCGGCAGATTTTATCAATTTACGCTTTTGAATACCGGTAGCTGATTTCAATGTAAATTGCTTGATAAAAATTCATGTTATTTCTTGTTTTTGACATCAATGTTGTGAAAAAATACTTTTTTAAGCGAAACCTATCACTATCAAGATGCTATCGAGATCTCAATCTTATATTTGTTACTTTAAAATTGTTTTTTTCTGTTTATTTTTTTCAATAAAAGCTTTTCAAGTAAAAAGTTTGTATGTACCGAATTGTGTAACGATATTTGTTAACTGAAACTCTGCTCTTATTTTTGATCTTTGTGAACGAAACTTTTTAGCAAACCATGTGACTTGACCTTTAACTGACCTTGAAGACGAACTTTTATGTTTAAGTAAGAACAAAATGAAAACAGGAAACAGATACAAGTTTAAGAAATATATAAAAAATAAGAATAATTACCATTAAATTTTCGGCAATATGATCTTATTGTTAATACTTAATATTCATTTTAAAATTCTATATTAAATTAAATGTTCTATTTATTTCTTAAACATAATATTTATAAGAATATAGTAAATAAATTTATTGTTAGCTTTAAATTATTTTTTTACATAGTTTTTTTGAGATATATTTAGAAAAATAAGATAAAAAAGTAGATTTATAGAAAAAAAATTTTATATAAATAAAACTTTCCTACATATAAGTCAACTGATTGATTACTCGAACCTGAAAGGTATCAATTTTTGAGAAGGAAATAGTGAAGACAGTGCACTTAAAGTTTGAATAAAACTTTTCTCTCAATTAGATTTCGCTGAAGCTTTGACGCAAATTATTTCGCCATAATATAAACACCACGGCTTTTTTCCCTTACTTCGCAGTTAAGAAAAAAGTTATAAATATCAAAAGGAAACGGAAGGAAGAGGAAATCAAGAGACAGACAATTGATCGACTTTCGGGCTAGGCCGCTTTCTTTCCATCATATAGTGGTGTTTATTCGTGGGCGCAAAAAACTTGGGTGAATTCCATCGGGTTGGACGGAGAGAGGAAGAGAGAGAAATGAAGACGAAGAAGAGAGAGAAGACGAAGTGTGCGGTGGAGCGAGGAGGAAAAGGAGGAGAAAACGCAATAAGAGCAAGAAGCAAGGAGGTCGTCGACGACAGCAATCTCTCGTGAGTAGGCTTATCCCATTGCCTCCGTCCCACCTTATAGCGCTCTCACACGCTACCAACGGGTGCGTAGGTGTTTCCGGCCGGCTGAAGAAGCACGGCCGTCTGCGCCCATCGATCCAGAAGAAGACGGTCGAGCCGAGAGAAGAGAAAGAAGGAAGGAAGCGAAAGGGAAAAAGAGAGGGAGTGATGATAGCAAGTACAGCGTAGCAGGAAAGCGAAAAAGAGACAGAAGAGAGAGAGAGAGAGAGAGAAAGAGAGAGAAAATGTAGAGGGGCTCGACTGAGAGACAGAGAACACTCGGCCGGAAGCAGTTACTCGCGCGATGCAACGAAAATATCAGAGCGTCCGTTTCGCAATAGGTCTGCCCGCGTCCGCCTGGAGTTTAATATAGAACACTCGCGGCCGGCCCCGTCGCGAAAACATCATGCTGACGTCGGCCGTGCGCCAGTTTCTTCTCTCTTTCTTTCTCTCTCTCTCATTCTTATTCGCTTCGCTCTTCTCGTTCTGTCTGCCTGAGAAAAACGTCTCCTTCTTTTCGTGCGGCTGCTTCGACTCCTGGCCTTCTTCCTCTTTTCGTTCACTTGGACCACAACGCGCGTAGCGCGGGTCCCTAAAATTAGGCTCATGTCCACTCGCTCGCTCACTTGCTCGGCGCGCCGCAGCGTCGCCGCGGGTGACATCCGCGCTGAGGAGCCGGACTCGTCGAAGGTCTTTGTCCGTGACAGTGGTGTGCTCGTAGCTCGATGGCACGCAACGACCTTTGAATAGCGGGAACAAGGTGCACGGCACCGCGTCGCGGCCGCATCACGCGCCGCTTTTGCACCCTTCCTATCTTAGCATCTTTTGCGTTCAGGACAAACGATCATTATCGTTTTGTGAATTAATCAGAAAATTAGAGAGATTTTCGCTCAATTTATTTATGACTCTCTTTTACGAGCGAAAGAATAAAAGCTTTGTTTATTCTCATTTTGACGCAAGTATAAAAATGATACATACGTAGATATTGCACTTAAGTTTTTTATTTTCAAATAATAAAGAGTAGGTCGATTATTCTTGTGATTGCTTTTTTTACAAAGTTTAACCGACATAGAAGTGAATTATTTATTTATCTCGAGTGAGAAAAGAGAAAGAGGTCATTTATGATTTTAGAACCAGAGATAATTTTTTTGTCTATTGACAAGAGTCCCACGTTTTATTCGAGAGCTGATCAATAGGGAATGTGAATATATGTGTCCGCCCGTATGATTTCCACAATATCTCGACATCGCGTTTTAAACGCGGAAATCTATTATCGACCACGTCCCTCGTGATGCCCCGATGTCTTTTGACATGCTTAACGAGTCACTAAGAGAGGGCAATCTTCCGTTGTTGCTGCATTCGTTCGAGCGCGAAGGAAGGGATAAGTAATAGCCTCGGTGAGAGCGACGGAGGAGGACGAGATGGAAGAGAGAGGCTTGGTACTGACTCTTCGAAGCTTCGTGGAACACGACGACGGTGGTGGACGGTGAGGCGAAGAAGGAATGCCACTTCCGGTCACATGACACCACTGGACCAGCCACTTTGCTCTCTTCTTATTTTCGGTTCGTCGCGCGTCCGGACCTTTCGACGTCGTCCGCTTCCTCTCTCGCTCCTGTTTTCTCTCTGCCTCCCCTTCTTTCCTTACGATTAACAAGCAGCATTACAAATCGGCCACGAGCGAGAGAAACAGATGCCGAGGCGATCGGCTTTCGTTGACGTTTGAATCTGTTCGCTAGTAGGTATCTCCGATTGATTAATTTCCAAGGTGAAGCATTTGCATCTTGTACGAGATGAACAACAGACAATTGCGAAATTTACTACATAATGCTAGACTTTAACGATAGAAAAGTAGATTTTTTTATATTTTAATAAAAAAAATATATGTACACAGATTAGCATTTCAATTAAAATTTAAAATTGTTCCTCGTGCGCCGTGAAATAATGAAAAAAAAAACCGCGTGCGACATATGAAGCATGTTTAGTAGCGCTGTTAACACGTGTTGACAACCGCTAACTCGATTTTGTCCCTCGGAGGAAGACACACAGCTCAAGGCTGCAACGAATGTTACGGTAGAACTGCATCACGCGAGTCTCCCTGTCTAACGGACTTACATCCGCTCGCGCTTCTTTCGCTGCGCTCTGCGTTGTGGTACATTCAATTGGCCGCTAATGACAATCCGACTTCTATCATGATTGCCTTATCGATCAGCCGCCTGGTAAAAATCCGTGTAAAACAGAAAAAAATTCTTAACGTTTGATACGACAATTCTACATCGAAAAGATATTTGCGCATTGTATATTGCGATTATATTTTAAAAAAAATAAATAAATAAAAAAAGAAGGAAGTCGTAAAAGATCGAATTGTCAGGATGATGAGATATATCGGCCTTTGCGCGAACATGGTGGAGATGGGCGTTTGTTAAATATATAAAATACACAGGTATATACATAACTATGCATGTATATATATATATATGTATATATATGTATATATATTTACAAGAGACATATACAGATTGTATAGATTACTATTAATAAAAACGTTTTCTTTTCGCTTTTTGAACAAGCACTCTCTCTCGCGTGACACACACATAAACTTACACACATGCATCATCTCATTCGCGCTTTTCGTGTGCTTTCGCGTCTTCGCCAATCAAATCCTGCTGTCTCGTTGGGATTGACATTAAATTGTAACGTCACCGTATCGCGTAAACAAATCGTCAAATATATTCTCACATAGATTTTCAAATCCCATTCACACCGCACATCGAATCACAACGTGGCGTCGCGTAAAAAAATTCTTACAAGAGTTTTACGAAACGGCAATGTTACGCGGCTCGTTTAAAACTTGTGTGAAAAAAATTTGACAACATTACGATTGCGTGAAACAGGCTGCGATGATCCGTTGCCATGTGAATGTCTTCGTAAACTCTCTCAAGAATCTTCCGCGACGTGTTGCTGTGACATTACGGTGTGACTCGAGCTTTAAACTCGATGTGAATGTATCTCTACGAGGACAATGATTCGAACATAAATCTAATCGATCTCACGTTTAAAGACAAAATGCGCGGAACAGAATATTTTTTTTTCATTGTTGCAGTCAGTCACCGAGATCTCGGTTCTGGTTCTAGCAGGAAATGGATCGCGTTAGAACCAGACGGAGAGAGAGAGGAAGAGAGAGAGAGAGAGAAAAAGAGAGACGAAGGATCAATTAACTCTTTCGCTGCGACACGCTTCAAATTTCAAAACAGTCCGTTGTGTGGGACGATGATTGATTATTTACTTTCATGCTGTCGAGATAAAGAGAGAGAAAGAGAAAATTCTATGGAAAAACTGATCTCGCGACCACAACCGGTATTTTAATTCGGACCTACGTTCTTGCATACACATCGTTGGCCTCCGCGAAGCTCGATATGTACCGTCGATTTCGAAAATAATCGTTAATTTTCGAGTACACACACATACACATGCACGCGACGTACACATACACATACGCACGAGTTACGCAGCGAAGGGGTTAATAAGGCAAAGGCGCTACTCGCTTCTCTCGCGCGCTACACGCGCCTCAAAAACGCGTTTGGTGTGCTTCTGTTACACTCGCCTCGCATTCGTTTTACATCAGAAACCTCGTTATGCATCTTTTACGTCGTTTGGCCATTTCTTGCACCGAAGCCATAAAGATTCTTTTCTGTCCGCCCTTCTTCGTTCACGTTCTCTTCTTCTGTTCCTGTTGTCTCGGTACGAGCCTGTCCTTCGTAACGGAAGGGCAACGAGCCATTGAAGGAAAGAGAGAAAGAGAAAGATAGTAAGCCATCTTTTGGGATAGAAAACAGCATTCACGTACGGAGCAATGGAATCGGTTCTACGAGAGAGGAAGAGAATTCCCCCCTTCTAAACGAAGTTTTCTTTCGTCCGCTATCCACCGCTTGTTGATCGATCGCTAACGGCTGGAGTAAAACGACGTATAGAAGGGGGAAAAGCAGCCCTTCTCCTCTCGCGGAACCGAATCATTGGGCCGCAGTGTATGTACGTACGCGTTCGTTTTGAAATCGCAACTCGTACGATCGATCGTTTGTTTTTCTTTTTCGAGGAAATATCGTCGAAGAAGGACGGGAACCACAACAACTGCGTTTTGCCCAAACTTCTCTGCCGATCGAGTGAGTCGTTGAAGGAGAAAAATCCCGCGCAAAATATATACTCGTCGTGTCTCCACTTCCGCGCGTACACGCCGTATAGCCCGTTAGTAAAAGAAAAATGCTAAATGAGTAAAAAAACGCTTGCAGGACTAGATAATACTGGAGAAAATATCAACGCGAAGTGGAGACGCGAGACTCTCTTCGCTTTTTTTTTTTTTTTATTTTTTTTTAATTTTTTTTTACCTTCTCCTCCTCCCCTCTCATTCTCCTTGTCGGCAGAACCGTCTTTCCCAAATATGGCTTCCTTGCAACGCGCGTTTTTCAACACGTCTCTTTATCACACATAGACGTTACGGTGTTTGTATAAGTGTTTTTTACTTTTTATTTTTATCTTTTTTTTCTCTTCCTCTCCCTCTTTGATTGCCATCTCTCCTTTATTTTTATCCGCCGGAAAATCTTCATCTTGTAAGCAAACTTTTATACTCAGCGGCCAATATTGGTCCATGTGCGCGTGTTATTGATACAAATTTTTCGGTTCACGCTCATCCCCCACTGTCTCTCGCTCGATATCTCATGAACCACACATTTAGCGTTACAGCCGCAAATAAATTAACCGTAGAAAAAAAAAGTTTGTTCTTTATACAAACGTAACATATATGTACAATGTACATTTCTTTCTCTATATATATAATAAAATTATATTTATAATATTTATATATATATATATATATATTTTTAGTTTTTCTTTATTTTTTTCTGTGTACGTTGGTAATCCCCCCTCCCCCCTCCCCGAGTCCCGGTATATTATCGTTCTTTCAATTTCGCTCGACGTGTGTGTGATACAATGCACATTCATTATGTATAGGCTTATCTGTACGTAAGTGGTATGTCTGAACGATACGGCTAATTCGCGTACCTCGTTTCTCTCTCTCTATCGTTGCCACACAACGCGCGCATGCAAACGCGAAAAACACACACGCACACACATACATATACATACATTCCTTCTCATTCTCTGACCTTCGCATTATTACATACACGCACACTTTCCGTTCATAGAATAATAAATAAAGACATTCGCATCGTCAAACGTACAGGTTCGTCAAAATCCATAATCGTTCTCTTCGACTTAAATGCAACTCTTGTACTTGATGCAATTTCACTTGTTTGTTCCCTCTGATCTCACACGCACCGTTCGACACGTCCATCAGAGCGAGATTCTATAAGTTCCCTAGATAAACTCCGATCTTCTCCTTCGGTTCTCGATACGTGACGTAGGCGGGTGACGCGGTTCCGCTCAGAGTTCCGGCGTGACTGGATCCAACAGCCTCTTCTCCGGATCTCTCGAATCCCCGATATCGCTGGCGATGGGTTGATGTCTCCCGCCGGCACCGCTAACCGCGCTCGGATTGCAACGGCAGCCCTGCGCAGCGTGACGCGCATAGCACGCCTCGCAGAGGTTAACGCAGCCCTTGAGGGGCCAGTAACATAGCAAACAGGGCATCACGAGCGTCAGCGCGCCCAAACAGGCCCACTTGGACGTCGTACGGTTACCGGTGCAAGAGCACGGCTCATCCGCGCAACTCGTCGCTACCTCACCGTCCATGTTGGTAGCGACACCGCCACCGCTGCCACCGTCTACGCAATGATAAAAGAAACCTTTGACGCAGCACAGGCAGGACACGCAATCCAGGACGGTCTCGGCCGAGCAGAGGCACGTGTTGTTGCAGAGCCACTTGCTAGGCAGTGGAGGCGGCTCCCGACACGCCTCGCATCGACATCTACCGCAAAAGTCACATATAATCGACAGACTAGCTGGATCGTAGGACCTCGTGCCGAGAGTATTAGCCGGCTCCTTCGTGAAGGACACCGGTTGTTTGGTGATAGTGTTCACCATCGTTGCGTTTGTTGACGTGGAAGAAGCGCCGGTTGGTGTTCCGCGTAGACCTTGATTCCTCGCACGACCACGTGCTCTATGTGTCGGCACAACCGTTGCATCCTCGTGATTCCGATGATGATGATGATGATGATGATGAGAATGATGACGATGCCGCCTCTCGTTCTTCGGACAATCCCCGGTAGCCTTGCTATCAGTGTCGAGGCGTCGTTCCTGGTTGCCGCGCGAGTTCTTGAACGGCGTCTCGACATACTCGTTGCTAATTCTCTCGCCGTCCGGTCGCGGTGTCGCGAGGCTCACCTCTCCGCCCCTAGGCGACGACGAGATTGTCGTCGTCATCGTCGTCATTGTCGTCGTGTCCGCGGACGACGGTGACAACAGACTTCTGGAATTCGTGTCGACTGATAATGTTTCCGCATTCTGCGCGCGACGTAAGGACGACCTACTCCGGAAGGAACTCGATAACGGGGTCAGTGGCATGGTGAGAGGCGCTACCCGGTGGGACGTTGGCGTCCCGGGTAGCGAAGCCGTCGTTACACCACCTGACTGCGACGGAGGTGGTGGCGGCGGCGGCACGGACGGTACCGTCGCCATGTGCACAACCGGCAACCGAGGCGGTGGAAACGGTCGGCTGTGATCGTGCACGCGGCTCTCAGCGAGAACGAGACGCGAATCTGCGTCCTCGGCGGTGCTGCCGGTACAATCGTCATTAGTACCGGCGGCAACGCTCGTTCGCGGAAACGAAGGAGGCCGCGAGAGCGGCGGTATCGCATTATTCCGCGACATCGGCCGACCACTCAGTTCAAGATGGCCTGCTGCTCCTAGATTGTGCGTCACTGGTGTCTCCAGCTGACGCTGTTGCTGCTGCTGTCGATGATCCTGACACTGTTGCCGGTGCTCCACCTTCTTCGTCGTCTCCAGCTCCTCCCTCTTCGTGATACGGCGATGCTCGAGACGGATAGCAACGGGGCTACCTGGTCCTCTGGCTTCTCCTTGAATTGATACCGTTCTTGTTGCTGTTGCTGACAACGACGGTGATGATGCGCGATCCGTCCAAATCGGTGCCGTCCGCTCGTTAGCCCATTGTTCGACGGCCGTCGACGGCGTACTTGGAACCGATGGACGTTGATTTGACGTTGGGGTAAGTGTCGCCTCGGTAATCCGCACTGCCCAGCCCGCGCGAGGTGGTGGCACTCTCGACGAGGGCGTTCCATTAGCGAGGATGGGGCTCGGTAATACTCCGCGTCCGCTTCCTCTCGCCGTCGCGACACACGCTTCATCCCCACCTGAAACCATTACAACCAAGATATTGTGTTATACTCGACCTGATCCAGTGTGATGTTCTACTGCTATTTTATTATTTATCCTATCTAATTGCTAAATACAATTTGCGCTTTTTTTCATTATCAACAACAACAATATGCGCAAGACTTTTTTAAAATAACAACAAATTATCTCACTATTTATTTTTCAAGGTAGTCTAATAGCTAAGTGTAACCTGGAATGCGCAATTTATGTTGATGAGAGAGAGAGAGAAAGAGAGAGAGAGAGAGAGAGGAAGAGGGAAAAGAGAAAGAGAGAGAATTCCAAGTAAAAAATCGCGAAATGCCACGTCGACCTACGAATTTTCGAAAACTGAAAAAATCAGAGTAACCGAACGACAACGACGACGGATGTGGGGTGAGGAGGCGTTGGGTCAGTACCTACGCGCTTCACGAGAAGAGTGGTTCAGTTTATACGTGGGCGAACATGGTGCGAGTGGGCCGCGGAGTTCTCGATTCGGTGATCACCAACCCACTCGCGGCGCCCACGACATGGAAGAAATCGAGAAAGCCTTGCGCGATGTTCGCATCCTCCGCATCAAGCTTTTACTTGGAGCCGAAACGAAATCGCGCTCTTTATTCGTGATTTTTCTCAATATATATTTCTGCGCGGATAACCCACACACGCAAAAATCGATCGGGCATATAATATTACTTGTACTCTATTTATATAATTCCACACTTCTTACACAATATACGTAATAAAAGTATTACGTAACGACAAAATTAAACAGAACTTACACAGATGAGAGTTCAAGAGAAATCAAGAAGAATGTTAACTTTTTTCCAAATATAGAAGGATTTAATACAGAGATGAGAAAAAAGAGAGAGTTCAGAGAGTTTGCAAGAAAATCGTTTTACTTTTCGCCAAAGTAAATTCTCTTAAATGTTTCGCACATTGAGAGCCACTCCCAAGAATTACACACGGAGTCTCGCAATCACGATGTTGCGGCTTTGATTATTATGTGTATATACCTTCAGTTGTGTGTACATCGTTCGCTCATTCACCTGAACCGCGCACAATTCGAGAGACTAACTAACGGAAGCGCGATTGTAACGGACTCTCTCTCTCTCTCTCTCTTTCTCTCTCTTTCTCGAGCGCGTTCAACTTTGAAGCCGCGCGCGCGAGTCGATTATTGTGCGTATTCCGAGAATTGTATGTACAATCGAGATCACATTAAGCGCCCCGCGATATGTTCCGTGTTTTATCAGTCGCTCCCACTTGATCATCCTTCGGGTGCGCGAACACCTTTCAACTCGCGACTATATTGCTCAATATTTCCTCGAGACGGGAGAAGAGAAATTCTTGTCTCGCGCCATCTGTTTTCTCTCGGGATTTTAACGTTTTATTTAAAATGTGCGCTACGCACATTTTTTGTGACGGCACGTGTTTTTTTTTTTTTTTTNTTTTTTTTATTTTTATTTTTTTTTATTTTTTTTATCGCGGCTAAGGTTAACTTCTCGACAACACCGAGGTTCTCTGATCGTTCGGGCGACCGATTCTTCTTCTCCCGAAGAAGAAGAAGAAGAAGAAGAAGAAGAACCAGCTCTACTCCTTCGGCGAAATATTCCGAATCGTGGGAAAGTCTCTCACTCGTCGTGAATTTAATTCAATACCTCGCCACGCAAGAACATATCTCTAGCCTCGCTTCGTAACTTGCAGAAGCGTGCAGAAGAAACTGCTACGTGGTATACACGACGTGTACGAGATTGCGCTCTTCCTCCTTACCCGCGCGTCTGAGAATTCATTCAGAATATAACATTAACTTCACCGCAATCATTTCTAATACCCCTAGTGTAAAATTCACGGTTTTTTACAAGCTGTATCTGTAATTAATCGAACGATTGATGTTTCTGTAGTTTTTTTCTTCCTATAAGATGATGTCTGATTTTTTTTATTTATAAGTCACAATAATCTTTGTTTGAAACTCGATTTACATCTCGAAGAGGAACTGTTCGAGAAGCTCCACACAAGAGACGACGATTGCCAGCAACTCTCGGAAAAGGAGCGGAGCGGCGTCAAGCGACCGCGGCGAGAAACAGGCGGGCCATTCAGAAAGGGTGCGCTCGGAGTGGAATGCGCGGACCGGCTATCGTCGACCGACTGCCATAGGTCAAAGCTTTTAGCCGCTCCGCGCCTGCCGTCCGCAGATAAGGCAACCGTCGTTTTCGCGAACGAACGAGCGCGAGAAGAGCGGCCGGTGTACCCGAGAAACGATTTGACTCAACGATCCGCATACGATCGTACGGCGACATCGTCTCTCTCTCGTCACGGCACCGTTATAATAATCGCGCCGACGATCTAGCATCTCGCGACATGTCGCGTCGTCTCTCGATCATTATCCTTAACGCCCCCCGTTGAAAATGGTTAACAATTTTTCACCATTTATTTGTTTTTGTCGCATATTTCGTGTGGTACAATAATAATATTGACAACGGTTTGAAATTAAATACGTGCAAAAAAAAAATTCAAAATCTCAATTTGAAAACGACGTTCTACACGCGTCACTTCGCGCACACATAATCCGCGATCATAATTATTCATATGTGATATTGTTAATATAATTACGATTAATTGTCAATTTCCTGCTCGATCGATTCGCGGAGATATTCGCCGTCGCTACTTACACATCGTCAATTATCAGGTATTATTTACGCGGATTTTCCTGGTAATAATTAAATCATAAACGCTGAATCAATTGTGCTGTGCGTACGCAAGACGAAGGAAGTCACAGAAAATATTCGATAAATGAATCGATGACGACGATAGGATGATTGTGCGACATGATATCCGCATGTTCATCGAGTTAGTAATACATGGACGGTAACATCATCTAAAATAAGCAATTCGTTGCTTCTTTAGATTTCTCGTATACAGTTTCAAGAGTTATTAAACTAAAATTTAATACAAGATTTTCTTCATAATTTCTTATCATCTTTACAAATTTGTAAAGAGAGAAATAAATTTAAAAAGCGCGTCGCGTTTATGACGTACAATATATCACATAAAACTCTTCATAAAATTAATTAACGTCAAATTTTAATGATATTCTGGTATTTTTAAAAAGATAATTCTGCGCGTGCGAAAACACACACACATGTTCAAGTTGACTTGAATATGTTATTGAACGAGAAAAGCAAAAAAGGAAAAAGATGATATTACGTGACTGTACATGTGCGACCTAACACCATCGCGCGACATTTATATAGTTTTTTAATGCCAGTCGGAAACGTCGCGAGCCGATAAGACCGGACAAGTCCTTCCTCCGATATTGGTTTCCTCTGCGGTCTAGATATGCACAATCAAAACGTCGCTACTAACAAGTTTTGATTACGCACTCCGATAAGAGAAGAGAGAGAGAGAGAGAGAGAGAGAGAGAGAGATTTTAGAATATATTTATGAGAACGTTTCTTCTTTGACAAGTGAACCATAGCAATTCCCTCATAGAACGACACTATCAGCGGATTTTGTAAATTCGCGCAACACTTCCCGACGAAAGCGCGAATGATAAATTTCACTCGGTCTTAGGCACAAACTGGGTCACGTTATAACAATAATTTTTTTCAAGTTTTTAGTCGGTCAAACAAATTACATTAGCGCGATCAGAAAAATATAGTCTCAGACGCACACAGAGAACAGATGTAATATATTTTCTCGTAAAAACTTACCAGAAAATGTTACAAATTTTGTTTAATATATTGTATATGTAGTTATAAGATCATACAGACGGTAAATTTCAACCAACACAGAGAGACGCAATTAAAATAAAAAAAAATCAATCACAAAGAATTTGTTTTTTTAATATGCAATTGAATTCACAGATCTTGCGAATACTTGTTTGCGCTGCGCCGTTATTCATCGTGTCGAAACGTAAGCGAACGCTCTAAAAAAGAACGTCGCAGCTTGTATAAAAGCTCCTTTTATACAAGCTTATGAATCCCGACGTTTAATACAGCGGCCTTTAATTTCATTCGGAAACGAGCGCGATAAGACCGGATACGTTTCTTCCTCCCGTTATCTGTTTCGCCGGCGTTTCAGATTCGTAGGCAGACGTGATCCGCTAACGAGTTTCAATTACGCGTGACGATAACGCATGTCTTTCTTTCTCTTGTGACGGGGACCACCACTCGGATATTATATGCATAATTGCACGTAGGAACTTCGCGATTGCTCCGGAAATCTCCAGTGGAATCCGTGAAATTCGCCAATTACTTGCAACAACACGCTAGAACGCGCGGCGTAATCAGCTCCGAATACGCACACTATAGCTTCATTTTTTTTTCTTCCATTCTGACATTTGCTGCATTTTGTAAAAGCACACACGAATCTCTCAGACCGAGAGAGATTCGTTCTTACAAATCCACTAAAAAAAGCACTTTTTGTTCACTAATGTCAAAACTCTTCCATTGAGTCAACTTTAAATCCTTTTCGTTTACTGTATTCTTTGTACAGTATTTAAGACAGTTATTCAGGATGATGTGGCTAACTCTCGAAATTGAGATCAATCCAGAAATAATATTTTAATGACTACTGACCACACACAACTATCTAATTGTTAATTACCAGAATTATAAACTAACGTCACGAGTTAATTGTGCGGTCGCACCTTCGATACTGGCAATACGTATATCCAGCCTACAAGTTTCAAGTAACACTTAAAAGAAGAAAGATGACAATAAAATTCGGACAATCACAATTTGTTAACAAATTCGGCGTGTTTGTTACGTCTAACGTAACACCTATAACAACATCCACGAGCTCACGCGGTAAAAATTAAAAACAATAGGCTATTGAAAAATTATTGAAAGCGTGTGAAGAAAGAAATTGCGCACAACACTTGGCTCTAAAAATCTCGAAACTTGAGCAAGGAAAACAAAACACTTACTGAAAATTCATAGGACTAGCGGGCGGCGAGAAAAAAACGGTAGATTCCGCCGTAGCCGACGACACTTGCCGGGAACAGCAGAACGCACTTTCATGCGCGGCAGTGACACTTGACAGAACGGCGAGGACAATCCCGAGGATATTCGCGAAGAAACGTTCCCGAAGTCATAGTGGAACTCCTCGAGTCGCCGTCCGTGATTCGGGATTCTGCCCCTTCGTGGCGACGCTCGAATCCGCATTCTCTCTCGATCTGGCACGGCATCGGAGAGACAAGCCGTCGTCCTCGGGAGAGCGAGAGAGAAGGAAAGAAGGAAGGGAGAAAGAGAGAGAAAGAGAGAGAGAGAGAGAGAGAGAAAAAAAAGAGAGAAAAAGAGAGATATATATTCGCGAGCCTCCGACGGTCGAAACGCGCTCTAAGAAGAAATCCGCTACTCGCACTTTCGTCCTACGTTCGTTACACTTACACTTCCTCGCCCTTTCGCCTATTCCGTTTGTCGCACGAAAAATGGAGTGTCAGAGTCTCGCATTGCCGTGCTCGGAGCGCGGACCGAGCTCCATATGCACCGACATGGAAGCCCTCACAACGTCGTTAACGGCACTGATGGTTCCAGGCTCCGTCGGTTTTCTGAGAAAATGGCACTTTTAATCGAACGGACACATGGGCGAGGTCCTTCGTTCGAAGGTACTCGAGGCAACAGCTGGACACCGCAGAAGACTGAATGAGCGCGCGCGCGCGCCGTTAGAGAGAGAAAGAGAGAAACAACAGAAACAGTCACGAAACGAACACGAAGACCGTCGACGAACGACTGACAATGGGTTTGCCGCGAGCGAATCGAGCTGGAAAGGCGGCAGCGGCCGACGTGAAGAGGGACACGTCAAGGGAGAGAGAAAGAGAGAGAGAGAGAGAGAGAGAGAGAGAAAAAGAGTATATATATAAATGTGTGCGTATGCGTGTTGTGCGCGTGTAAGAGCGAGAAAGAGCGTGAGAGGCGAAGAGGAGGAGTGTGCGGCGCGCGAAGTAGTGGGACGAAACGTTGGCGGAGGGAGGGAAAACAGGAAGAGAGACGGTGGGAAGGAAGCCATGAATGGCGGCAGTCGACGCGGGGACGGAGGAGAAAAAGAAAAGAGGTGGGGAGTGAAGAAGAGAACGAGAAGAGAGACGGGTCAACGATAGGGTGGGGAAACGAGAAGAGGGAAAGGAAACGACCTCTCTTGCACGGTACGGCGTCGCCATCTGGCGATAATGTGGATCAACGTGCGTGCGCCGCTCCCGGTCGGCCTGACGCACACCGAAGCTTTTTATGAATGGACAGAAGCTATCATTGAAGCTTCGGATTGAATGAAAACATTACTTACGTCGTCACCGCCATGCGGCAGCCTCCGTCGCCGTCACACGGCGTCGGCGCGGCTCGACAGCGACGAGTGTGTTTGTCATTTGACATACGCAAAGGAAAATGATAGTAGTAATGATACCGGTGATGATGACGATGCTGGTGATGCAATGTTGTCGTCGTCGTCGTCGTCGTCGTTATTATAGTTTTAGTTAGTTTTTCTAAATCGCTTTTCCGCGATTTAAATGCTCGGAATAAATGCGAGAGATACTATCGATAGAAGGCGTTTTATCGATCGAATACACGACGTAAACGCAATGTAACGTAATGTGTCGCCTTCCGGCGATTACCACGATGTTTCGAGAGATCTCAGAGAGCGTTAGATTTTGGAAAATGCGATTCTTCTCACGAGATATACCAACATCTTGAGAACTTGTTGACTTTTAATTGTAATAATAATAATAATTAAGTGTAATAATATTAAAAACATTTCTATTAAAATATTGAGAATTAAATAATAAAAACAGCAATATATGTTGATACACAGTTTGATGTTACAGAATAATTCGTGAATTGCATTTTAAAATAAATGCGTCTTGTAAGAACAAGTGCCAACAATGTTATACAATTCATTAAGGTAGATATGAACGAGTTTATATTCTACAATTCTCTCTCTACGAGATTACACTTTTGCGTAAAGAATCTTTAGTATCAAAAAGGGAGCACATGAAAAATCGATTTTAGGGTGGTTTTCATTCCAATTCTTCAGCCTCGTCTTACGATCTTACGATTTCACACACAGAGACATGAACGACGAGGCTTTACGAGCAACGAGGCGAACTCGCATGCAGAGGCCGGAGTCGATGGAGGATACGGATAGAAAAGAAGAGAGAAAAGCGGAAAGAGAAAGAAACAAGATAGAGGAGTACCGCGAGAAGTGGGAGAAAGAGAAAAAGTAGCGTGCGGCCATCTCATTCTCCTTCTCTCTCCCTCTCCCTCCCTCCCTCTCTTTCTCTCTCTCTCTGGCGCGCTACTCGATTCTATATTTATCCCACTCATTAATTCCATCCTCGTCGTGCACTGTTCATTCATTCGTGCGCTGACTTCGTCCCTCTTTCCCTTCCCCTTCTCTTTCGCCCCTCTTTCTCTTCTCTTCCTTTTCATTTCTTCTCTATCTTACGCACGCGAGCAAATACGCACGTTCATTTATCCTGTCTCTGTTTCACCATTGCCCGCATCGTCGACACCTCTCTCTTTCTCTGTTTCTCTCACCTACACCCGCTGTGGTTCCCGCTCCGTGCAACCGAGTATGTCGCTCCCACTCATTCCCTTTTCTTAGCCCTGCGACATCTTCCCCTTCCCTTCTTCCCTTTCTCCCTCCCTTCCTCCTTCCGCCAATCTGACGCAGTGACGTACGCTTGCGCGGAGTCGTTACGCGGCCCATTCCGAGTTTTGTGAAGTTGCGCACTCGCGTAAGACGAAATAATACGCCGATTTATTACGTATTTGTGTAAATTTATTGCGCACAGTGAGAGAAAGAAACACGCACGTGAGAGTTAGAAATTGTTCACAATTATTCGGAAATAATTAACGCTACGTAATTACAAATAAAAATAATATTACCACTTGGATGAGGCAAAAAAAAAGGTAGACGATTAAGATGTGCTCAATCGAAATATTCCAAAATTCTCGAATAGCTCTCTGGTCTCTCAAAATAATGAGAACGAACATACAGAACGTATCATTTTATTTTATCGTTGACGTAGCGAAAGCGTGCCACGCAAGCACCTTTTGTTAAAAGACGAAGACGTAGACAAGGCTCGTGAGCTTTTATTCTCGGTATTTTCTTGCGTGTGCGCGCTTGGCACCAGGCGTTAATGTCATCTCTTCATCTTTCCGGTGAACTGCTCCGAAATCCAAGCGAACTAGCCAAAACTTCTTGACTTATCTCTTTTTTGTGGTCACATATGTCGCGACATTTCTATCGTTACTCGCAACCGTTCATAGAAAAGCGAACCATACAATATCGACATAGATATTTACACATAGAACAGGTGGTAAAATCAGAAAAGAGATAATTCTCTTGCGCAAAAATAAGTCGAAACTGTAACGATAAAATTTTTCTTGCGAGATTTCGAATTTCGAGAAAGTTTCGCGATGAAAATCGAAAAATTGACATATTTCATTTTTATTAAAAAAAAAAACCATAAATATGAGTCAAATGACTTTTAACTAATCTTATATCAAATCGTCACAAATGTCTTTCGATAGCAATTATCGATAAATTTGCAAAAAGAAAATTTACGCTCTCATACGTTTAATAAAGCGATTTAAAATAATAAGATTATTAGCAAACGTTTTATGTGTGTACAACATAAATCTTTCACAGACTCTTTCACACCAGAACAAATTCATCGCTACGTCCCTGATTCGAGGAGAGAAGCGCAAAGGCATGTTAAGCTAAACGGGCGAGCAACGAGCAACGAGTAAACGAGAGAACAGCCCAAGTAAACTTTGACGAGGGCTTGCCTTAGCTGCATCATCAAGCGAATGCTGTTTCATGCTGAAAAATCCGCTTGCGAAAATAAATTGCATCTCTAGTTCTCTGATAACAGAGTTATTTCCAAACACGTCACCAATCTCTATCTTTCTTACGACTTCTTTAAAAAAAAAAAAAAGAAAAACTGATAAATTACCGCGTAATTTTAAAGCCTCTGCGATATCACAAAACATTCTTTTGTCTCGCTGCCTGATTTTGGTGCAACGTTTTTTTTCAACCGTTTCAAGAATTTTTAATCAAAAAGATATTTATCACGCTCAAGAAAATAATATTCTCTAAACTTCAATACTAAACACTATACAACGCTGTTTTATTCTGTAAATTTCAATGTGAATAAAGAGAATTTCTGTTGATACTTGAGAGATCGTAGTTTAGAAAGGTGTGGCAAATGTGCATGTGGCGTTAAACTTACACGCAGCTCTTGAACACGTTGAAAGTCCAGAAATCGGATATGATTTCTACGGAGATCAGATCGTGAGTTTTTGCGCGATGTACATTAAATGATCTCGCAAATTTTTTGTAAAAGTTGTTTTACTTTTTTAGATGAGAGTGAAATCGTTACCCACTCCCCCAAAAGAAGGACGGGATTTTCAGATAGATATGAGTGACGTTAAACGCAAACGTGTCAGAGTTTGGATAAAGTGGAATATATGAAGTCACACCCCCAATCGCAATAATTAACATTCATTAATCAAAGAGATGCGCCACTTCTCAAGCGGATGCACAAGCTCTCCCGTTTGCCAGCGGATATTGGATTGTCGCGTTCTATCGCGAGGAAAGCAGAGATGGCGAGCGAGAGAGCCACACCCGCGTCGGGGTTCGCATACGCGATGAATTGAGAGGTCGATTACGACGTCGTAATAAACAACTCCGTGCAAGGTGTTAAGACCAAACCGTATCTTGTTCTCTCTTTTGGCAATTTGTATAAATCACGTAAGAATTATGTGCAGAACTTACATCAATGAAACAACAATTGGACATACAACGTATAATGTAACAAGATTAATTATTAAAAAGTAAAGAATAAACAGTTCGATTGTTCGATGTCGGTTGATGTCGGTTTGATAGTCGGCAAACGTGGGAGGAAGCGCGTCTGAGCGAAGCGCGGATCGAGAAGGAGCGTAGGTTTATTTCGAGCGTTTCCGATTTCGCGAGGAAGGCGCATGCCTTGAGGGCTGAGCCAATTACACAATGACCGCGCCGCGCACAAAATTCCCAATGTTTACGGAATTCGAGCGGTCGGTGGCGAGAGAGACGACGAAAAATCAAGGATTCTCCACAGCTGGAATTGGATCAGCTTATTTTCGGCCCCGGAATCAGGAGGAAGAAAGGCCGCTCGCGTTCTCTCTCTTTTCTCTCTCTCTCTCTCTCTCTCTCTCTTTCACTCTCGAGCAAGCGAACGAACGAGTTGGCTGCCGAGAGCGAAGTCGAGAGCGCAAGACAAAGAGTTGCACGACCTTCTTCTTCCTGGGATGTGGATCCAACACAACGCGCCAGTGTGTACGATAGACATTTTAAAAGCGTAGATTATGTGTTTTTTTTTTCCTCGACTCGTTTGCAAAACAGATGCCTAATGAAACGCTTTATAGCGATCAGATTCGAAGCGTGTGACCGCAATGTAAGAGATCGGGATACGGGTTCTAACAAAATCTCCAGTTTCATCCTTCGAGAGGTGCCGATCTGAGAACTGAGCTTGACACACTCCTGATATACAAATAGATCGTGAGGTGGAATATTCTGCGGCGATTCGTGGTGCGGCGCGGTTATAGTCCTCGTCGCGGTCTTTGGAGCAACCTATATACACTTCCACGCCTCGCTGCCGATGTTTTCCCGCGTTTATATCATCTCGACGGCGGGTGTTCGAGACAGCTGAACGAAGTCCGCCAAGTCTGTAGTCTGGGAGATTTAAATAGAATCGAAGTG